TTTCTCAATGCTCTGGAGCTTTAATTGCAGAGGATAGAAGAAATATCTAAGTATTAGAAAATTGAGAATATTATCAAAAAGAGCATAAGGAAAATTACAAAAGAGAGCACAACAAAAATTACAAAAAGGGCACAAATTTATCTATAAATTAAAACAAAATAACACTAAACTTTTGCTTAGTAAAATTTGAACCTTAAACCTTTAAGAAAATTACTAGCATAATTTTCACTAACCTACCACTCTCTAGTTGTTATAAAACTAGTTTAAATAAATTCCAATTGAAAGAACTTTTTTTTTCTTTTTGAGTAATTATAGTTTATTTGGCGTGAAAGATCCAAAAGAAATAGGTAACATTGAAGTCTAAAATAAATCATTTTAGCTAACATAATTTAGCTTTTGCCAACAAAAAGGCCATTGCAAACTAAGACAAGGGATAGTGAATATGCCCTGAGAACCAAGACTAAACTAGAAGAAATACCTCGGGAGCCAAGGCTAAAATAGTAGGGGTGATGGAAAGCTGACTAATGCTTATACTATAGGAAATTATACATGTCTTCTTTATGATAGATTGTGAAGAGGGAAAATAAAATTAACCCCTGTTATAACTGTTATCCGGATGAAAAGAAGAACAAAGATGAACAGGAGAAAGGAATATAATCACACCAACATTCTTGACTTTTGAGAATTCAGGTGCTCTCCATTTACTAAGCCAAAGCATTTCTCACCTCTTATTGAATCTATTGCCTCCATCAAAACATCAATCCCTATCCTCCACTCATTCTCTCCTTTTTACCATAGCCCTTACACAAGCCATAACACAGATAAAAGTTTGGCTCGTTATTTTGGGTCCCATTAGTATACTTTGGTAGAGGCTATATAGAACACAAAAGTTCATTAGCTTAAGGCAGTTATGAAGCAACTACAGTTGTTATAATGCTATTCAATGCTTTCACGTAAAACTCTCTCTTCTCTGGTCTTTGAAATAGGCTTTGCATTTATATAGTATGAGTTTTGGTGCCTGACTTATTTTAAGATGGAAATTATTTCACCTTATGATGGACCCCATGGCACGGGTGACATAGCATTAATGACAACGAAGCTTGAGGATGGTAATCATGAACATGGTGACATAGAAGGAACCCAATACTTCCAATCCAACGTACCTAAAGACCCATTACAACATATTGGAGGTCCAATGACAAGAGCCCGAACTAAAGACATGAAGCAAGCCTTGTTCGGTCTTGTACAAGAAGTTCAAGAGCTTGGAGAGCATTGAGGCACTCTTCTCAAGCCCAAAGGAGAGCATCTATACGTGTATAATGTACTTAAGATCCAAACTCATAAAGAGTCAAGCCCAAGAGATGCAGACCTTAGCCCAATGCAAGGAAGACTACAAGTTGAGCCTCTTGCAAGCAAGAAGGCATGAAACCTCAGTGAAGAAGCCAAGGGTGGCGTGATTTTAAATCCTTTATGATCCCTTGATTGTCTCCTAAATTATTTCTTATTTTAATGGTCCTTTAATTTGATTTCCTATTTTGAATCTAGTCAAAGGTTAGAATTAATTATGGTATTAATTTTTAAATTTTGTAATCCCATAATTTTAAGATCACATCTCCTAAATTATGTGGCTGAATATTTTATCATTATTTTATATTATTTCTCCTTTTAGTATTAGGAAATTAGGGTTTTAATTTTAGGAAATATTCTTTTCTATGAGCCTATATAAATTAAGCATGCTCCCTCTTATAAACGGAAAAACAGTTGAATAAAATTATTCATTTTTTTAAGTTTATAACTCTTGTGAGTCTTAATGCTTTGTGGTGGCATCATGTGTGAGAAACAGACGTGATCAAGAGTGTGATCAACTCTTGTGGTATCTTCGAAGGTTGAGGTTCCTAGAGGCAAGTGCTCTAGAGGATCTTCTCCTTGATCATTATCCTATTGTTTACTTCATATCTTTTTTTATTTCTGTCATAAATTTCGTCCCTTTCTTTTTGTTCTTGTATTTTTATTGTGTCTCAGGGTTCTGTCCCTAAACTTGCATGATTCTGCTTTCGCATCTCCTATCACCTTATGTGTGATCTTGCACTATCATTAGCTCAAATTTTTGTTTGTTGGAAATTCTTGCTCTCTGATTTTTGTTTGCTTTCACTAACAGATCTTAAGGGCTTGGATCTTAAAACTGGTATATTCACCTTCAGGGAAATCAAAGCAGCAAACAGCAACTTCAATGCTGATAATAAGATTGGAGCAGGAGGGTTTGGTCCTGTTTACAAGGTTTTACACAATATTACAAGTTCTATCAAATTGCATGCAAGACCAATGGCAATTCCATTCTTGATTAGTTGAAATTCCAATCTTACTTTCATATATCTTTATATCAAATCCAAAAATGTAAGGAATGGCAATTGCCATTCTTGATTAGTTGAAATTCCAATCTTACTTTCATATATCTTTATATCAAATCTAAAAATGCAGGGCATTCTATCAAATGGCACAATAGTTTCAACTAAGCTGCTATTTGCTAAATCAAGGCAGGGGAATCGTGAATTCATAAATGAAATAGGCATGATTTCTGCATTGCAACACCTTGTCTTGTTAAGCTTTAAGGTTATTGTCTTGAAGGAGATGAGTTGCTGCTGATATATGAGTTTATGGATGACAATAGCCTTGCTCGTGCTTTATTTGGTAAGTTGTTAAACTTTTTAGCTTGCTTTGTATAATTCATTATCTTATAACACATACTTGGCTATATCAAATTGTTGTCTTAATTTCCATTACATTCACAATGAAGGCCCGGAAGAATTCCAATTAAAATTGGATTGGCCAACAAGACACAAGATTTGTGTTGGTATTGCTAGAGGTTTAGCTTACCTTCATAAAGAATCAAGATTGAAAATCATTCATAGAGATATCAAGGACACTAACGTGTTGCTTGATGAAGATCTCAACCCTAAGATATCTGATTTTGGCTTGGCAAAGCTTGTTGAAGAGGATAATACACATATAAGCACTCGAATTGCTGGCACTTAGTGAGTTCCTGTGTTTTAACTTCTGTTTTAGGAATTTCATTGATATATATTGTTAGCATAATTGAATTGCAAAGAATTGTGCAACATTTCATATTCAAAATTTCTAATTTATTATGGACTTAACTTTAAGATTTATCTGAATCAATATTCTATAGTTACTGAATAATTATAATGATGTACAGTGGATATATGACACCAGAATATATAATGCATGGTTATTTAACTGATAAAGTAGATATCCATAGTTTTGGAATCATTGCCCTGGAAATTGTTAGTGGGAGGAGCAACACCATTTACTAGACAAAGGAGGAAGCATTCTATCTTCTTGACTGGGTAAAATATCCCCAAGCTTTCCAGTGTCCATTTCAATTTTATTTTTCATGACAATGGATGCAGTGGGTTTTTGGTTGGATGCATGACTTAGCCAAAAAAAACCTTTGAGAGCCATTTCACACTCACCAAAGTATAATAAACTACTATAATTTCCACTTTTAAGATACCCAAACTATTTTTATCAATTTTTTCTTGTTTCTGCAGTGAAAATTTGACCCATTTCTTTCAATGAGATTTTTTTAAAATTCTCATGGATTAAATTTATGATTGCTTCTTACTTAGCTATATTAGAACAGTTCTTCCATTTTGTATTTACTGTATAAGTACAAGACTCTTTATACCTTTCATTCCCTCTTTTAATTTTTGATTCTTTTCAACGACTTGGAATCAAAAGGCTGTCTGTATTTTGATTTTACCAGGCATGTCTCTTGAAAGAAAAAGGGGAATTAATAGAGCTAGTTGATCCTAGGTTGGGCTCAAACTATGACAAAGAGGAAGTAATGGTGATGAACAAAGTGGCCCTACTATGCACCCATTTCACCCCAGCGTTTAGGCCTGCCATTTCTTTCTTGAAGGTAAAAGTGTATTTGAGGAGATAGTTTCAGAGGCAAGTGAGGTATTGGATGAGAAGAAGTTAGAGGTAATGAGGATGCTCTACAAAGAGAGGGAAGAAAATAAGATAACTAGGATTCAAGGATAGAGCACACCAGCAACATCAACATCAGCAACAAATCTCTATCCTCTGCGTTTGGACTCCTCTTCTTACTAAGATTAGATAATCTCTCAATCTGTAAAAACTGCATCTTCTATACTATTACTCTAATTCTCTCGAGTGATCCAACCACACACACACACTCTCTCTTGTGAAGTATTATATATGTCACGTATAGAGCATACACTCATATAGCAGCATTAAGTACAACTGTATAATTCGCAAGGATGATGATGTTTAGAAAGCATTTGTGAAAAGTCAGGGATGCATTGCTGGTGATTAGAATACTTTGGATTTAATTATTTCTAAGATATTGCAGTCAAAGAGAGAGAAATTTAAACAAAACAACTAGTTTTTTTTAAATTCTCATCAAAATATTATTTTTTGAGGATCTAAATTCATAAGTGCAAGTTGAATTCTTTTTATTTTATTGTATTTGGGGATATTACCACTTTCTGTCCAAACTAATTCGAACACCCACTATATGAGACCATTATTACTAAAGGTCGCTTCATGAGTATCTTGAAGATGCTTTTAACACATTTATTTATCACAACTACATATCTTGAAATTCAAACTTGAGATCAAAAATAAATTGATTCAACTCTTTTGATCAGTTAGACAAAGCACTCCTCTGTGTGTGTGACTTGAATTCTATGTCAAGAAGAGAAACACTTGATAACTTGAATTAACACAATATGTGGTTTTATAATTTTTTTTATTCATTTTTCATTTGAATAATTATTTATTAGAGAAAATTAGTGACTTCTAAAGCTTAATTATGTTTTTTCAACAAAAAAATTAATTATGTTTTTAAATTAACATGCTGTTAAAAAAACCCCGATCTTCTACAAGGGAAAAAAAATCCAATCTTAAAATTTAAATGACTACCTCTTTTGTATATCTATATACAAATATTTAAATTTAGTAGTAGGGAAGAATACTTTCTTCCTAAAAAAAATGTAACAATGATATTCGAAAGAGTGATTATTTTATCATAAGAATTATTCATTAAATAATTCTAACTAGCTAGGTTTCCAATCATTTAATCTTCAAGAAGCTTACTAGAAGAAGAACAATCATCTTTACTCGGAAAAGATATTGAGCAGTCAATCCACGGCCCATTCATTGACTTGCCTGTGTGTTCCATACTTCCTTGAGAGATTACAGATGCATGGCTGTCATATGATAGCATCTCAAAGGATTTGAATCTTGCATCCAAATCCTGGCTTGAATCTTTGTGCTTGATTATTGGTGCTTGGATTGGAGTTTTTCCATCAAGCATGCTCACTACAGATGACATGGAGGGTCTGAGGGTGGGAGATGCATTGGTGCACAAGAGAGCCAAGTTGAGCATTTTCATGGCCTCATCTTTAGAGTAGCTTAAACCAAGACGTGGATCCACCAGCTCCAGAAGATTTCCTTGCTCCTGGAGAACATAGGCCTTCAATGGCATGCAAAGATATATCAGTTAAGACTCTAATAAAAGCATCAAAAAAGAAAAAGAAACTGTAATAATAACGTCTTTTTGCTCTTCCAAGTAAATTAAGCTTGACATTTATCTCATTTGATTATGAATATTATTTTAGCAGTGTCTAGCTTTTAAGATGACAAAGGGAGTCAAAGTAATATGCTTCACTTATCAGAAACTTTAGAGCTATAAAAGAATTTAATTTACCCAATCAAGAAGATAAACAAACTCATCCTTTGGTCTGTAACTCGTGTTGCTCTTTCCGCTAACAATTTCTAAAGCAACAACTCCAAAACTGTAAATATCTGCTTTGTCCGTCAAGTAACCCCTCATTGCATATTCAGGAGCTATGTAACCACTGAAAAAAGAAAGTATGCAACGCTCTTTAATTAGTGAGTTTACTAAACAAATATGAAATATTGATAGTTCTAAGTTCGTTTAAACGAGAAAGGCTTAAGTAAATAGCAGATCTTATATCGCAGAGAAAGCAAGTGTATGCTGAAGATAAATTTTTTGTTAATGAGCAATGAAATATAGAATTTAATATGGCATAATACATTGTTCCAGCTATTCGAGTGCTGATATGGGTATTCTCATCGTCATTGAGCTTTGCTAGACCGAAGTCAGAAATCTTGGCATTCATATCCTTATCAAGCAAGATATTAGTTGCCTTAATATCCCTATGTACTATTTTCAATCTTGATTCCTCGTGAAGATATGCCAATCCCCTTGCTATCCCTTGACAAATTTTCACTCTTGTGGGCCAACCCAAGTGTATCCTTTGTTCTTCACGACCTAAAGTAAATAAAACCAAGGAAAAGGAAAATGTTTTAGAGGCCATTTACAATTTGGAATTGGGAATTTACACAAACAGGGTGCCCATGAAGAATTTACCAAAAAGTGCCCGAGCAAGACTATTGTTCTCCATATATTCATATATAAGCAACAACTGATTTCCCTCAATGCAACAACCATAAAGCTTCACAAAATTTGGATGCTGCAAAGCAGATACCATTCCTATTTCATTAATAAATTCACGGTTTCCTTGCTTTGACTTGGAAGAGAGCTGCTTAACAGCGATGACAACACCATCTGATAACACACCCTATCAGAAAGCAACCTAAATTAATATCATAAGCATAAATGGCATACTCTGATATTTAAGAATATCATATTACCTTATACACAGGCCCAAAACCTCCTTCTCCTATCTTATTCTCCGGGTCAAAGTTATTGGTCGCATGCTTAATTTGTCTTAAAGAAAAATAACCTGTCTTAAGATCTAAAAGTTCTGCAATAAGGAACGGGGATTAGTATAAATAAATGAAAGAAGAAAGGTAGAGAGAGCAATAGAATTAAGACAACATAGTTTTAGCCTAGGATGAAGAAACCAAAAAAAGCATTTTTAACAAATTATCACCATTTTCTCTCTTTGAAGATATGCATTTCACTAATGTAATTCATCTGGTTTTTTGAATGCTAGCAAATTTCACCCTTTTATTAGCACAATCTAAATTACAATAGCCAAAGCCAGGTTAATTGGGACTTTAATATTACCTATGTCTTTTGGATCTTTCCCAAGGAAACCCTTCTTTCGGAGAACAATGAGTACCAATACAAAGAAAACACATGATGCAACCACAATTCCAACAATAGCTCCAGTTGACAACCCTTTTGATGGAACTTTGAAGTCTACAACCAAGAATAAATGCTTACATTATTGAATATGAAGGTAGTTTATAAGAAAAGAGAGAGTTAACAATGTGAGAAATACTTACTTGGAGTCACAGTGATAGCAGATATTAGAGGTCCATATACACCTCTCTGGGGAATTGCAGTAGTACCTTTCCCTGCCCAATATAAATGGATCTCCAAGGTGGTATCATTCACATCAACGTTGAATTCCCTAATGATGCCTTTACCAACTCCACCAGCTTCCTTCGCGATGTTGAAATCTTTCAAGTATTTAAAACCCTGTGAGAATGCAATATTGAATTTCTAGCTTCAACAGTTCCCTTTTCCAATAGAACCATATATGACGAGTTATATAAATAACAAGGGTAAACATAACTTTTGATCCCTGTACTTTACTCATATTTTGCTTTTGATCCTTATACTTTTTTTTCTTGTGTTTTGGATCCCTATACTTTTGTTTTTCATTATTTTAAGTCCTTTTAAGGTCCCTATACTTTGCTCAAAGGGACCAAAAATAATGGTAAACAAAAGTGTAGGGAGACCTAAAACACAAAAAAAAAATATAGGGACCAAAAGCAAAACGCGAGTAAAGTACAGAGATTAAAAGTAATGTTTACCCAAATAACAATTAAAAAGAGTATGCTTCTTCATCACTCACTTGAATTGAAACATCAAATATGCGTCTACCAAGGCTGCTAAATGTCTGGTCATCAGAAAACATTATCTCAGCAAAATGGAGTTTTACTTTATAATTACCCTTTAGCATACATAGGCCATAGTACTTAAGCGACAAAGGGCTGAGGCGGGCTGTTTGGTAGTACTCTGAGCCATTCATTTTCAAACTTGGTAGAGTCGCTATATAATCAGCTTTATCATTGTAAATATATGTTCCTGTGCTGCTATAAGCCCAACTGTCTTTTTCTTCAAAGAATGAAGTGCCGTCTTGATTGAGATCTGCTTCATATTCATTCCCCTCATTCTTCATATTGGGCCCCCCACAATTTATGAATAACGAATAATCTACATAATTAAAATACTATCACGTGTTAACTATGAAAAACACTATAGCTTCACTTGACAAAACTCTTATGGTGCATGAAAATATAGTTGAGGAACCAAGTCTCAACTTACATTGAGGTTTTCTTGCACAAGGTAGGCCTTTCTTCAAACAAAAGAGTCTAAAAGATGAATAATTTGTTTTAGCATAAGATTCAATCTGATAGATATGAAACCAAAAATTTAAAAACAAGTATCACATAGTGCATAAGCAACAACTTACGGATTGCTTGCTGAAGACGAGAGGCTAGAAGCCAAGTTCCTGTCCGTCAATGTTAGTAACTAGTCAGTATCAGGCAGCATAAAAGGTGAATTTGAAATGCTTATGTTATTGATAAATAAGAGAATCTTACACTTCCAAGACTTGGCAAGTTGATGTAGAGGCCGCAGTAAAATTGTTGTAAGATAAATCACTGAAAGAAAAATATCATGAGATCAGAAGTTCCATATCTTTTCTAATATGGCAAATTGTAGTTGCATAAAAGGCGATTCTCAGGGGCAGAGCCAAGACTAAAACTGTAGGGAGCCAAATTTTTAAAAATATATAAAGTGTATTTTTAAATATTTATTATAATTATTTTTTAAGAATAATTTTATCATTTGAAAAGTTCATTGGATAATAAATTATATATCATTATATAAAATTGGTGGGGTGGCCAGGCTGGGCCCCCTTACCCCCAACATTTCTCTATCCCTGGTGACTCTAAACCTTGCAAGTAGAGAAATGTTAAAGAAATAGGCTAACATGTTATATTTGTTTTTTAGCACCCATTCTGGAACGGCTCCACTTAGAGAATTGTTTGTAAGAAACCTGCATCCATAATTAATATCAGTTACACTAATAATTCCTGAAAGTTTAAACTAATGAAAACAAATCAATCAACTTTCATGACATTATTGTTGACAGAAAATCTACAGTTTTTAGCAAAGGCAAATATTTGCTTACATGTGATTAAAATTCAAGTTCTCAAATGAGTCGGGAATTGGACCTGTCAACTTGTTAAAACTCAGGTCCCTGCAAGAAAATGAAGTAGTTAAAACACAAATCAGTAAACCATGACTAATAATCAATTAGCTAGCCTGAAAAACCTACATTGAAATAATTGGAGTGCATGGAATGGTGAGAGAAAGCCTTGAATGCATCAAAAAATACCATAGAAAAGAAACTTTCAACAATCTTTAACCAATAAAATACCCATACAAAGCAACTTACAGAGTTTTTAAGGTTTTTATTTCACCAATGTACGTTGGAATGGGACCAGTAACTAAGCAATTTCTTAATACCCTGAAATCAAAGAAAGGAGGAATAAACCACTTCAGAGGAAACCCAAATGAATGATAATGCTCTTGCTCGATGAGTTTTCAACTCACAGCCGTTCCAGACTCTTCAAATTCGTCAGATCAGGAAATGTCATGGTAGTTGATCCAGTCAAATCAGATATTCTCCTAGTATCAAATGGCCTCATCATTAAAAAGAAAATAATCATTTGTTGAAGATTAAATTCCCAAACAATTGTACAGTATATATAGGGGCACAAGCACTCACAACTCTTTCAAATTTGTCAACAACGATATGGTGGAAGGAATTGAGCCTTCCAAGCCTGTGCCCTCCATATCCCTAACAAGACCGTAAAATTCCTTTGAAAAATTGAAAGAACTTGAACATAACATCAATTTAGTTTCATCTCCAACCAGAAAAAACCTTTAACTGAAAGTATACTCACATGTACATAATTTTGGTCCAGTTCCCGATAAAACTTGGTATTTTTCCTGATAAGTTGCTCCCATCTATAGAACTGCAGAAAAAGTTGGGAGCGATCTCAGTATTCGACAAAAGCCTAACCAAGTATGATAGAAACAAGTGAAGAACTAAACTGAACAGTTGCATCACATGATATTACTCACAACGCAGTTAGGTTCTTCAGATTTCCAAAGGTTTCTGGTATTTTTCCGGTAAAATTATTTGCAGAAAGACGTCTATAGATTCATATAAAAACAAAGTTAAGCATCTGAAAGGCAAAATGAAATTACCTGTATATTATGTAGCCCCAGAAGAAAATGAAAAAGAATAAAAATTGAAATGGATTAGCAGGTAGGAAGAAGAACACTGAGCAACTTACAATTTTCGTAAGTCGTTCAAATTTCCAAGACTCTGAGGAAGAGGTCCTCCAAGCTGATTATCTTCTAGGATCCTATAAGCATTAATACAAACTAATTCAGCTCCATTATCAACCATTTTTTCCCTTTTTTTGGATTGACTTTGAATTCCAAAACTTACAAATCCATCAAACTAGCAATTTCACCCAATTCTACGGGAATTGAACCACTAATGCGATTCCCCACAAGGGACCTGAAGCAAATTAAATGTGTAAATGGAGGATTTCAACTTGCAGATACTCAAACATAGCGAATAGAAGACTACATTATAACTTACAGAGTGATAAGAGGGATGCGCCTAAAAGACGTTGGGATTGTGCCATTGAGATAGTTGAGAGAGAAATCACTGCGCAATTAATACAGTAAGTTTCTGTCACTCTTTGACCAATTATGATTATGAATGCAAATAAGCAAAACAAAATAAATAAATTAAGAGATTATAACTTACAGTTCAGTCAGATGGGTGAGATTTCCAAATTCACTGGGTATTTCTCCTGATATATTTTGGCTTTTCAACAGGCTAACAATGACGAATGGTTATATCACTAAACATTGACTAAACTCTAAAAAAAAATTTTGAAACGCGCGCGCGCGCACAAAATTTATAGAAGTCATAGATTTGTCCAATTGTAAAATTTTATGATAGTTTAAAAATGTTAAGACTGGACAAAACATTCTTTAGCTATATATTTCAAATATATTTTATTTGTTCCCAAAATTATGTGTTTGATATAACTACCTAACTGTATTAAATTTGAGTATTGTAAGATCTAATTAGGAATAGCTCTTTCAAAAGTATTTTCTACACCTATACAGGCTTGAACTCTAGACCTCATTGCTTCAGTGGTCATGGTTCCTTTTACTAGACCGACACTAAATAGTTTCAAATTTGAGTCTGTTTAGGTGCAAAAAAGCTCCTTGAAAAATCTAGACCTAACAATTATCAAGTATAACCCACTTAGATAACAATATATACATATATATAAACAAATTGTGTTTGAACCTGGTTTTCATTCAATTGAAATTCTAAGGCTTGGCATATAAGTTTCAAAATCATTCGCTCTCGGCAAAACTTTGAAGTTGAATTACAAACAGCAATATTGATAACCTATTCAATAATGACAACAGTACAAGAAGAATGGTGAGCAGAAGAGGACATACATATTAGTGACATGGCAAACGGTGTCGTTTTGGAAAGTGCAATCGCAAGTGACATTCCTGGTTATTTCAGAGGACGAGGTAAGGAGATTAAATCCAGCTCCTTTGATACAAGATGTTGGCGTGACCTTCCAATTCACGTTGGTGAGTTTATCAGATATTGCCTGTAGAGCCTTCACTGTGATCCCAACACACACATTAATTAGCTTTTGTACTGAATTAATCTACAGCCTCTGTGAGGAGAAAATGATAATCCGCTTTTTATTCTCAAGGCTTACTGCCACTGGCTATAAATATGTCGCATCATGGTCCTCGTTAAATCTTTTTTTTTTTCTTAATAAACTATATATTTTTTTAAAAAAATTCATCCTTTTAGTAATTTTTTCATATTCGGTCAAACTCAACTCAACCGGGCACTTGACTTCCTTGGCCAGTTCAAGCATCAGATCATCCCCAAGCGAGGTTGAGAAGTGAGCTTTTGTCCCCCCCCCCCCCCCAAAAAAAAAAAAAAAAAAAGGAAGGGTTGAGCGATGAGTCGAAAGTTGATGTTAGTGATAATAAAAGAGATTATAACTGCTTCAACAGGTGATGAATTTGAGTATATGTAAATATAAAAAATATTTTTAAAAAAACTATTTCAATTAAACTTGATAAAACGTGAATATGATAAGCTCAATCAATCATACAACCTCAAAGTCAGAGGAACAAAATTGACACCGACACGCACTGTGGACCCCTTTTGTGGAAAGCACAAACAACAATGGTGGCGACTTCCCGACTTCACATGGTGGGACCAACTTATCATGTCCCTCTCCATTGGCATTTCATTGGGATTATATGTGGCATGACATTATGACCCCAACAATAGCACCAACTTTTTGGCCCCAATAATGGTTCTGAGTCTTGCTGAAGATGCCTACTCGCGCGTTTTAATTCACACTGCTTCATTCATTCTCATCTTTAAATAACACTAAAATTAACAGGAGGGTTAATTTATTAATTTTATCTAAAAATGAAAAATGATAAGAGAAGATTTTTTTTAATATTATATCACTAACTTGTTTAAGAAATCATATATAATATTATATATAATAAAAATATATTAAACAAATCTTGACGATGAGTTTAAAGGCTATTCAAAACCACTAAAGCTTGAATTTTCAAGTCTATTTAAACGACTACTTTAAATAAATAGGCTTTTAAATTGGCATCATGCCAAGACTAAAGCCGCCTTAAAAGGACCTAATATATTATCTCCCAAGCTTTGCCTTATTTTTAGTTCAAGCAGGCAGCCATATATTTTTTGAACCTCCCCAAACGATAGAAGAAAATTTTGGATTAGGACGCGTTGCATGCGAGTGCAGAAACAAGCCACTGATCAGCGTTTATTTTGTACACTAAGACAACATTAAAGTTGCAAAACAGTAGTGTTAAGTTGTCTCAGATATAATGAAAACAGTGGAAAGTGATGCAAAAGTCTCAATCGTTTTTTGGAACCAGCTTTCACTAGTAACCAATATCAAAATTGCAGTGTTTGATGTCTTCCAATGATGAAACGTTAGAGAAATCAGAAAGAACTCTACACACACATATCAGGCAACATGTCATGGCGGTGCTGAAAAAAAGAATAGACATGGAAAGCAGGGGACAAAAATGCAAGAAAGTACCTTCGTCTTGGGGTATAACTTGAGCGTTGGATGGGAAATCTGTGAAGAGACAGAGAAGCAGAAATCTGAAGAAGAAGAAAACAGAGACAGCTTTGAAGCTTGACGTCGCAAAGTCCATTAATTACAACACTAGCAAGGTTTGAGGGTGAGTTTAAAGTCTTGGATTCTTCTATTTTTCAGCAGAAACTTTGGGGTTCATAAACACAGCAAAACAGAGCGAAGGGAAAGGGGAAACAACGGTTCATGAAGGGGGCATTATTTGTTGTTTGCCACTTATAAAGGAAGTGATAAGGAAGGCAGAGCCACCATCCGAAAATACGTAGAAACCAGATGGGTAAAGCCGAAAGGTAAGAAAAGAACAGCGAAATGATATTTTGACTCAAAACTCTTTGGATTGAATTCTTTATTTTATTTTATATTACTTAAATAGTTTGGATTGCAATAGAATTTAATCAAAATATTTTTATTTATTTTGTTTTATTTTCTATTTCAATACATACTCTAGATACCATCGTTTTTAGTTTTTTTTTTAAATTTCTTTTATTTTATTTTTGTCCTTTGTTTTTTATCTAGTTTTAATCGGCTCAATTATGTGGCATAGTCATGCATAAAGGAATGATATCAATGTAGAGACCGGAAAAAATTTAATATCTTACCAGGATCTTGGACAAATCGAATAATTATTAAAAGTTAGAAAAATAATTTTATTTGTTAATTTGTTAATGCTTAATTGTTAGAAATCATTTTAAGCAATTAAATTTCTTCCAGAATCTTTCATTGATATTTTCTATAAGATGAAAAAAAATGTTAAAGCATACATTCAAGTATTTAACTTTACACAAGGTTCATTTTAGTTTTTTAATTTTATAAAATATTTTTTCAATCTTTTAATCTAACACTTTTAGTTTTGTCACCAAAATTTTTTTACATTAACCTTTAAAGTATTGACAAAATATTTTAGAATGTTGACATATTAAGTTTAATTTTTTAAAAAAATAATCATTTAAACATTACAATATTAATTTTATAATACTGAAAAGATATTTTATAAAATTAAAAGATTAAATTAAAATCTTATTTAAAATTAGAAAATAAAAATATATTTTAATCAAAAAAATTTAGAAGAAAATAGAGGGTTGAAATAGAATGGCATTGGAGGACTCTTTCCAGGAGATTATTAAATTTAAGGATTTCAAATTATTGAAATTATAATAAATCCACAATTATCATTCTCCCCTGATATTTGTCTTCACTTTTCGTGCACGCTGGGTCGTCGTTTGAACTTTCATTCCATTACCGTGTCCCCACTCCCCACCAATTATCTTTTGACCGTTCATTGGTCATTTTCAAAAGATATCATAGATATGAACTCTTTTTTTTTTTTTTCCCTCCAAAGGCTAGCCAAAGCTAGAGGGGATTATAAGTTACATAAAAAGTAATTCAAAAATCAGAGACATACCCCCACTATAGTCAAGCATCAATAAATGAACACATTCCCTGGGAGGATCAGGAAGTAGCATCAATTCATTTGAGTACTCGTAAGCCATATGAGCCAAAATATCTGCACAAGATAGAGCCTCACATGAGGTATAAAAAAGCTTAAGATCTTTATGATTAGACATCAAATTTTGCACCTCAAATATTTCCTCATAATATGGATAAGTAGTATGAACTCCTTGATAAACATAAGCGATGGCTTTAAGTGAATCAGAATATATAACCGCCTGTTTAAGGTTCAGGCTCAAACTCAATTGTGCACCATACTTTATAGCTATGATTTCTGCAACGGTAATTGGTAAATGGCCCAGCTTACAGAGAAATCTACTTACCCACTTTCCTTTAGAGTTTTGAACTAGTCCACCACATGCTGAACAAAGTTGGGATTGAAGCGTAGAAGCATCAACATCTATTTTAAGTGTCCCATGTGGTGGTGGAATCCATTTGTATCCATGCAATTCATTGGTAGTACCATGCGACAAATTGAGGGTCTATAAATCTCTCTCCTCCATTAGTTTCCTTCTGCAAGCATGCAAGACATTCCCTGTGTTGTATTGTGTTCCTTCAAAAATTGCCTTACATTTATGCGTCCACAATGACTAATAAACTTGACCAAAGACTTTCACCCATGGCCATTTTTGGACTTGTCTACCACCAATATGATGCTTAGTATTCCAGTCTATCCATTCCTGCAAGCTGCATGAGAAAAAGTGGTCATGAAAAATAGGATTTATAATTTTCTTCCATGTGTTTTTTGCTCTCATGCAATCTCTCAAAATGTGTATAGTGCTCTCCTCACTGCCACATTAGAAAGGACAATTTGGATCCGAAGTCAGCCCTCTCTTTGCTCTCAAAAGGTTACCAGGAATTCTCTCATGTAGAACCTACCAAAAGAAGAATTTTACTTTTTTCGATAAATCCCATTTCCACAGATATTTCTAAACCAAACTTCGACTAGTAGCCATATTTCCAACTAGGAAGTTATAAGCAGACTTGACTGTGAAGTTACCATCACCACTAGCTCTCCACCAGAACACATCCTCAAGTATGCTAAGATAAGGTTGGACGGTAGATATATGGTTAACTATATCCATAGAGAAGAATTTGAGTAAGAACTCTCTATTCCAAGCGCCTGAAGGAAGAATAAAATCACACACCTTAACATGTAGGTTGAGATGATGATCCCTTCTTGAAACATAGGTAATCAACGGTTAATGATCCCACCAAAAGCTTGTTGTAGTACCATTCTTAACTTTTCTTCTGACCCCTTGCATGAAGATTTCCCAAACTTTACAGATACTATTCCATGTATGAGACGCTGATCATTTTTTCATCACCGTTGGGTATTTACCTATAACAGTCACACCCCCCCGAGCCCACTGCTGCGAGTGGTGGATTGGGCCGTGCCACCTCACGGCAACCACCAGCCGGCTTTCCCCCTGGTAGTTCAGGGGTTATTCCCCGCACCCACTGCGCTAAGGGAGCCTTCCCAGGTTCGATCCTCCAACCTCTCCTACATAGCGAAGTTGAGGCTGAACCTGGTACCATTGAGTCAAGGTGCGGGGAATAACTCCTAAACTACCAGGAGGAAAGCCGGCTGGGTTGCCGTGAGGTGGTTACGGCCCAGTCCACCACTCGCAGCAGTGGGCTCGGGGGGTGTGACTGTTACATAAAAGGCGCCTTTTATGTAACAGTCACACCCCCCCGAGCCCACTGCTGCGAGTGGTGGACTGGGCCGTAACCATCTCACGGCAACCCAGCCGGCTTTCCCCATGGTAGTACATGGGTTATTCCCCGCACCCACTGCGCTAAGGGAGCCTTCCCAGGTTCGATCCTCCAACCTCTCCTACATAGCGAAGTTGAGGCTGAACCTGGTACCATTGAGTCAAAGTCGGCTGGTGGTTGCCGTGAGGTGGCACGGCCCAGTCCACCACTCGCAGCAGTGGGCTCGGGGGGGTGTGACTGTTACATTACTCATTCCACATTGATACTTTTCCTTTAAGCATTGCACCCACAAACACTCAGACTTAGTGAGTAGAGCCCAACAGAGTTTCATAATGAAGGCTCTGTTCTGGGTATGAAGATCTTTTATGCCAAGCCCTCCCATGTGCTTGTGTTCTTTTGCTTTGCTCCATGAGATTAGATGAAGCTTTCTTCGATCTTCTCTGTTAGTCCAAAGAAACTTCCTACAATATTTTTCAATCTCCATCAAAATACCTTTGGACTCTATCTCTCTCTACGTATGCACAATATAAAAAATTAATAATTTATTTTTTATAATTTTAATTAAATTATAATTTAATTTTTTAACTTTGATTCATTATAATTCAATTAAAAAAATTTTAATTTAGTGATAAATCAATTCTTAAACTTTACTTTTTGTAATTTAGCCTATAAAATTTTAACTTTTTAAATATTAATCCTTATATTTAAAAAAATTATAAAAATTAAACATATTTTAAAATTTTAATATTTATAAAGATTAAAAATATTTAGTAATTTAAAATATTGGTAATAAATTTTAAAATATTTCTAACCTTTATAATTTTATTTTTTAAAATATAGAAATCAATATTTAAGATGTTAAAATTTCAGCGATTAAATTACAAGAGATAACTGTCAAAATTTTAAAATTAAATTATAATTAAATTAAAACTATAAAAATAAAATGATTATTTTTTTTAAAATATTATATCAGCGCAAGTCAAATAATACTATACTATAACGTCTGAAAAATAAGTCCTACAATTATATATTATAAATATCACGACCTGTTAGATTAATTTTCATATCACATATAAATACAAAATAAAGTCACATGTTATTTATAAATTATAAAATATAAAATGTGAGGCTTACCTCAAGCTTCCTAAACACAAAATTCTTACATTATTAGTTCGGGATTTCACCAACTGTAGCTTTATTTTTTGAACAGAGTACACACAGACTCTATTTTTTTAGGTGGGATCACAAAAAATATAAGATAGTTTTAATTTTTTTAACGTGTAATTAATAATTTTTTTCTAAAAATACTTTAATTAATAAAGAAATCACTCATTTATTTACCTTTAAATAAGATACCTTATTAAATAAAGGGAAATATAAAAAATAATATTAATTTAAATATAATTAATTTTTTAAAAATGTAAGTTGGTTAAAAATATAATGGAAGGAGTATATATTTTTAAATATAAAAAATTTAAAAGATTGATATTTTAAATTGAAATTCAAATCTAAAAAGGAGATCTTTTAGTTTAATGGAAAAGTATGTGTAGAAAAGTGGGGCTACATGCCTCGTTCAAATCACTCACTACAAGTGCCCACCAAATTTGATGGGACTAGCTCTCTGCATTTTGTTTGCTTTCACAAAAAATCTAATGGGCTTGGATGCACTGTTTTGAGAACCAACTGATTCGAGTAGTTGGATCAGTCGAACTATCGCCCAAACATGAAGACATCTCGGTTGGAGAGTTATGAGAGTTGGACCGTTTTGAACCGATTTAAACCAGGAAGTTTTCGGATACACAGATTTAGACTGAAACCCAAAACGGGTTGAAAAAGGTCTAAGTTCTTAAAAAAAGAGCCTGCAGTAAAAAAAAAAAAAAAAACCCTCTCTTCCATTCTACCAGGCTACTTGCGTGCAACGCCGTCGATCTAAGAGGTCGAGATAGGGAGACTCTTCTTCGTTCAGTCTGAGACTAGAACTTTTCTCTTTGTTCGTGTGACGCCGTCAGTCTGAGCCTTTGAGGAAGAATCTCCGTTCCTGCTTTCCTTTCTTTGTTCTTCCATTTTGATTCGATGTCGTCTTCACTCAAGCTTTGAATCTGAAATCAGTTTTCAATCTGAATCTGCAACTCGTCTTCTTCCTTCGTGCAACTTGCTATTAGTCCTTCTTTATCGTCTTTCCCTGGATCTGCAACTTGCTTCGAATTTGAAAGTCTGAATCTAAAATTCTAAAACTGGTTCTTTCCGTTGAACATGAAGCTAATTTTCAGTTTGCTGATGTGATTAATTGCTTGACTTGTGTAACTGTTTCCAGTTGAAACTGGTTCTATATTTACCGGCATTTCTGATGTTAAGATTTATGCTAAAATTATTATATTTTGGGGCCAAAAAACGGGCCTATATTTACCTTAGGGCTACCGAACTAAAGCAGCGTCCCACAACTTTAATGCTGATGGATAAGATAGGAGAAGGAGGGTAATTCGGTCCTGTACATAACTGAGTATCTTGGGACTATATTGGCAAGTGATGATCAAATACACCCGAATTCGATTTCGAGTCTAATGCATTTTAGTAACATTGTTCACTGCTTATATAATTATTTTGTAGGATATTATCTTTTAAAAAATAAATATGAATGGTTTTTTAGAGTATCTAAATTAGAAGTGAGTAGCTTGAATTCTATCTAACTTAAGGCATGTAACACTTGTTGGCATGAACTTTGGCTAACAGCCTGGGGTTTTATAATTTTTCTTTATTTATTTCTCCTAAACGTATTATAAAAATGTACTTACATTTAATTTCAAGATTAGGGAAGATTTTTTTTTTTGAAAATGTAATTATTATATTCGGGAGATCAGTGATTATTTTATCGTAATTTTTTTGGTAATAAATTGTTTATTAAGCAAATTAAAATTATCGAGCTACATGTGTGGCATGTGCCTACAAGGAATGGGGTCAAGGTCAACGTATAATATAGACGATAGCGCTTAAGACTTTTAAGAGTTTTTCCTCGATTCTTTAATCATGAAATCATAATTTAAAAACTGGGGCCAACTGTATGGAAGATATATTTAGAAAGGTTGACTTGTAATTAGAGGCTACCTGGACAGAGCTGTCATCACCAACTGCTTAATTAAGAAGCGGGTTAGCGTTTACGTTAATTTTTTGTATTGAACTATTTTGAACTTTTATTTTTATTAAAAAATTTTCAAATGGATTTCTTAAAAATGAAATCTCTTATACTTTAGTTTACTATATTTCCCAGACTGATATGCTTAATATTACAAATGTTACTAGAAACAGATTAAAAATAATCCTTCCGAGTTATTTCATTAATCATTTCGTCAGCTGGCTTAATGACGAGGTGGTTAGAAAATTAGCTCTGTAGTACGTACTAGTATGAAATATACATTACAATTAAATAATCCATAATAATAGTATTGTATTTGAGAATTACTGTGGCAGAAAAAACAAAAGACATATGTACGAGAGTCGTAGCCGGACGGTGCTTGGCTTACTGGATAAACTATGATAATTGATTAACGTTGGTAAAAGATTCTACTTGCTGTTATTTAATCACTGAAAATTTAATTATTGTCTTTAATTATTAATTTAGTTTGTTAAAATATTTCGAGAATTGACATATAACTGGGTTACTTTGTTTGATACCTTCGCATCATGTCAATCATATAGATAAAATTTAAATAGCACACGATATTATTATTTTTGTTGCATTGTAAGTCAATATCAAATATATTAAAATTAATGCAATAAGGTAAAATAAAATAGGGATTCATACTACCAAAATCCATATGCCACGAATAAACGTATTTTCTTTGAGCCTTGTGCAATTTTTGTTTCTTTGGACATTTTTCCATATATTTTATTAGACACAGTGTAACTTTTATTTGTTTTCATTCCTCTAATCTTTGTCAATATATTTTCACAAGGTTAAGTGTTAAAAAGCTAAGCATAATTTCAAGAAAATTTTAAATTATTATCTGTTCTTTTATCCCACTAGTACAAATATCTATCTAGATTTACTCTATACATGTATAGTGTGTGTGTGTTTAATAATGGGCATGATGATCATATGCTTGGTGATGTATTTTTTTTATAGAAAGAAATTTAAATGAATATATTAGCTACAAAACATAAAAATCAATTTTACAATTCAAAAGAAAATAAAAAAGGATAATTACAGGAAAAAAATCAACAGGCTTGGTAATGTACTCTAATTTCATTTCATTTTAAATCTTAGGCAATTTAACTTCTATATATCCCAAAAGGTCAGTTTGATATAATAGTTATCTCATTTTTAATAAAAAATAAATTGTAAACATTGATTGTTAAAAAAGTGTTATGATCAAAAGGGTGTAATAGATACGAGAATTAATATTTATGAAACTGGCTTTATATATATACAGCACATTGAAAAATAATGAATTTTAAAATATTAAGTGCATGTTTGGATTGAATCCTAACTTAAATTGGGATAACTCTAATTTAAGTTGAGATGTTAAACATTTAATTTATCATGTTTGGATAACAAAAAAAAAAAACAACCATAGATACAAACCAACATTTTCAATAAAACTCATTCATTTGGCTTTTTTATCAGTAGTGCGTTGGGGTAGATGACTGTTGAGAGCTTAAATGCTTTTTGAATTTTTATTCTCTCTCTTCTTTATTTGCTATCTACGGATCTACCTCAACCATGTTGTCCCAAGCCTCTTTCTTCATTGCTGTTTCCATGGCTGCTCTGGCTTGCCCTTCACTCTCCCAAGTCTACCGAATTTGACCCAGAGATCACAGTCGTTGCCACCGACACCTGGTCTTCACCGTGTATGTTGCTCGCACTGAGTTGCAATGCTATCGTCCCTACTTCGACGTGTGGCTCCCGACCTCCACCTCCTCCATCGAAATGAAACAGAGAAGATCTTGAAAGCTCCTAATGAAAGGACAAATCTAACACATGTTGGAAGATAAGGCTGCAGGAATAATGAAATGAAAATGGAAAGGTGAAGGAGGTTGGGTCCCGCCATTTTTTCACTTATTCTTCTTAAATGTTCTTTTCTTAATTTTCTTTTTTTAATATATAATTCTTACATAATTTTAAAAATAATATTTCATGATTTCATGAATAATCAAATCATCTCTTCATAATTTGCTATCATTTCTTAATGCTCCCATAAAATCCAAAGGAGTATAACTCTCAATATTTAGATGATTAAAAATCTTTTTAGTGGGAAAACAAAATATTTTTTAATCCTACTTAACCTTATTACTATTACTACTACCCAATTATTTTTGTTTTAAAAAAAATCATGACTAGTTATTATATACTTAAAACTTAACTCAATTTGATAAATTCTCTTTCAAATAATTATCTGATAAATTTTAATTATTATAAAACAATTCCATGAGATCAATTTGTAGATCATATTAATTAAATATTTTATAATTTATGAATTTATTTTAGCTTTTTATTATTGAATATTTAAGATTTTTTACTTATTAACTGTAATTGTAATTTTATTATTTTTTTACTTTTTAATTAATAAAAAATATACATACACAAAAATAATGTTTATTTTTATTATTAAATATCTTAACTGATTTTTGAATCAAATCATCCAAACAAATTTATATTTATCTAACTGACTTTTTAAAAAAAATATCCAAATATAAATCATATTACATTAATTTAACTTTTTCTCTAATCTTAATTTACTAACTTCAATTGCATCTTAAACTCAGTTATAAATTTTTTAATCCAAACACACCCTAAGCGATTAAATCAAAAGCTGACCAATGACTTAAATAATTTTCCCCAACCATTTCATCCTCATCGGTTCTGAATTCTTTTACTACGGAGACAAAGCACGTGCACGTACATAAACGAATTGCAAAAAATCACTTTTGTTGAAAATTTTCCAAGCCAATGAGATTTGTTTGATTGATGCAAAAGAAAATTAAAGTATTCCTATGCTTCTTCAGCCAGCATTTAAATTAAAGAATAGTCAACCTATACCTTCGATAATAAAAATTACAAGTTGCCATATGATATAACAATGTTTTAATCAATTATTTCTTGGGGTAAACCTAACAAGTGGTAATTTTTTAACTAAATCTGAACTTCCAGGACTCTGCGCTAGCTCCCGTTTTTCTCATCTCTTTTCTCTGACCAAACTCTCCACAGGTTGAAAACTTGCAAAGAAAGTACATTTAGAGTGTCGAAAGCTTTTCCAATGCACGCACATTTGCGTATATATGATCTTACTGGTCTTTAATTTCTTGATCTATTTACCTACTGTTAATATGAGGTTGCCTCAGCAGTTCTTCATCCTTTCGCTCCTCACAGTTTGGTTGACATCTTTTGCTTCTGCAACAAATCTACCGGACGATGAAGGTAAGCACACATATATGATTTGTCGTAGGTCTACTCGTACGCGCGCGCTTTCTCTTTCGATTTCGTATAGAGTCCTGTGTTTACTTCTGCAATTGTACTGTGTAGTTGAAGAAGTAGGAAGCTTGTTTAATTAGGACGTGGGCATGAACTTTTTTTATCAATGTCAGTTTTATTAGATTCGATAAGTTTTATCAGAGTCAGTTTGATTAGTAGATGTAATTATATAGTTAAGTTGTTACTTCCGGCCTAGTCATATATTTAGCTCTGTATCGAAGCAATATACTTGTATCCGAGCTTCTATGCTCGTCTTCCCTCCCTGTCTTTCCCCTGTAACTCTATGGAAATATATAATATGTGTTGGTGATGTTGCGTGCGTGTGTGTGTAGTGCAAGCGCTGAAAGATATAGCGAAGACGTTGGGGAAGAAGGATTGGAATTTCCAAGTAGATCCATGCAGCGGAGGAAATGGATGGCTAACTCCAAATCCTGTTCGTGGCGACGAAAATAATGTCACCTGTGTCTGTTCTTTTCTCCACGATAATAATGCCACTGTCTGCCACGTCACTAACATGTAATACATCTTCTTCTTTCTGTCACTGAATCAGTACATTTTGTTTCAAGTTGTGTCTGTATTTTTGTTGGTCACCAATAATCTGGATTGCCCAATAAACTAACAGACTCCTGAAAGGGCAAAATCTTCAAGGCACGCTCCCTCGTGAACTGGTGAGGTTGCCCTATCTTCAAGAAATGTAAGTAAAGGGTCTTCCTGAATTTTTCCTCTTAAATTAACATTCCTATTATTTATTTCTCTGATTCTTAATTTCTCTTTGGTGTGGTACAGCGATCTCTCTCGCAATTACCTGAACGGCACAATCCCTAAAGAATGGGGCTCCTTGAATCATCTTGTCAACGTGTACGTACTACGTAGTCTCTGTTCCTCTTTCTCTGATTTTCTCTGTAAAATTTTCAATTTCTCTTCGTGATGATATATGTGCCATTTTTTCGTGTCGTAGTTCCCTTATTGGAAATCGACTAACCGGCCCAATCCCAGCGGAGATTGGAAATCTCATCAGTCTCAGAAGCATGTGAGTTTCCGAATATTCACGTTAGAATTCGATTTCGCCGATTTAATTATGTTGAAGAGTTCTTGAGGAACTTTGATTGGATAGGGTTTTGGAGTTCAATCAATTATCTGGACACCTACCCCCGGAGCTTGGGAATGTTTCCCAGATTCGAAGACTGTAAGGACTCTGTTTGATTTTCTATTCAGGTGACCATGTTACTAATAATATTTTGTAGAAAGTGTAATTTACCTAACGTCTAACTCACTAGTTTTCTTTCTCAATTATAAAATTGGTATAATGTTATAATTATATGAAATGTGAACTAAAATAAAAACATAAATCCTTAATTAAAATGAACTGCAAAAAGCTATTTTCGGACTATCGTTTTTGGTCATATTACATTGGGATAACATGAATAGAAGAGGATCGCATGAATTTTTATTGTTGATTTTAATTAAAAATGAAAATTTTCGCTTAAACAAAAGAAAAAAAAAATCTATGGGATATTATGTTACATTTTTATGTTTTTTATACTAATTTTGTAATTTGTAATTGTAATAATTAATAAAGCCTTAGTTCAAAGAAAATATAGTTTCCTGTTTTCTTTTCCTTTTCTTTTTCTTGATAAAAGCAGATTCTTATAAAAGCTCAACCTTTGAGAAATGAGATTTTTAATGCCCATCTAAGGTGGTCGAGCGTTCATACCGTCTTCTTAAAAATGGCATTTTATTCTTGAGCTTGGTCTGTTTGCAGAACATTGAAGTACATATTATATTAATGCTTACTGACTGATAATTGATTACATATTTCTATTCCTATATTCAAAATAATTTGTTGAAATTGAAGCAGGTTTCTTACTTCCAACAATTTTTCTGGGGAAATACCTGCAACATTTGCAAGGCTCACTAGATTGATAGACTTGTAAGCTTGCGATTGTTGTTCATTATCTAAACTGGAAAATGAAAATGTACTCATATTTTAAAATTCCTCTCTTACCGTTGACTTTTATCCACATATAATGCAGTCGAATTGGTGGCAATCAATTTTCTGGAAAGATACCCAGTTTTATTGGAAGCTGGACGAGTCTAGTAAAACTGTATCGACCCTTCACATTTTTTCCCCTCCAACTTTTGACATCTCTAATATGTCTGTTTTCCACGGAAAGTGTGTTTTATTTTTATTTTAAATTTTAACAGGGTGATCCAAGGGAGTGGTTTGAGTGGGCCAATTCCCTCAGAAATTTCGTTTCTGCATGACATGACTGACTTGTAAGTACGATTATTTTTAATATTGTAAATTTGTTACTAAGATTTCAAAAATAATAGCATGCTTAACCTTGTGTATGCAGGAGAATCAGTGACTTGAATGGACCTGATTCCACATTTCCACAACTTGCTAGGATGACAGGATTGAAAACACTGTGAGTTGAATGCTTAGATAAGCCACTGTTTCCTGGATATAGAGAGGGATACTGATGTCTCTTTCTTGCAAAGATTCACTTATTTGATTGTTCACCAGGATATTAAGGAGTTGCAATATCACTGGAACATTACCTGAATATCTTGGAACAATGACCAGTATAAAATCCTTGTAAGATTCCATTTCTTTCCCACCAATTGTGGATTTTGTTTTTCAGTTTTTTGGTATTATCTTGTTGAAAATCTTCTGAAATTTCTTCATTTGTTTTGGCTTTCAATATGCCTCTATTTTTCAGAGACCTCAGCTTTAACAAATTAACTGGACAAATTCCAAGCACCTATGCTGGCTTAAGAAAAGCAGGACACGTGTAAGATTTTAATTTTTTTCCCCCCAAGTAGTCTTCCTTGTATAATTAGTTACCCCAAAATCCTGGTAACTGTGTTGTCCGATTCAACTTCATCTGGTAGCTACAATACTCGAGCAAGGGAAATTGTCAACCTAGATTGTTTCCCTACTTAAAGCCATGGAAACACTTACCAATTTAAGAGAAAAAATTAGGATTGTCATGCGTGGGATTGAAACTTGAAAGTCCTAACAACCAATCTGTTTCAACAGTGAATGCCATTAAAATAACCTGAATGGGTTGTATCACTGAGGTAGATCGAGCCACAAGGTTGTGATTTGATGATAACAATGAAATGTCGAAACGTTTTGATGAATAAAATATGTTCTATTTATTTGGATTCTTGCGTAAACTCATCAGTGAATTCTGTTTTTAAGAGTCGAGAACTTCTATATATGTGCTTTCTTAAAGAATCCTTTTTTCTCAATGTCAAAGGTGCATGTCTTTGTTTCCTTTCCTTGTTGTAAAGGAACAATATCAGGGATGATAAGAATAGAGAAGATGAACTTCATGCTAAAAGCAGGATTTTGGGTTCAAACAGGTTATGTGATTGATTTTTGTCATCTATAATTTGAATAAAAAACATTACTGAAGTTAAACCAGTTAGGCTGATAGATGGATTACTTGGGACAATCTGAATCCATTGAATTATAGATCCAAAAAGGGGGGCGGGTTAAGAATTCTTATCTTATTAACAACGTTATTGCATCAATAATTAATGGGTTTCATCTCTCCATTTCCTTATGTCAAGGATTGCTTCAATCCAAAAGTTTATATTGTTTAGTGAATGGTCATTTTGATTTTTATTTGAAAAATTAATTATTTAGTTCTTATAGTTTTAATTTAATTGTAGCTCAATTCCTAAACTTTGACTTGTTATAATTCGGACATGAAGTTTTGACTCAGTTGAAAATTGAAATCAGTCCTTTAACTTTACCTCTTACAATTTAGTTCCTGAAATTTTAATCTCATAAATATTGGTTTTTATATTTTAAAAAATAAAATTATAAAGATTAAAAATATTTTAAAATTTGTTACTAATATTTAAAATTATTAAACCCTTTTAATCTTTATAAATATTATAAATATTAAAATTTTAAAATATTTTTAATCTTTATAATTTTATTTTTTAAAATATAAAAATCAATATTTAAGATATTGAAGTTTCAAGAATTAAATTGTAAGAGGTAAAGTTCATGAACTGATTTATAATTGAGTTAAAACTTCAGGACTGAGTTATAATGCGTCAAAGTTGAAGGATTGAATTACAATTAAATCAAAATTACAAGGATCAAAATGATTAACTTTCTCTTTTTATTTTTACCTCTGACAGTTGATATTGTTTTTACTCATTAGATATTTAACTGGAAACCTTCTCTCTGGACCAGTGCCTGAGTGGGTAGAACGTTCTGGCTTTGTGTAAGTCCACTTTCAATGATACTTATATGATTGCTTGAATTAACTAGTTCAGATTTTGCACATGATGTGAGTAATGAACCGGCCACAGAATATCGGTCGACGATCCTCAACAAAAATGGCAACAAACAGGAACATGAATAAAAATGAAGATTTGATTTCTGTTAACCGATAATAAATCTATGTTCTGCTCAACCCATTGACATATCCTTAATAGATCCAGATGATTCTGGCTGCTAAATATTCCATGTGATTCTTCTCATCAACCAGGGAATCCCATCAAGTTCTACTGCGGGCTGTATGCTTTCGTCTGAGAAAATGAATTTTCTAAACTATATTTCAATTGAATGTGTCTTGATAGTTGATTCTGCATCTTGTCAATTATATGGTTCCTATGTGGATAGAAGGCCTGGGAATAATTTTATTCATGCGGTGGGACAAAACCAGCCTTCTTATTTTGAATTATCTTTCTCATTATTACGTTCTGAATATATTTCATTTATTTTGGTGACTTGAATTTCTGTATTCGTGTTCCCATTTATTGAATGCTTCAGTAGGACATGAGCGCCACACCTACTTAACACTAAGGAAATTGTTTTCAAACTTTCTGATTAAGAAGCTCAACTGTAAATTTATCAAAGGAAATGACAATTAAGGATCCTGTAAGAATATTAATGATAATTACAGACCTTAAATATTAAAATTCAATAAAACACCATGGTCTTTATTTGCAATTAAAAAAATGTGAATGCTCAGTTAGGAAATATATTAATTATACTTGAGACTATTTGTAACGTCAGTTAAAAATTTATTAAAGTTAGTTGAAAATCTCAATTTTTTTTTGTTGTCAATATACAAGTAAATCATTTGGGAAATCAAATAAATATATTTGAAATTTTATGTAACGTTAATTGAGAATTTACAAGAATTAGCTATAAATCTCAAGCTAATTACTTATATTTTTGCTTTCAGTATATAGATAAATCACTTAAAAAATCTATTAAATACATTAGAGATTATTTATAACGTCTTGAAAAATCAACAAAAGATAATTGAAAATATTTAAAATGTTAGTTAGAAATTTACCAAAATCCATGGTGAATTTCAAGCCAATTAAATAAATGATAATTTATTGCAAGTAAGGATCATGATTTGTTATTAGGATTTTAATAATTTAGTGTCTATAATTGTCATTGCATTCTTATGGGTCCCTAATTGTCATTTTCCCACTTATCAATTAGACTAGATAGGAGAGATGCTTCTGTGTGTTAATTTTAATATTTTACTCATGATCCAGCATGTGTTTCAGAGACTACATTCTGAATTACATTTTATACCTTGTGCATAGAGATCTTTCATACAACAACTTCAGCGTTGGAAAACCAGGACAGCTAACATGTAAAACGGGCAATGTGTAAGAATCCTTATATTTCTGTGAGCTTATTCGTATTCGAAAGAAGCTATCTGACCTTGATAATTTCTACTATGACTTAGGAACCTGTTTTCAAGCACTTCGACAGGAAATGACTCGTAAGTCGTTTGTTACATGTACTTGGTTTAGTAATTTGGGAAAATGACACCTAAGAATCCAAATCCTAAGTTTATAAAATTCATTCCCAAGGTCTTCAAAAACCAAAACCAGTCCAAAAGGATCATTGGAATAAGCTACCGCTAGTATTTTCAAAATTATTATTTACGGGTTTACCCCAAAAAAAGATTATTACTCACGCTCTTTAATGTTAATAATACCTATAGTTTCCAATTTTTCAAGGGTGCTTTCAGCTAAAGGTGGTAACATGTCCAAAATGATTCTTGTAATATCAGAAAGATTAGGTTGTAATGCTAGAAAGTATGGATTATAATTTTGGGAAGCAATAGCGGCAATTTATTGATATAAATCTTTGGGAGAGATTTTTATTTTTAGGGTCTTTGGCTGTCAATTTTATTATCTTTGCATACTCAGGTGTCGTTTTCCCTAATAATTTGATTTTTTTTTTGCTGAAATATATATTTGGTGATTATATGACTTATTCTGCCCCTGCGGTTTTCTATCTCAGGGGAACAGTTCCATGTTTGAGAGGCTTTCACTGTCCTAAAAGTAAGTTCATGTGTCATGTATTTCCTATTGACATATCAATATTATTTTACAATTGGAACCTTTCTCCCCCTTCCTCCCATCTCATAAGGAAGAACGGAAAAGTTATTTTTCCCAGGCTGCCATACTAGTACACCGCGAGTTCGCATTCTCAGGACTCCTATAACTCAGTGCTGAAATTAAAATTATGAGGGATTGTGAAAGAATCAAACAATAAAATTGATTGAATGCTTCATTCTTGTGACTTCCTTGCCGTGCTTGATTCCTTGAGGTAATAGTATTTGTTGATGCTTTTCTTATCCCAGCCTGGTACTCTCTACATATTAACTGTGGTGGCCAGCAATTAACACAGAACGGAGGTACAACATTTGAAGAAGATTCAGATGGATCAGGATCAGCAAGATTTGATCAGAGTGAGACAAATTGGATAATGAGCAGCACAGGTTACTTCTTGGATAAAGAACGAATAGATTACTATACCGTGCGAAGTGCATCTGCACTCTCTATGACCAATGCTGAATTATACATGGATGCACGTGTTTCTCCGCTCTCCGTGAGTTATTTTGCATTTTGCATGGGAAACGGAAACTACACAGTAAAGCTCCATTTTGCAGAGATAATGTTCACAGACGATAAAACGTATAGCAGCCTCGGCAGGCGCGTATTTGATGTCTACATTCAGGTACATGGCTACTTATTTTTTCTTCATTTGTCAAGCAAAAGTTTGATGTAGATCAAAGGCCTTTGGCCAAGTGGAAACTGGGTTCCTTGGGAACAGCATCAAGCCAGATTTAGAGCATTTAGGAGAACTTCTGATACGTTCTGTTTTTTCATGTTCATAGTATTCTAGAAAGTGATATAATATTTGCAGAATTGTCACCAATCATTAGTTTGGCACTTTGGCTTATAAGTAATTAACTGTGATGAAATTGACATCACTATACCATACAACATTTTTAAACTTTTAATCGCCAGGAACAAATTAGGCTTGAAATGAAATTTTACAGGGAAAGCTGGTGCTGAAGGATTTCAATATTGCAGAAGAAGCGGGAGGAGTTGGTAAGGCAGTCATCAAAGAATTCACTGGTATTGTGACTGGGAATTCATTGGAGATCCGCCTCTATTGGGCCGGGAAAGGGACAACTGCTATTCCATATAAATCACTTTATGGTCCACTTATATCAGCTATATCTGTGGATCCTGGTGTGTTGAACTTCTCTGAAAGCCTACTTATTCTTCCATCATTGTGATGTTGTCATCTAATTATTTGCACCCCCCTTCCTTATAAATCTAGCAGACTTTAAACCCCCATCAGAAAATGGAAGTAGCATATCTGGAGGGACGGTGGCTGGCATTGTGGTCACTGGAGCAGCTATTGTAATCCTGGTATTTGGCGTACTTTGGTGGAGAGGCAGCCTAGGACCCAAAAATTCATTGGCAAGAGGTGATAAGTATAAAGCCAATCACTATTGTTTTCCATTATCATGATTATCAATAATTTCTCTTAGTCACTCAGGAATTCTCATGGACAAATATGTATATTGCATGCATGTAGCATTCATGTAAGTTTATAGTTTGTGTTTAGATATTTAGCCATCTGATTTCTGGTGCCAGTTTAGAATCTTGTTAACCCTGCTAGAAGAACGTATCAACTAATTTTTTGTTTGCTTACACTGACAGAGCTAAAGAGTTTAGATCTGCAAACTGGAATATTTACTTTAAGGCAAATTAAAGCGGCGACAAACAACTTTGATGTTGCCAATAAGATTGGAGAAGGGGGGTTTGGTCCTGTTTACAAGGTATTTTCCCAGGACACAACCTTTTATTGCTTGCTAAACATTCTCTGTTGACTTCAGAGCTTTACATGCACCATGCCTCAAAATGCAGGGTTTTCTGTCAGATGGCACCGTGATTGCAGTTAAGCAACTTTCTTCTAAATCAAAGCAAGGAAACAAGGAATTTATAAATGAGATAGGCATGATTTCTGCCATGCAACATCCTTGTCTTGTTAAACTTTATGGCTGTTGTGTTGAGAGAGATCAGTTGTTGCTGGTATATGAATACATGGATAACAATAGTCTCGCTCGTGCTTTATTTGGTAATTATTTCTTATTTGTTCAACTTAGGTCTCTGTGTTTGAGGCAATCTCCAATATTATACAAGTAACACATCTATTTGTCTGTAATTATTATGACTATCATATTCAAAAATGAAGGCCAAGAAGGTGGATTGCATTTAGACTGGCCAACAAGATACAGGATTTGTATTGGTATTGCTAGAGGTTTGGCTTTCCTCCATGAAGAGTCAAGACTGAAGATTGTTCATAGGGACATTAAAGCCACGAATGTATTGCTTGATAAAGATCTCAATCCAAAGATATCTGATTTTGGCTTGGCCAAACTTTATGAAGAGGACAATAGCCATGTCAGCACTAGAATAGCCGGGACATAGTGAGCTTCTACACTCTGCTTGTTTTCTTCTAATTGTGTTTATAAATAGTTTTATACAATTGAGTTGACTTATAAGAAATCGAAGATTGTGGAATTTCTAAAATCAATGTGATTGGTTGTGTTTTCAAATTCAGTGGATATATGGCTCCTGAATATGCAATGCATGGTCATCTAAGTGACAAGACAGATGTTTATAGTTTTGGAATTGTTGCACTGGAAATTGTTAGCGGCAGGAGCAACAACATGAACCATAGCATCCATCTTCTTGAATGGGTAAATATTCGCAGGATATTTTGCGTTCATGCCATTTATATTTTCCTTGAGATTATTTTTCAGGACAGTGTGTGATTGTCTGCAGTATCTCATGTTTCCTTGAGATCATGTTTAATTTCTTCTTGCTTTAGAATAGAATGCATGAACAGACTACTTCCATATACAATCTTTGTATACTCTATTTCTCTGTACGGAAACTGTTTATTTGTCTTAAAGGATAAACCAACTTTATAATTTTTTTTTTCCCAGGCACATTTCTTAAAGGAAAACGACAATCTAATGGAGATAGTTGATCCAAAGTTGAAATCATCGAAGTATATAAAAGCAGAGGCTATGGTGATGATCAATGTAGCTTTCTTATGCACAAACGTGACTGCATCACTCAGGCCCACCATGTCATCAGTGGTAAGCATGCTTGAAGACAGAACTGTTCGGGAGGTGGATTCAGATGCAAGTGAGGTATTGGATGAGATGAAGATGCGGAAGTATTACCCAAATATAGGGAAAAATAGCATTTCAGTGGAGGAGGGGTCATGTGTTGATTCACCTACATCAGTTACGGATCTCTATCCTGTTCACTTGGATTCCTCTTACTGGATGAAAAGAAATTAGAATATTTCTTCTTCTCATAGCGTTTTATGTTACCAATTTACAATACAAGTATTAATCCCTGTAAAATATATTATCAAGTATCAACAGATGCTACTACGGCATGTTAAAATCTGACTTGCTAATTTCTAATTAATTCCAATGTGGCATTATAATCCTTTAATTGGCATCTTAATTATCATCATTATCTTCAATCTTTTATAGGATATCTTCATATGTGTATGGTTTTTCATATTGAAAACTATCGAAACTATAACTTTAGATGCAGGTGACTAGCTGCTTTAGTTTTAATTAATGGTTTTCTATGTTAAACTAAACATGTTCTTCCCTTTTGCCGCTTCTCCCATTTTCTCTATCAACTTTCATGGAGAAAATTGTTAGGAAACTTGCTCGTGCAGATGGTACAAGATAGTTGTTTGGGTGAGGGGAGGGGGTGGAGTAAGGAATCTTCTCATTTTAATTTTTTACCCAGAATATGATCTTCATTTTAGACACATCTCGGCCGTTTAAGTGATCTGACGATTCAAGATTGCCACATCACACAATGCTATTCTCTTGTCTTTTTATGGAATTAAAATTATCAATCACTGTCTTAGCTTACAGAATGGGAGGAGAGTCTCTCCATTTTTTTCCCTCCATTTCCCTCCACTTCTCCATCCCCACCATTCAAATTATTTTATTAGACAATTTTTTTTAAATGATAAAATTAATGAATAGTGGGGATGAGAGAAGTGGAGGAAAAAAAAGTGAAGAGACCTTCTTCTCTTATTTTGCATGACTAAAAAATCAAAAAAGAAGCTTAATCAAATAAACATGAGTTGATCTTTTATAAATTATAACACACATACACACCTAGTCATTGAATATTTTAACCCCTTTCCGCTTCAATTCTTGAATGCAATTAAGACACTGACGTGGCACGTTACAAAGTTTAAATGGTTAGAAATTTTATATTGCACTGACAAGAAGGATTTCGTGAGGGAACGAGGGTCTCTCCACTTTTTTTCTCCACTTCCCTCCACTTCTCTCATCCTCACCATTCATTAATTTTATCATTTAAAAAAATTATTTAATAAAATAATTATAAACCCTCTCCCTAAGACTTGAAAATGAGAGGGTTGGAAATAGCTAAAGTTTTAAATAAATATAATTTATATAAAACTGAAAATTAAAAAGAAATTATAATAAAGGAAAAGTGACAGAAAAATTTCGCGGGAAATAATTTTTTTAAGACCTGGGATCTTGCTGTCATTATTTTTTATGAAACGACCATAATGCCCTTAATTTAAATTAAAAAAAAAACATGTTAGTTTATTCAATCCATATTTCTATGGCGCGGCTACAGCAGGTCGTTCATGAAAATGAGAGAGAGAGAAAGAGAGAGAGAGAGAGATGAGGAGTTGCAGAAGGAGAGCCCATGCACTCTGAATGAGAGAGAGAGAGAGGATTAAATGAGCCCATAAACAAAGTTTGTCAAAAATGGACGGAAGTGCTCGTAGCTATGTTTGTATTAGTTGATAATTTATTTTGTATCATCAGGTTATTCAGTATTCCTAAAAAAATAATTTAAAACTAAATTTGTACCTTTACCTTAATATTGAATTTTTTTATAAGCCCTTCACTTATCATTTCGCCGGCTAATTATTCAGCATAATTCTCTCCTGAGTCTCCGAACGTTCAAACTCACGACTTCACAGGTCACAGCAATGGGTGTTTCTCATTGACCTGCGAGTCGCTAATCTTCATGGCAATTATTCAATATAATTCTATTCTCTCAAAAGTTCGGTAGTAAAAATGGAAAATACTCCAACACATGACATGCATTTCTCCCAATCGTTAAACCACTTTTAATTATTTCACGTATAATAAAAAAGTAATTTTTTATATGATAAAAAAAGATGCACTTTTTTTTATTTCTAACTTTTAATAATGATATAGCTATATTAAATATTTTTATGTTAATCAATAGAAAGAAAAATTAAAAAAATTAAATATTATAAAATGTTATATATGTTGGATCAAAAATTATTTTTAAAGGACGTCCTACAAATAAAAAAACCATGATTATTTACTTGAGGATTTTATCTGGTGAAGAGGCTTGCAGTTTCTCGAAGTAGCACACTAGCTTTGCCTTTCTGATTTTTTTTTTTTTAATTCTGGTTGTTTCTTGTCTTTTGTGTTTTCCTCTGATTATTAAAAAAATTGAAAACATCAGTTACAAGTCGATCAGTAATTTTAAATAAATTAGAAGATTAATTGGTTAACTTCTTCAATGATTGAATTTCAGGTCGTCAATTCTTTCCAACAACTTTCTATACTTCCTCTGTTCCTATTATAAAACACTTGTTAGAAAGATTCTTTAATCCTTATGAGGCATCTGATGAAGCATTTTCTCAGTTTTATTTGTTAGAGAACAAATCATTTTTAATTTTTTTCACAAGTAAAGATAACATATGTTTTAAATTATTTCTCATAATTTATATTAATAAAAAATAAGTAATATATTCTTATATTAATTAACACAGGATATTTTAGTCTAATTTTTTATTTTTAGACATAATTATTATAACTAACTAGTTTTCTTAACTTCTAATTTTTTCTAATATCTACATGTAAATGTTGAACACACAAGAATATTTTTTTTTAAATCTTACTTTTCTTTGTTCATTTATAAGGAGGTTTAAAAAATGTCAACAGTTATAACACATCTTACAAAGATATGAAGCAAGGTTTTATTTTTATCCTCTGGCTTTAATGATATTCTTGAAAGTTGAGAAGGCATGATCATCTCAAATGAATAATAAACTGTCCCTATCATATCATATTCATTAATATTTTCTATTAGATAAAAATAATATAAAGACATGTTTAATTTCTGCTTTTAAAAACTATTTTTAAAAAATCTTGTTCATTTACTCTTCATAGCCTTATTTTTAAGTTACTTATAACATATTTTATTATAATTAAAAAAAATAATCCTCATCATCTCTACTTTAAAATTTAATACATTTTTACTATTATCTCCTAATAAAGATGAAATAATTATTTTTAACATTTTTTCTAGCATTCAATAAAGCCAAAAAAAAAGATAAATATAAAAAAACATTGAGGTGTCATAGAACTAAAATTATCTTTTTCTCTATACCCAATAAATAAGATTGTAGAAGTAAGTGTTTTGTATTTAAATATTTTAAAAACCATTCTCATTTTTCAGTTTTAAACATGCTAGATTTATTTTCATTTTTAAAACATATTACATTTAATTATTATAAATGACTTTTAATTATACCTAATTATTAGTATAAGCCATCATTATTAATTACTCGTGACCACCTGTAAGTTGTTTTTTGAATTTTAAATTTTTTTTAAATTAATATAGGTAAACAGATTTTCATTTTATTTTAAAAATAATATTTAAAGATTAGTAGATAATTAAAAAAAAAGTAGAACAAAATCAAATAATCCCTAACTCTCTCACAGCCATTTCCGTGTCAAACTGTCAAGTGTCAATCACTCAATCCCCTGGGAGATACGCTGGCAAGCGGCAAGCCATGTGAAAAGGTCAATGCAAGGTCTTGCTGAATCCAAGGTCGCGGGTGGGGCATTTCGTTTCATAATCGCTTGGTTTAACAACATAAAATATTTTTAACTAAATTTTAATTTTTAATAAAATATTTATTAATTTTTTAAATTAACACCACCTTTTTTCTTTTTTATTTTATATAATATAACATTTTATTTTAAAATAAATATAAAATAATTATTTATTAAGAGCATTTTAAAAAGGTGATAATTATATATTAAAATATTAAAAATATTTTATATTTTTTAACATTTAACTTCTTAAAATATATCTTATATTTTTAAAAGGAAAATAAGCCTTTAATATTCTCTCAAGGACAAACACAAGATCCTGAAGTGACAGAGATATAAATTATATAACATATAAAAATAATTAAAAATTAATTTATATATATGTATATATAATATTTAGCTTGTAAAATATTATTATAAAAAGGATATTTAAAATAATAATTATATAAAAATAATTTAAATTTAAATATAATGATTCAAAATTTATTTATTAGATTTAGTGAAATTAAAAGGGAGAATTTTAATAAACACCCCGTAATTATATTTATTTAAATTCAAAGATCCAAAATTTATAAAATTTTACCCTAATACAGGATACTTATTTGATATTAAATTTTTTAAAAATATGATACAATTACTCTTTATTTAAATTAATATTAGAATCGTCATACTTCACTTGTTTATTTTTTTATAAAATATTGTTAATTGTCCAATTTTATTAATTCATTTTCCTAAAATAAAATCAAGTGAAAATTTGGTAATGAACAAGTGAAGTAAGATAATGAATAAATGAAGTAGGACAATGAATAAATAAAGTAAGATAATAAATAACAGTCTGTAAATAAATAAATAATATATATTTTAGGAATTAATAAGTTATCTTATGATGGTTTAAACACAAAAATAAAAATAAGTTTAGTAGGACAATTAATAGCATTCTATAAGTAAATTAACAAGTGAATTAGGGAAGTTTCAATATTAATTTAAATAAGAACAATTTTGTTATTTTTGTTAAAAATTTAATATCAAATTAATATCCCTGAACTGTAATATAATTTTAAAAATTTAGGGACATTGAATTTAAATAAGTATGATTAAGAGATCTTTATTAAAATTCTTCCAAATTAAAAGATCCAACCTTTTTGTTAACTTCAAATGTATTAGGAGAATAACATTAAAGTCTTAAAATAATGAAATTATAACAGTGAAAGCTCCAAAACAGTTATTTAAAAATAATTTTTTTAAAAATTTTATTAAAAACTTCCCTATCATGAATTTTAAGTTTTGAAACTTTATTGTCAAATTTCCAAATATTTGGGTCTGGCCGGTTTAAAAAATTTAGGTTAATAAGGGGCAAATTTTGAAAAGCTCTACCAACTCCTTACGAATTTTTCCAGGTTGGGTGAGGCGGACGTTAGCCATTGCCCTCAGCTTCCATTTATGGGAGTCACACTCAATGTTTAGAATTAAGCTTTTGCCTGCATCCCCAGCAGCGATCAGCAATATAATTCGGCCATGAAGCTCATTCTGCAGCTACCATGTCTCTCCTTGATTATGAGCATGGCTTTAGGCTCTCAGCTTGTTCCAGAAGAAGGTACTCACTCTCTCTTGGCTTTTCAGCTTTTCGCCTTCCTATGTGTATCCCAAAGAGATTGATTAGTCAGTCACTATGAGCAGTGGAAGCTTTGAGAGAGATAGGAAAGACGCTAGATCTCTATCACAGTGGAAGCTTTGAGCAGTGTAAGTAACCAAAGAAAGTAACGGGTGAAGAGGCTTGCATCAAGGGGAGAGAGCAACCTTAGAGATGATGACTTAGGTGAAATAGGCCTAGCAGATCTCTATCTCAATCGTGTAACGTGTTGCTTTTGTTCTGTTTTGTTATTTTCGAGAAAATTAATTATCTAGGCCGTGTTTGCTTTGATGAAATCTGAGCTTGGGAAAAGAAAATGAAGAAGAGGATAGAAAAACTTTTCTAGTTTGATTGGGAGGAACTTGGCAACCGAAATTCAACAAAGAGAGTGAAAATAAAATTCCAAGACTTCGTCGATATGTTAGGAGCTCTCAGCCTCTCATCCTTCGTCAAACGCAAGTTTCGGATCTTGCTTAAAGATGTGATACTCCCCTTTTGTTGCAGTGAGTTTGAAGACGCAACTGGTGTCCCTTCGCCGACGACTTCTCCATCACCTTCGTCCCTCCACCAAGGCCTTACCGTCAATACCTTCCAGATCTACAAACATTGAAGCTGCGGGTTTGGTTGTTTCTGGGTTGAGATGGAGAGGGCAGCATGGTGTGAGAATAGGAACGGATATTATTGTCTTTTTAAAAAAATTTCCACCCAAACTTTCCGTGATGTGCTAATGTATCTATGACAACCTCACAATATAATTAGCTTTTTTGGAATAAAAAAAACCATAAATTTTATTAAATCTATTTTTTTTCATTTACCCTTGATAATAAAAGTACAAACATTACGTAGAATATTAGAACCCATTTGATTTTTCCTTTTAAAAATAAAAAAATAAAAAATTATTTAAGTAAGTGTTTTGAATCGAATTATTTTTAAAAATTATCTACTTTTTATTTTTAAAATTTTTAAAATAGAAAAATTTTAAAATTATTTTCATTTATTTTTTATTTTTAAAATACGTTATTGAAAATTACAGTAAACTTAATTGACAATTATTATAAGTCATTATTATTAGCTATCGGCGACAGTCACTATTGACCATTATTTTAGTTTTAAAATTAACATAGCAAAATGATATTTTTATTTTATTTTAAACAAATTGTTTGATTTTTAAAATAAAATAGAAATCAAACAAGTCACTGATCTATTTCATTTCCCTTTTCACTTATTTTTTCATCCAAGTTTCTTTATCCAGCTCCATTTTTATTTTCTATTGCAATTTTATTTTCATAATAATGCTTTTAGAGAATCACTAGGACTTAAAGGCCCTGTTTGGTATATGGGATTGAAAGTTAGGGACTGGTATTGGGATTAAGAAAATTTAACTTTTTATGTTTGGTATGAATCATTAAGCAATTTATACCCAATCTCAATCCCATCTTACATGGGATTATTCAGTACCACCCACTCCCCTGGGTTTGCAAAATCATTCTCGGGAATGAAAATATTTGGACCAAATTGCCCTTACCCATCCCTTTCTTGCGTCTCTTCTCTTCGTGCAACACAATAGCAAGCTTCGATTTGTGCATTCTGATCTATACACTCTGTTCAGTTGTCACGAAATCCTCTTCTCAAGCTTCGATCTGTATGCTACCTCAATGCTCAAATCTGTTCTAAGGAGGCGAGGCAAGAAATTGCGAAGGAGGAAGAGACGCAGGTGAAGGAGGAAAAACAAAATTCAGAGAGACGCAGCACATCGACGAAGAAGGAGATGGAGGAAGAGGAAAGATCAGAATCAGAGACATTGTCAACTTCTTCCAGATCCACCGCATTCGAACCTGAAACTGAAGCTGTATTGCCATGGTGATTTGTCGCATTCAACTGCTTCTAGACCTCACAAGCTAGGTTTTTTCTTTTGAATGTAAGGGGTATTATAGTCTATTTATAATTTATGCTTAATTGTAAAATAAAATAAAAGTAAATATTCCCTACACATATTACTTGATACCAAACATAATTTTAAATCCTCTTCTCAAGCTTCGATCTGTATGCTGCCTCAATGCTTAAATCTGTTCTGAGGAGGCGAGGCAAGAAATTGTGAAGGAGGAAGAGACGCAGGTGAAGGAGGAAAAATAAAATTCAGAGAGACGCGGCACATCGACGAAGAAGGAGATGGAGGAAGAGGAAAGATCAGAATCAGAGACGTTGTCGACTTCTTCCAGATCCACCGCATTCGAGCCTGAAACTAAAGCTGCACTGCCATAGTGATCTGTCGCATTCGACTGCTTCCAGACCTCACAAGCTAGGTTTTTTCTTTTGAATGTAAGGGGTATTATAGTCTATTTATAATTTATGTTTAATTGTAAAATAAAATAAAAGTAAATATTCCCTACACATATTACTCGATACCAAATATAATTTTAAAGTCTTATTCCCACTCCTACTCTCACTACCAATACCAACACCAGTCTCAATTTCAATCTCTCTAAATTGAAGCCTACATATCAATCAGGGCCAAAGTGTGTTTGATTGGAAGGTGTTGAGGAGGAAGGGACGGAAGAGACTCCTTCGTTTGATTAGGAAATTTTTAGATGGCTCCCCTCTAATTTGTAACTTTTTTTTATTAGAAGGATGTCAAAATTTTTTATCAGTTTGTCCTCAATCTTTTAACGATATTTCACAGTGACCTTTTTTCATATACCTCATCTCGTTGCTGGCTCACCCCTAAATCCTGATGATCTTGATGCACGACAGCATCTATTCTCTCGAGGAAGAAGCTGGTGACAGTTAGCAACAAAAATATTCCTGTTCTTCATTTTTTGCTTAATAATAAACAAATATTTAATTAATTTCTATATATACTAATTAATACAAACAATATTCATAAAACACCTCATCTAAAATTATAGTTTAATTTAATAAATATGGTGCAAAGTTAATTTACATAAGAAACAATTAAAAAATAAATAAAATAATATGAAAGGTATAATAGCAAATTAATTATTATCTCTTTTTCACTCCCTCTCTAAATCAAACAGGAAATCATTAAAAATCTCTCCTCTCTAACAAGAACACATAAAGTATAATTAAAATATTTCCTTCCCCGTCCATCTCCTCCTCTTCCCTCCCCTCAAACCAACATATTCTTAGTTTATGAGTTATATATCGTGAAATTATTATTTTTTTTTAAAAAGTTAACTTTATGATGAATAATGTATTTATTTATATAACCAATATCTTCTTTAAGTTTTTTTTGATGTGAAGTGTAGCAATTCTCCCAATTAATTCATGATGCTTTCATCATGGAAGGGCCCACTAATTTGGTAATTTTAGATTTGACTCTAATATTATTTTGCACAAGATTATTACTTTCGTTCAAAAAAGGGTAAAAAAAAACTAGCTTAATAAAATATGTTGCGCATCCGTTCATTCAGTCTAGACTCTCTTTTAGGTCCCTCCAATGTGGGTAATAAAGTAATAAACATATAACTCGCCTTTGGTTCCACTGCTCCTCGATAACGGGAGCCAATAAACTCAACAGAAGTATCTGAACATGCAGCATTCTCAGAGAAGAGAGTCTTCAAGGGACCCTACCGCCGGAGCTGGTCAGGTTGCCTCATCTACAAGAGCTGTAGGGACTTTCATTTGACATTTTTGGTCATTTCGCCTCGAATTTTATACCTGTTCGCTTCTCTTCTCTAAACTGTTGCTCTTTTCTACAGTAACCTCACACGCAACTTCCTTAGCGGCACAATCCCTCCAGAATGGGGCTCCATGAAACTTGCTACACTGTACTTTCTGTGTCATCTCTTTTTCCCGTCATTGGAAGCCATCCCCCCCCCCATTCTCGGTTTAAGCCTTGAATCGTGAAAGTAACACAACTCATTGACTCTATATGATCGTATGTTATGGCAGTGTACTCCTCGCAAACCGTTTAACAGGTTCAATCCCAGTAGAGCTAGCAAACATCTCCACTCTTCAGATTTTGTGAGTCTCTGATCACTCGTTTCGTTGAGAACTTTCCCTTTCAAATTCGATGATCGTTTGGAGATTTTAACTTTGAATCCATAGGAACATCGGTTTCAACCAATTTTCGGCAAATCTTCCTCCAGAGCTTGGGAAACTTCCCCAGCTTAAAAGACTGTAAGGGATATATTTTAAATGGACACTCGAATGTTGATTTGCATTTTTCCCCTCTGGTTATTTTATTAGTATATTTATTTTATGTTAAAATAGGCATCTTGCTTCAAACAATTTTACTGGGGAAATACCTGCAACGTTCGCTCAGCTAACCAAGTTGACCCATTTGTAAGTTGCGACTTTTTTAAAGTTTTACTATCAACAAACTGGTTACTATATTGTGACTCTGTCTGGAGTTACTAGTAATTGTTCATGTTCGTCTCTTTCTTCCAATGTGCTGCAGTCGAATTAGTGACAACCATTTCTCTGGAAAGATACCTGATTTCATTGGGAACTGGACGAATCTGACCAGACTGTGGGGCCTTTTCTACTTTCTGGTTTTCTCCTCTTTTAATTGTTAAATTATGCATCCCTATGATTCACGTCAGAATTTTGTAACAGAGCAATTGTCGGGAGTGGCTTGAGCGGGCCCCTTCCGGTTGGACTTTCTCTTTTAGCAAACTTAGTTGATCTGTAAGTATGATTTTACATGTGTAAATTTTGATATGCGAACTCCAACACTTCCCAGTTCAATTGTCGTTAATCACGCTTAAAATTTTTATGCAGGAGAATCAGCAATTTGAATGGACCTGTTTCGTATTTTCCCAAGCTTAATAATTTGATCGGGCTGAAAACAATGTGAGTAATGTAATAGTGGTTCTTTTTAGCTGTTGTAGTTGTAGCATTAGCCACACATTAGAATATGAGAATGCCAAAGTGTATGTTTAGTACACGAAAAAAAAAACATTTTCTATAAATGAAATAGGAAATGTATCTAAAAAAAAATGAGATATGTGCATTTCTCATCTTTCCAGAAAATACTTTTTAACCTATCAAACATTGCATAAGTATACATACTCCAGATTTTATTCATATTATTGGCCTCTTCTCCCAGGGTTTTGAGGAGTTGCAACATTGTTGGACATCTACCTGACTTCATTGGAGATATGCCAAATTTGAATGTTTTGTACGTCTATATTCATTTTTTTTTCCTTTATTTGGCCTAGTTGATGGTAAATATGGAGTTTTCTTTTGCATTGTTTTCTATAAATCTTTGACCAATATATCATCAATATATATATATATATATATAATTTTATAGACATAAAATTTTGTGGCATGTTGCACTATTTATAAATTAAAGAAATTTGGTTCATTTCTTAGATTTCAAGCAATATATGAGAAAACATATCTAGTTTATGCAAATTTCTTGTGATGCATACTTATTATTATTATTATTATTATTTTTTAAACTGAACTTTCTTTGATGTCCACAATGAAGCATTCAACGCACTAACAAAGTTGCATCAGACAAATTGCCTTTGTTTAATTTCCATGGATGATTCATAATTTCCTTTTAGTATTATGTATATTGTGTCTTAGATTACAATTTTTTTAATTGTAAATCCAGAAAATCCTTCTGCATTATAAAATTTGTATTTGTTCCGTTTTTGTTTCTAGGTGTTAGAATAGTGTTAGTTTATGCCTTAAGTCCTACATCTGTTGCAAAGCTGAACAATATTCACTGTATTGGTAAATAACCAAATTTAAGTAACACTAGCATCCCTTTATGTTTTCGAAGAATTCACTCTACTTTTATTCTTAATTTAGAAGAGGATCTGGGAGTTAATTGGGATGAAATGTTCGATTGTTATATATATCCCAGCAGTTCCAGAGTTTCTGGTTTTTGTATGCCTTGTCATGTAAAACTTCATTTCCCTTTCTGGTTTACACTTAAAACTAGTGGAGAAAATATATAGATTCAACTTCCTTCTCAAATATTGTTTTTTAAATTAAGAATATAATTCTATTGCAGAGACCTCAGCTTTAACAAACTATCTGGAGAAGTACCATCCCGCATCACAGGTCTATCAAGAGTGCAATCCTTGTAAGCCAAATTTGATTTTATCTACAAATAATTAACTATAATAGTTCTCTGAGCAATCTGTTAATATGTTTCTAAAAGACTAAACCACTAAGAGAGGGAGAAGCGGAAAGCAGAAAAAGCAGTTCATGAAGATAACCTTTTATGTTTTCTTGGTCAAATTGAATTGGCCTCAAAATGTTGATTGTAATGATGACTTCTGAGTCTAAGGGATGATTCTGAACGTCGTGGTTCTTTTGCTGAGATATATCTCTATTTAGACGCTCTCCCTCACGTGCACACAAACATAACACAATATTTTCCTTTTTCAAAGGATCACGACTATGCATCTACAGCTACCATTATATCCATGTCTGTTTCATCAATTGCAAATGTTCATTGTGAGTATTCTTTGTATTGAAATTTATTGTTTCCCATTTAGATATTTATCAGGAAACATGCTAAGCGGACCAGTGCCTGCTTGGTTGGCAGTAGGTGGAAATGATGTGTGAGCACTCTCTCTTCCAATACTGTCCTTGCCATTATTCAAAAATAGCTGAGTCACTGTCATGATTGGAAAACAATAGTAAGCTAGTATAATTCGTTTCCTCTTGTTGCTTGACGTGCATGTGCGTTTTTGGGTATGTTACTATCTTACTTCTGCTGCACCCTTCATCTCTCATTATGATCTTATTCTGTCTTTTGTTAGTGACTATCCTTTGACTGAACCTTCTATGCATGAAAAGATGATGTTTATTGGAAACTTTATAGGGTTCCATCAGAATATTTCATTGGCAATTTTGTATTCTAGAGGGTCTTCTGTTATGGTTATGGTTATTTCTGAGACAGTGAGACGGATGGAAAGGTTATTTTAAGTATGAAAGGCTTATATCTCAAATGCTTCTGCTTGATAAGTTGCTTTACAGTTGTGAGAGCAGTTTAATTTTTTCGATATATAAATTTGCTTGATCTATTGGAAGTCTTATAATGCAGAATATTAGCAAACTACATAGGAAAAGGTTTACAAAAGAAGAGGAAATTAAAATTTATCAAGAACTGTGGTAGAAGGTTTATCTTCAAAAATATTTGCAGCATATTGTACGGAACAATATACCCTTTCCTTATCCTTTGCAATTGCCGTTGGATGGCACTGTGAAGCAATTATTTTTTTTTTAAATTAAACTCATGACTGTTAAGTTTTAATAAATTTAATTTTAAATTATACTTTTAAAATTTAAATTGTATTTTTAAAATTTATGATATTACAACAATAATAAATAATTTTATCTTATTAGGTAGGGTTGACTATATTTTTTAAAATGTATGATATTATATTAATGTATTTTATATTTATATTGTTTTAAAATTAACTGTAATTTTTTTTCTTGCCAAATTTTATTTTTAATTTAGGTAGGGATTACCAATTTCAAAATGGAAAAAATATTCTCTATATTTTTAACATACATAGAATTACAAATTAATTGCCTCTTCTTTAGACAAATGAATTCATTATTGTCCTCTACCCCTCATATCTCTTGAATTTGACATTCCATATCTTTTGTACAGAGACCTTTCTTATAACAACTTCAGCGTCAGCAACTTGGAACATTCACCTTGTGAGCAGCAGAATGTGTAGGAGTGCTTGAATCTTTTGTGAATGTTTCTTTCTTTATTTTTAAGGTGTCTTTTAGAAGTTTGCTCAGTTCCTAAAATTTTCTTATTTGCTTAGGAATCTGTTCGCAAACCCTTTAGAAGGAAACAGCTCGTAAGTTCTTAGTTATATTTCCTTTACTTTATAATGTTAACTTTATATAGCATACTTGGACAAATGTATTTGTTTGTACATTTTGGACGCATTTCTCAAGACTTCATATCTTCCCAATTCCAATAAAATCAAAGATGCTGAGCCATTTGATTTAAGAACTAATATGCAAAATGAATGGTTTGATTTTTACTTTTTATCGTTTTAGATATAAATTCCCATTTGATTTAAGAACTAATTTGCAAAATGAATCCATGATGGTTGTGGAGAGAAAATAAAATAACAAAGGAATTGTGAAATATAAATTCCCATCCAAGTTACTGAGGGCAATTAAGAGTGTTGCTTTGCATTATTTCGTGTTTTCTTATTTACTTTTCTAATTGGGAAAACAGAACTTTTGGTCCTCAAATTGTCATGCAATTTGTAATTTGGTTCTTGTGTTCTAACTGATATTAAACTAGTCCTTAAAGTTTCAGATACTTGTAGATTTAATCCCTGTGATCCCTACTCAGCTCTAGGATACTATTTGTATGAAAAATTGTTGGTGTAACTTTTAATTCAAGGGTGTGATTGGGTGAAGCAACTAACTAAGAAACTGTTTGCATAGTACAAACATACTGGTGTTAGTGCTGAGCTGGAATCATAGGGATTAAATCTATAAGTATTTGAAACTTTAAGGACTATTTTGATACCAATCAAAACGTAAGGACCAAAGTGCAAATTGGGTGGAAATGGGGTGCCAAAAGTTCCATTTTCCCTTTTTAATTTGTATTCATTGTAATAATTGGATATATTACTTATTTCTCCTCTATGAAACTACTTAATTACAGTCATCCCTTGTGACCAAAAACACCTCACAACTAAACTCAACCAAAATATGTTTGAAGCTAAAGTTTTGTTAATAAAAAATATGAATGATTGAAAAGAATCCTTTTCCTAAAGATTTTCTTCTTTATTTTGTGCTACGGAGGAGATCTGTTCAAAAGTACAATTGTATGTTTATTTTCCTCTAATTTCCTTTTGAGTGTGCGTACTGTTTTTAATAATGTTTTAATAAAAGGAATTTAGTTTGGAGATGGTATCTTTTGGCTTTAGGACAAGGCCAGGTAAATTTTTATAATAGACTAGAGGAATGTGTGATAAAATAATCTTTTTGGGGAGGGGAGAGAAATTTCCTGCAAATAATATCTTAAAGATTAAAATTCTGACTTTTTCTGTGTATTTGATTGTTATTTCAGTGGACTCATCCCATGCTCCAGAAGTTGTCCTAAAAGTAAGTTAATGGATCAATTATCAGGGGTATTTTCCTTTTTCTATGGCTCTTAAAACGTTTATGTTTCTATTTAATGATGAGAAGGATGTTATTGGGCCTATAGGGTTGGATGTGAATGACAAGAGAAGGGTGAGTTAAGAGGTTCCAGCAGTGACAAATTAGGGGCTGGTCACAAGGGTTTTGACATGTAAGAGAGAGAAGGCAGGGGCATTGGTAGGGAATATCTAAGGTGGAGGAGGGGGTTAGTGAAAGACAAGGAAGAATTTGGTGTGCTGTGGTGGAATCTCTTGCCTCTCAAACACTATCGTAGTTTATCCTTTTCTTTATAAACACCATATCTGTTAATTCCTATCATTACAGCTTCATCTATACATCAGTGTTATCAGTTTCCACTGGACCAATTTTTGCTGCTCATGCAAGCATCCAGTTCCTTAGGGAGAATGAGATACCTGTCATTTCACTTGATCTAGCAGAGTTTACTGCACAGCTTTTACAGCATCTTGTAGCAGTGAAATATGACATGTAGACCAAGAATTGTAGATCCAGTTTCAGAAATTTTATGAGTCACACTTGTTTGTTTTCCCTTAGTCTTTTGAAACTTCGATTATAATTCTTGAGAGGGTTGTGCAAGTCTAAACCTCTCAAATGGTGGCCTCTCACTTTTGGATCTCCTCAATACCCGTGTTAAGTAATTTTGCTGTACTAGATTTTAAAGGTTTTTAACACAAACTTTTAGTGTCTGAGTCATTAGATGAAATTTACCCTTTTTCTCATCTTATACACAAATCTCAAGCTAATCCAACGATGGAAAATCTTGACCTCTTCACAACGGAATCGTTCTTGGCATGTATGGTCTTCATTACAATATCAGCTTCAACAGGCACCTGTTTGGATGTGTGCATGTCTTCTCTTTAACCAATTTCTTTGGTGATGAATTCCTGGCAGAAGAGCTGATCACACGCTCAATAATAAAACTCATCATTAATTCTTTCATTCACTTGACTCCCTCCGGGCTTGCTCCCCTTTGTCATTTGCAACGCGCTCACTAGTTTGGTAGAAGAGTGCAGGCCAGCATTCATGGCTTGTTTTAGCAATCTTATAATGATTGTCTTTTTTTTTTATTATTATTATTCTAGTGTCCAGCTCATCCAGCTGGTCCAATAGCATCTATTCCTGAGAAAGGAGCTCTTGGATTTTTTTCTCCTACGCACTCCTTGTTGAAATGTACAAGCTGGATCATATCATGAATTGTCAATAAGAAATGGGAGGTTTTGTTTCTGTGGAGTGGCATGCATTAAGCCGTCATCCCCTTCCTTTGTTCGCGAAGAGAATAAAAGAAAAGAAAGAACCCTAAAAAATGGCTCTATTACACATTGTGCCAAAAGTTAATGGGTAATTTAGAAAATAATGTTTGAATAAAGGGTTTGTTGGCAAATTCCATAGCCCTTTTATTATTTTGAATAATTACTGCTTACCAGATCTTTTCTGTACTTCTCTCAGCTTACTATTCATTCCACATAAATTGTGGCGGAAAGGAAATATTTGTTGGAGGAAAAAATTATGAGGAAGATAGCAACCAGGGTAGAGCAGCACAACTATTCCTGAGTGAAAGATCAAACTGGGCCTTCAGTAACACTGGTCACTTTCTTGATGATGATCAACGTGCCTCACCAATATATATTGCACAAACTAATTCTGAACTCTTTATGGCCAATTCTGAGCTGTACACAAGTGCACGCCTATCTCCCATTTCCCTGACTTACTATGGTTTCTGTCTGGAAAATGGTAACTACACAGTGAGCCTTCATTTTGCTGAGATAATGTTCACCGCTGATAAAAACTTCAGCAGTTTGGGAAGACGAGTATTTGATATCTCTATTCAGGTAGAGAATGCATGATTATTACACCCAATAAAATCTTCATATCTTCAATTTATTCAATGAACTCATCAACTCAGTAATCTGGATTTAATGTGATTTGACAGTGTTACAAACAACAACAATTACATTTTTCAGATCTTATGAATATCATGAAACATGTATTAATTGGATGGAAATATTAGGGAAAACTGGTGCAAAAGGATTTCAATATTGCAGCTCAAGCAGGAGGTGCTGGTAAGGCAGTCGTAAAAAATTACACTGTTGCAGTTAACCATACTGACTTGGAGATCCGATTATATTGGGCCGGGAAAGGGACAACTAGCGTGCCTCAAGGAGGAATATATGGTCCTCTGATATCAGCAATTGCTGTGGATGCAGGTGTGTTATATTACTTAATAAATTATATTGTCTTGTCAATTAGCTGAATTCTGTGATCTAGTCTGTACATTGCACACCTCTTTTTCGTTGATTATGTGACCAGATTTTGCCATCCCATCCGAAAGTGGAAGTCTTCCACCTTTAGGTGCTATGATTGCAATTGTTGTTGTGGGAGCAATTGTGATGGTCTTGATTTTGGGTATACTTTGGAAGATATGCTGGTCCAAGAAAAAAAGTTCACCTGATCCAGGTGCGTGCAATGAAAGTGATTGTTACTGTTATAGACTTGTAGTTACCAAAGTTTTTTTCTTTTTGGCTGAGGATCTCAAGAAGACTTGCACATGATGTGCTTTTTGCATTGCTAATATATAGATCTTGATAGATTTGATGAAATAGTAAACACAGAATCAAATCTATATTAACCCATACAATCAATCTTATATCAATTTTTAGGCATAGAGATAGAATACGAGAGCGTACCTAAATCCATTGCTTGCTTGGATTTTTGAGTATGTAAATGAACAGGTGTGTTTTCTGGATTTGTTACCAAAGAGAATTCTGTATGTTTCTAAGAAGGGAGACTAAAAAATGTTCTGACTAACCAGCCAAATAAGTGACCACAACCCCTATTTATAGAGTTAATAGGTTTGTGATATTTATGATTCCCCCCCCCCCAAACAAATAATAAATATCACTTTGGTTTTTACTCATTTATTCCATCACAATTATATGCCTAAATCTTAAAACTTTAATCTAAATAGATCACTTTATTTTGACTTAATTAAATAATAGCCACACATTTTTATTATATGCATGTGTGACCCCATATGTTATATTTTATTTCCAACAGATCTGTCTTTGGGTTAATTTGTATTAAATAGACATATGTAAACTTTTAATCTTTATCTTACTCAAATCTGACATAGAAACAGATGCAATGGTTGATTAATCTACTTATCTCATTGTTTTTTTTTTTTTTGACTGGAGATTAAATGATATGTATGAAATTGAATAAAATGCAATTTGAAATGGTTATCTCCAAATAACTTTGCTCTTTCTGTTGCCTGTAACAGAACTAAAGGTTTTGGACATGCAAGCTGGTTCCTTTACCTTGCGGCAAATTATGGCAGCCACAAACAACTTTGACATCGACAATAAGATTGGAGAAGGAGGTTTTGGTCCTGTTTACAAGGTGTCTTATCTTCCATAATTTTTTTTTCCTATTGATTTTTCGTGATTATGTGTTTCTCGGCCTTCTTGAGATGTTCTTTCTCTAACCTAAAAACACTTGTACTTTTTATCAAATGTAGGGCTTCTTGTCAGATGGAACCACAATAGCCGTTAAGCAGCTTTCTTCTAAATCACGCCAAGGGAATCGTGAGTTCTTAAATGAGATCGGGATGATTTCTGCTCTGCAGAACCCTCATCTTGTTAAGCTTTACGGATGCTGTGTTGAGGGAAGTCAACTACTACTGGTATACGAGTATATGGAAAACAATAGCCTTGCCCGTGCTTTATTTGGTGAGGGTTGGCTTTATGTTATTGTTCTATATTTAGGCATGATTTATGATTTACCACAAAGATTTTCCATGCTTTCATCATCCTTAATTTCACTAATTTGGCAAATGAAGGCCCAGAAAATTGCCGGCTAAATCTGGATTGGCCTACAAGGAAGAATATCTGTATCGGTATAGGGAAAGGTTTGGCTTTTCTGCACGAAGAATCAAGACTGAAAATTATTCATAGAGACATTAAAGCCACTAATGTACTGCTTGATAAAGATCTTAATCCCAAGATTTCTGATTTTGGTTTGGCCAAGCTTCATGAGGAGGATAGTACACACATTAGCACCAGAATAGCTGGAACTCGGTCAGTAAGTTAATTTTAATTGATAACTTTTTATAATTATTATTCATATTTGTCGGGATGACATCTCTGGAATGAAAATAAAACCATGGTAGTAGACATTGCCTTCACGAAACATTGAAACTAATGATTATTTTGATTGAATTAAAGGTAACGTAGTACAAAGAAAAAATTTAACCCTAAGGCACTTGTGATGTAAAACACACACACTCACATTGATTTGAACAGAATAGGATGAGGAAAAGAAACAGAATCAGAGAGTGAGAGGTGAAGGGGGAGCGAAAACAGAGGGGAGAGATGACAGAAAACAGAGAAAGCAGGGGAAGTGGAGAGGGACACAGAACTGATAGATAGGGGAATAGGACAGCAATTCATTCCAACTCTCAGAACTTGCTTACATGTGCTGCATGGTGGCTTTTTATAGAAGCCACAATTAAGGTTTCCTTCTTATGAAGGAAACATAAAATGAAATAAAATATAAGCTTGAGGTTTCCTTCCCTATAAGGAAAGCTCAACTTGCAGATTTAAATAAAGAGTAAAACAAACAAAAGCAGGTCAGGTTTCCTTCCTTTAGAAGGAAACTTACAAAATACTAAATAATGCAAAAACAATTATTTCTTTCTAAAATAACATTTGCCATATTTTCTATCAATTCTCCCCTACTGCAAAGAACTCTCCTCCGGAGAGGTAGAGAGTTGATAGGCTTCTAGCAAGGCAGGATTAAGTTGTTGGAATTCATCTTCTGAAATCCAGGTGGCATCTTCATCAGATCGACCTCTCCAACGAACCAAATAACGACGGATGGGCCCCTCAGAGGTAAAGACCATTTGATCATCCATAATGGTCTCGATTTCATCAACTGATGGTGAGACAGCAGGCAATGATGGAATTGGCACTTGTGAAGGCTGAGTACCCGCAAAATCATCAGAAAGCAAAGGGGAAGGCTCAAAAGTTCCCCGATAAGGCATAAGATCCTCTACATTAAAAACTGGACTAATGGCCATATCAGAAGGTAGTTCTAAAAGATAAGCATTAGGTCCTAATTTCTTTGTTATGTGAAAAGGTCCCGCAGCTCGAGCATGCAACTTTTTAAAAGCTTGTTTAGGGTAACGTTCTGGACGAATGCGAGCCATAACATAATCACCTATTTCGAAGCTTTGAAATCGACGATGAGTATTAGCAGATAATTTATATTGATCATTACTTGTTACTAATTTGCGCCTAATTTCAGCATGTAAGTCATGAAGGCGATTGGCAAAGGATTCCGCAGATTCAGAAATGCGAAATGTCAACGGGATTGGCAGGAGGTCAATAGGCTGTTTAGGATTAAAACCTTGAACAATCTGGAAGGGACTCATGCCTGTAGACCTATTCACTGAATTATTATATGCAAACTCTGCAGTGGGTAGAACCAAATCCCAGTTCTTTGGCCTGTCTCCAACTAAACTCCGAAGCAAATTACCCAAACTGTGATTAGTGACTTCAGTTTGACCATCAGTTTGAGGGTGAAAAGCAGAAGAGAACTTCAATTGGGTACCAAAAAGTTTCCATAGGGTCTTCCAAAAGTAGCTAACAAACTTGACATCTCTATCAGATACGATAGTGGTAGGTAACCCATATAGACGTACAATCTCCTTGAAGAACAACTTTGCCAGATGTGAAGCATCTGTAGTTTTGCTACAAGGAATAAAGTGAGCCATCTTTGAAAACCTGTTCACAACAACTAATACAGAGTCATGACCTCTAGCTGTGCGAGGCAATCCTAAGACAAAATCCATACTCAAGTCTTTCCAGGGTGCCTCGGGAATCGGCAAAGGAGTATACCAACCGGTATTCTGTCGCCTGGCTTTAGAAGTTTGACAATTTCGACATTGAGACACTATGCGAGCCACATCACGCTTGAGTGAAGGCCAGTAGAACCTATCTTCGACTAATGCCATTGTCTTATTAACCCCGAAATGACCAGCTAAACCTCCAGCGTGTAACTCCCATATAAGAAAATCTCGCATAGAAGTACGTGGGATGCACAGTTTTCTCCCACGAAAGAGATGACCGTCTTTAATGATGAAATCAACATGCTCATGACGATTATCACTGCGAACTTCTTGGTATATTATCCCAAAATCTGGACATGAAGCATAGTCGTCCTTCAAGTTTTCAAAACCAACAACACTAACGCTCATAGTGTGCAACAAGTTGATCCGACGACTCAGGGCATCAGCCACTATGTTTTCTGTTCCTGAACGATGCTTGACCATAAAAGTGAATCCCTGAATATACTCAACCCATTTAGCATGTTTAGCATTTAAGTGCCGTTGAGAGTTGATAAACCTAAGCGCCTGATGATCAGAGTATAGAACAAATTGTTGCGGAAGAAGGTAGTACTTCCAATGCTCAAGGGATCTCACAATCGCATAAAATTCCTTATCATAAGTGGAGTACTTTTGTTTGGCATCATTGAGCTTTTCGCTGAAGAAAGCCACAGGGTGACCTTCTTGGCTTAGTACACCTCCGATTCCTGTCCCAGACGCATCACAAGCAACTTCGAAACACTTTGTAAAATCAGGTAAAGACAAGACTGGAGCTTGAGAAAGCTTCTTCTTAATATCTTGGAAAGCCATGGAAGCTGTAGATGTCCACTGAAACTTGTCTTGTTTTAAGCAATCAGTGATAGGAGCCATAATGGTACTGAAGTTTCTAATGAAGCGTCTATAGAAAGAAGCAAGGCCATGAAAACTCCGTACTTCATGAAGAGATTGTGGCTCAGGCCATTCTTGAATGGCTTGGACTTTCTCAGGGTCAACTGCTAAACCCCTTTCAGAAACTATAAAACCTAAGAAGATGACTTGATTTTGAAGAAATGAACACTTAGGCAAGTTAACATAAAACTGTTCTTGACGCAAGGTGAGAAAAATTAACTCGAGATGTCCCAAGTGTTCTTCTCTTGACTTGCTAAAAACTAGTATGTCATCAAAGTATACCACCAAAAACTTTCCCAAGTAAGAGCGAAGGAGGTGAGTCATTACTCTCATAAATGTACTTGGTGCATTTGATAACCCAAAAGGCATGACAAGCCATTCAAATAACCCATCTTGCGTTTTAAAAGCAGTCTTCTACTCATCTCCAGCCCTAATCCTGATCTGATGATAACCACTTCTGAGGTCAATCTTTGAAAACCAGCTAGATCCAGACACTAAATCAAGCATGTCATCAAGTCTAGGAATGGGAAACCTACACTTGATGGTGATCTTGTTGATGGCTCTGCTGTCTACACACATTCTCCAAGAGCCGTCTTTCTTTGGGGTTAAAAGAGCAGGTACTGCACAAGGACTCATACTATGCTAGATATAACCCTTTTCCAACAATCCACTGACTTGTCGGTTAAGCTCTGCTCTATCTTTAGGGTTCATCCTGTAGTGCGGTAGATTGGGGAGTTGTGAACCTGGAATGAAATCAATTGCATGTTGGATCTCTCTCATTGGTGGTAATTCAGATGGAAGCTCACGGGAGTGATATCCCGAAATTGTTGTAAGAGCTATTGCACTTCCTCTGGCATTTTTGAAGTAGTAGCAATTCGTTGCGAGATCTTGGATACCAAAATAAACACGATCGTACTCTCTCTGCTTTCTTGTACAAATTGTTTTTCTGTCAGAAGATGCAAATTATGGGTTTTGGGTTTTGTGCCCTTTGATTTACTTGAGCCTTTGCCTTCATTGTCAGGCTTAGCAGGACGTAACACAGGATCGTCTTGCCTCCATGCTTAAATGTATAGGTATTCTCACGACCATGATTGATAACATTGTGGTCATAAAGCCACGGTCGGCCAAGTAAAATGTGAGCAACATCCATTGGAAGAACATCATAAATAATCTCTTCTTTATAGTCACCTAAGTGAAGAGGAACGCGACATTGTTGCGTGACTGGTAAAGAAGTTTTGTCGACCCATGCAACACGAAAAGGTTCTGGGTGAGGTTCTGTCTTGAGATTGAATCGGGCTACTCCTTGACTAGAAATAACGTTTCTAGAACTCCCTCCATCAATCACCAATTTGTAAGCTTTATTTCCACACTTCACAAAAGTATGGAAAATACTTGTTCGCTTCCATGAATCACTAGGCAGAGGGACAGATAGAATGCATCGCATAACTCCAACTCGACGTGTCTCACACCCATGTTTATCAATGATGATGTCCTCATCGACATCTGAAGGACACTCAACTGGATCTACGACAACGTCAGCATTTGCATTGTCTTCCTCACCGTCATATTGTGAGTCAATAACTAGAGTACGCTGTGGGCATTTTGACGCAATATGACCCTTTGAGTGACAGCAAAAACACTCAACAAAGGAATTGTTATGGCGGGAAGCAGGAACTATAGCCTCACTAGGCTGCTTAGAAGTATTACCCCTTAACCCAATTGCTTGAGTAGGTGTAAAAGACGAGCTAGGCCTAGATGTAAGTGCTCTTGTTGGTCGTTCAGACATACTGGAAGTTCATGCTTGTCTAAACAGATTGCTCTGCATGTCGATACGCTTTGCAGACGAGTACTGTGACAGAGACTCTACTTCTAAAGTCTTATGATAAGCTTTTTCAAGAGACTCTGGAAAGTTTAACTTGAGCTCCTTCTGTAGATATGGCTTGAGACCATTAACAAACTGGTAATGGTGCGCCATTCCTCTTCATCCACGTCACATCTAATCATAAGGTCATCGAATTGAGAAATATACTCGGAAGCTGTGGAGATTTGCCTCAAATTAAGGTATTTGTCATACAGTTGACTCTTATAATGAGTCGGCACATATTTTTCTTTCAGCTTGGCCTTCATTTCATCCCACGTCTCAATCGGTGGATAACCTTGTCGCTCAATGTTCCTTTGGACATTTTGCCAATATTTCCTAGCAGATCCCACGAGCTTCATCTTCGTAAACCGAACTCGCTGAATATCTCTCATGTCATACCATTCAAAATAATCTTCCATGCTAGCTAACCAATCCAGGAATGCACTAGGATTCAATTGTCCATCAAACTCAGGAGCTTCAACTTTAACCTTTTTGGTGATATCATCAATATGTGTCCTTCTAAAGCCTTCTCTACCATTCCTATGGACTAACTGGTATGGTCTATGATGATGTTCTTCAGGCCCTTGCCCATCCCAAGTATCATCTATGTCATTAGAATGATGATTGGTAAACTCATGAAGAAATGTTCTACTGTGTCTTTCACCCATAGCTCTAGAGGAATGACCAATCCTAAGGGAATTACCTCTAAGTTGATTGCGGACTGGGAATTGTTTATTTTTAAGACTTGACTCTCCTCTAATGATAGGTCTTTCGAGTATCCCTTCAGTTGTTTTCCCTGTATCTTGTCTGTATGTCAACTGAATTGCACTCATTATCTCTTCAAATTTATTGTCCATGAATTCTTTAATTTCATCTAGCCGCTGGTCCACATATGCCCTTTGAGTCCTTTCAGATTCCTCAAGATGATTTTGGGTGATTTGGGAGTTATTAGCCATGACAGATTTTAGGGCAGTAATTTTTTAGTCTAATAAAGCTTGCTTATCGTATAAATCACGAATGATCATACAATGACAAAGATGGTATGGTAAAGTGCAAGTTTGGTGTGGATTTAATAACCTAAGGAAGAAAGGTCCCCAAGTTGCCCTTACCTAAATAGGTGAAGTCCCTTCTTTAACAACACTAACCCTTTGAGAATTCAAAAATTCCACAGGGATCGTATGCTAAATAGGTAACAACTCGAGTGAAGTCTTCACAGAAATCTCCGAAGGTTCAAAAACCTTTCAGGAAAACCGTTAGAAACTTCAATTAACCTAGGGTAATTTTTGGACACGGGTATAGGGCAGAATTGTGTGTGAGGTAGGTGTCTTAGGTTATACGAACACTGCTATCAAAAGTCACAAATTAACAACCTAATGATCAATGTAAATTTTCCTTTTTTTTTATATATATATTTATATTTTTTCAAAATATTAAAACATGATTAAAAAAAATAAAAATAAAATAAAAATTGCAATGCTCAAAGAAACCAAAGTACCACACAACAAAGATTTCAGAACTAGCTATGAATGAAACACCTCCCTTTAAGAACCAAGTAAGCTAGTTAAATGAAAGGGTCGTCGGCCTTACCAGCATTGCTTTAGGAGCTCAAAACAAAAAGTTTTACCCCCAAATAAGTTTTAGATGATGACTTGCGCCCCTCGGCTCCTTCAAAGTTGAACAAATTCTGCGAAAACACACAGAAAACATTGAAATCACGTTCTGGCGGCGACTGTACGGACGGCGCGTGTGATGGCGCGTGAGGCGAGTGAAGACCACGCGCAGAAGCTCCACCGGCGCGTGACAGCGCGTGTGACTTCGGGGCGGAGGTGTTCTTTTTGGTTCTGACCGGATTTTCCCTTTTGAGCACGATGGTAGCGTCAGTTTTTGGATCTGACGTCGGGAAATGTGATTCTGGGTGCTGGCAGCGTGAACAGAGTATGCTGAGCTCCCCTGAGAGTTTTCCTTCGATCTCCGGCCGCGGAAACAGCCTAGGAACGTTCAGAACCAGGCTCTGGTACCAAGTTGATGTAAAACACACACACTCACATTGATTTGAACAGAATAGGATGAGGAAAAGAAACAGAATCAGAGAGTGAGAGGTGAAGGGGGAGCAAAAACAGAGGGGAGAGATGACAGAAAACAGAGAAAGCAGGGGGAGTGGAGAGGGACGCAGAACTGATAGATAGGGGAATAGAACAGCAATTCATTCCAACTCTCAGAACTTGCTTACATGTGCTGCATGGTGGCTTTTTATAGAAGCCACAATTAAGGTTTCCTTCTTATGAAGGAAACATAAAATGAAATAAAATATAAGCTTGAGGTTTCCTTCCCTATAAGGAAAGCTCAACTTGCAGATTTAAATAAAGAGTAAAACAAACAAAAGCAGGTCAGGTTTCCTTCCTTTAGAAGGAAACTTACAAAATACTAAATAATGCAAAAACAATTATTTCTTTCTAAAATAACATTTGCCATATTTTCTATCAACTTGGCTATGCTTACTCTTCATCTTGACTAGAGTACATAAAACTTTCATTATGCAGTGGTTATATGGCTCCTGAATATGCAATGCATGGATATTTGACCAAAAAAGCAGATGTTTATAGTTTTGGGATCATTGCTTTGGAAATTATCAGTGGCAAAACCAACACTACTCAGCAGTCAGAGGAAGAATGTTTTTATTTGCGTGATTGGGTAACCTCCATCCCATGTGCTCCGTTACATTTATGTTAATTGATCTTAACAGATATTATTGAACAGGGCTGTTTGTTTTGGTATAGTACATGTTAAGATATTAATTAATAAAAGTCACTCTTAGGCTTTTATTAACAACAGCTTAAACTTTGGGTACAATTGAATAGATATTGCTAAACTTTGGCAAATAGTATATGTATGTATGACCCTGGCTTCCAACGCTGATCTTTATGTTCTGTTGTTATCAGGCACATCAATTAAAAGACGCAGGCAATCTAATGGATCTGGTGGATCCAAGGTTGGATGTGGACTTCAACAGAGAGGAAATAATAGTTGTGATTGACGTGGCTCTCCAATGCACTGAAAACTCTCCATCACGCAGGCCTACCATGTCTAAAGTGGTTGGCATTCTTGAAGGCAAGCCAGTTGTTCAGGAGGTAGTCTCAGATGAAAGCGAGATTATGGATGACTTGAAATTGGAATCGACGAGTAATAGCCTCCTGAAGAATGAAGAAGCTGATAAAGATGAGACCCCGTCACTAAAATTGTCAACCCATATGTCTCGGACTGCATCTAAATCCTTCTCAGATCTCTACCCAGTCAATCCAGATTCTTATTTCCGGGAGAAAACAAATTAGCTATTCTAAACATGGCCTCCTTATATCAAACATATTTGTCTTGCCAGCTTGATTTATACCAGACATGGTTGTTGTTTAAATTCAATTATCTCGCGATGCCACCCTGCTATATTTCTTCGAACTTGATAAGTATCTGGAACCAGGAGACATGGATTGAGTCCGCTTGTGGCCGGTTTAAACTGTGGAATTGTTAGTCTTGTTTACGTTGTCTGTTCTCTTTTATACAGTTCTCTTATTTATAATGTTTGATGTATGAAACATGTTTTTGTGAGTAATTTTTATGATGTACCAAGCGCTACCAACTCGTATCTATTACTGACTACAGTCATTAACTCTAGACCGAAATATAAAACACAATATGATAAGCAATATAGATAACCTATGATGTTTGAAGCTGTATGATGTAATATTTATGAATACCAATACATAATTTGATTTAACTGTTAAATTGGATAAATTTTAATGTTTATTATTGCCTTTTTCACATAGGAATCTATTTTATTGTAATTTCAGTATTACATGTTTATCAAAATGAATAATTTTTCAGCGCATGCTTATATTGTATAATGCACACTTGGGATTTGTTAAGATGTTTAAATGTGGGTATATTTAAATTGAACTTAGTAACTACTATAAAATAAAGAAAAATGACCTATAATTAACACAAATCATACATTGAATTTCCTTTACCAATGTGTTAAAAGGAGATCATTTTCTCTCTCTAATATGTGTTTTTGTTTCTCATACTCAAAATTAAAGACTGGATAAACTATGTCATTTATAGTTTGTTTAATTAAAATAACTTAAGTCATTTAAATAAAATCTTATATTTTAATGAATTTTATTCTCATAATATAATAGATATTTTATTTATTGCCTTTTCTTTTTTTACTATCATTAATATCAAAATCAATTTATATTTAATGTCATCTAAATGTTATGTTTTTATTGGACATACCACATTAAAATAATGTCATCTAAAATTATGTAGATGACTTGAAACATTCTAGTTAAACAAACTATAAATGAGATGACACATTTGGTTTATTTAAAAATTTCTCCCATAGCGTGTAGGTATCCCCCAATATTAACATTAAATGTTTACATTTCTTTTACAATTTTAAAAAGTTTAAGTCAGAAATTGTTATCATGGTATAATCGTGAAAATATTATGTAAATTTAGGAAGCTTGAATAATTAATTCAGTACTAAGTTTGGGTGTGGCTTCATCTTTTGATTTGATGTATGTAGATATAACTAAAAAATATAATCAGTCATAATTAATTTCTATAATGTTTTCTGGACACTATGTCAATAATGTTAATAAATATAATCACAATATAGTTATGTTGTTGTCCATATTTTATTTTATTTTACTTGAACTTAATTTCTTACTTTTTGTAGAATATAAATCATATATTTTTAAAATTTAAATTAAATAAAAAAACTTATATACTTACTTACCCTTATATACCTAAGGTTTTCAATTAAATCATGAGATATATACATTTTTTTATAGATTATTTATTCTATAATAAAAATTTATTATTAATATTATTAACATATTAAAATTCACATGTCTTAATTTATTACATAAAAATATATTAAGTATTTTAAGTGTTAATCAATAAATAATAAGTTAAAGTATATATTTAATTCTTTAATTTGACAGAATATTTTATTTTAATTTTTTAACTTTATAAAGTATTTTTTTTGGTCCTTAACATTAGCACTGTTAGTTTTATTGTAACAAATTTTTATATTAATTTTTTAAATATTAATAAAATATTTTTAAATGTTGACTTATTAAGTTTAATTTTTTTTTAAAATAATAATAATTGATATAAAAAATTATTTAAAATTAATAATATTAGGATTAAAGAACTAAAAAAATATTTTACAAAATTAAAGGATTAACTTAAAATTTTATATAAAATTAGGGGTTAAAAGTATAATTTAGCCTAAATAATATAATAATATATAGGGCTTAAATGTATGATTGATCCCAAAATACTATATGTTCAGGTTGGTAAGTATAACTATCATTTTGGGGCCTGGGGGAATCTCGCTTTCTTTCTGTTGGTGGCCATTACTGCTTTATAAGAAGGAAAGGAAGGTCGAGAAAGAAGATCGGAAATGGCGAAGGAGATGGAATGCATCTGCTTCGGCAATGGTCGTCTTCAACTTCTGTTCATCTCCACCATTATTGTTATTCTGCAATTGCTGCTAGCAGTGGACAGCAAGTGCGACTTGTTCACGGGTACCTGGGTTTCGGACCAGTCGTACCCGCTTTACCGACCCGAAATGTGTGCCTTCATCGAGCACGAGTTCGCCTGCCAACGCAACGGCCGTCCCGATCAACTCTACACCCACTTCCGGTGGCAACCCCTTCAGCACTGTCCCTTCCTCAGGTACGTACGTACCTTCCCTCCTTAATTTTCTCTCTTGTTCTCTCTCTCTCTCTCTCTCTCACTTCCAAACAAAACTTCATTTTCTTCTTCTTCAATGCATTCTCTTTTTCGATCATTAATGCACCCAGCGATGGCATTCATTAGAATTGTTAAGTGAAGGGTCTTGAATTCAATGTTATCGTTTCTCACTTGTGCTTGCCTGTGCCTCATCTGTAGTAGTGGTGGTGTGGGACTGCTATCCAGCCTGTAAGGTGTAAGGTAATAATAGTCATTAATAGTTTTTAAGGAAATTCAATTTGATCAAAGGGATTCGCCAGACATGAAAAGGCTAAGATATGAGGCTTGTTTGGTTGGCATGCATATATTCAGTCACATGCTGTGTGGTTTGGGAAAACGTGCTTCTCTTCAATTATTAACTGTCGGCCGTCTTGTTTTTCATTCCTCTTTCTCTCCTTCACTTTTGGCTTTATTCCCTTTTACTCCCTTCTCTTCTGGTCCCAGTGATTTCCTTCTTGTTTACTGTCTGCAGACTGCAAAATGGAATAGTTATCTGGGTGCGTGTTTATATTCTGATTAATTTGTGATTAAATGAATTGAATTATATTAATTGGGTGATGATACAACAGATTCAATGGGGTGGATTTCCTGGAGAGGATGAGAGGGAAGAGCATAATGTTTGTGGGAGACTCACTGAGCAGAAATCAGTGGCAGTCACTGACTTGCATGCTTCACTCTTCACTTCCTTCCTCCAATTACACTTTGACGCGTCTTGATGATCTTTCCATCTTCACTTTCACGGTAAACTTCTCTTATCCTCCATTATTTCCCTGTCATTTCTCCTTTCTAAAATTCTGTTCACTAATAATAATTCCTATCACATCATTCTTGTTTTTCACATAGTATCTTCTTCGGCCTTTTTTGGTCCTTCTTTCTTTCCTTCTTTTTTTTTTTTTTTTTTCCTTGGATACAAATGAAACCGAGAGCTGGTGATTACCTCCCAGCCATAAAAAAAGACTGATTACGATGCAGAGATAAAACATTCACGAGCTCGTGAGCCGCGAGGCGCTTGTCGTAAGAGCATGGAAACCAGGCATAGCAAAAAGACGCCACTCAGCTAAATAATCCTCAACTTGATTGACTTTTTTAGGCTTTTTCGTTCATCATTACAACGGAGAAAAGGAATCTTCTAGTTTGCATCCAACCAATAGCAAGAGCAAATATAAAAAAGCAAAATACCTTAATTTTCTTTATATTCTACTTTAGTTATAGATACTTTTATTTTATTTTAAAAAGCTGTATAAATTTCCTATAAAGTCAATGATTATAAGACACAAACCTCTCTTCTATTTTAAAGATTTCATTTCGATCTATCCAAACCACTAAATCATATTTATCAAACTAAAATAGCTTTCATTAAACCAAAATGTCACATAAAAATCGTTTAATTTACCAAAAAAATCAATCCATATATTTTTTTTAACTTTTTTATGCAATTTTATTTTCAGCTGTGTAAAATTATTTATTTATTATTTTTTAAAAATAAATACATAAGCTGGTTAAAATAATATTTCAAACACACATGTAAAAAGACTTAACTAAATAGGTGTTTAATGTAATAAACGATAATTTATTTTCATTTTTTTGTAAATTTTATCAATTTTAAACAATATTTTTGAATTATTTATTTAAATATTATCATAAGTAATTATTTAAAGTTCATTAAATTTAGAGAAAGAGAGCATGCAATTCAATTATAAGGGAAAATTTGTAATTGTAAATTTTCCAACATAATTAGAAGGAGAAAAAATTAAATATTTTCAAATATCTAACAATATATTCTTAATGATATTAAAAATTGGACTACTGTATATGTTTTAAAAACATAAGAGAGGTCCTTTATAATTTTATTAAAATAGAAGAAAGGTCACCATATTTTTTTTGTAAATTTTATGAGCATCTAGCCTCGGATGCAACCTATTTGAATTAGTTACTTCGTCGGCACAAAGAAAACATGATTAAATTATTGATATTTATGAAATAGGAAAATATTTCTCAACTTATTCTTATCAAATGCATCATCTTTAAAAATATACTCCCCCTTCCAATTTATAAGATATTTTTGGAAGAAATTTAGTGTTTTACAATACAAGACATTTTGATAAAAATAAAATTTCATTAATAATACTCATCCAATATTACTCGTTTTATTATATTTTTTCTCTTTAATATTTTTTTCATAAATAGAATATTAAATGAAAGGTATTTTTAAAATTTTATATTTTTATTTTAAAATTAATAAAGTTGTAAAGTGTACTTAACAATATTAGTATGCATGATTTTATCTAGTAATGTGTTGTAAATTGGAACAAATGGAGTATTACTCTATTCAAAAAATTGTTAAAGGATAAAACTGGAAGAAAATAATTAATAGTTGTAAAATGGAATATCATTTTTTTTTAAATATGACTCACGCATAGTATATAATAGAAGTATATATTATAATGATGAAGATATAAGTGCTATTATTATAGTGCAGTAGAAGAAGAAATGAATGTGTGGGGGCAAAAGCGGTGCTTTCAGTGTGGCCCATGTGCACAAGTTCCTTTTGCAATATGGGTACCTTCATTGTTGGTGGCTTTACCAACCTAACCTACAATATTCAATTGTCGTCTCCTCTACTTTTCCACCAACTTGCAGCTAACTTCTTAGAAATTAAAACAAAAACATCAAAATACATGTTACAATTGTACTAACTTCATTCTGACAAGAGTACCAATATTGATTTTTCAAACACTGATCCGAGCGTGTTACAAAGAATCAACGGATATTGTCATCTTCATTTAGTCATGATCACAAGGTTGGAAATTGAATAAGACAAGTAAAAGTGATGGATGATGCAGGAGTATGGAGTGAAAGTGATGCTGGACCGAAACGTGTATTTGGTAGACGTGGTGAGAGAAGAGATAGGCAGAGTACTGAAGCTTGATTCCATTGAAGGCAGCAAGCTCTGGCTTGGCGTTGATCTCCTCATCTTCAACACTTGGCACTGGTGGAACCGCAGAGGCCCCTCTCAACCGTACCCATATCATATCTCATCCCTTCTCCGTTTTTATTTTTATTATTATGCAAAGTTAATTAAATCATGTTTAATTATTATTCATTTCAGATGGGATTATATTCAACTGGGAAATCAGGTTTACAAAGACATGGATAGAATGAAGGCTTTTCAAATAGCTCTCACCACTTGGGCTTCCTGGGTGGACACCCACATTGATCCTTCAAAGGTCAAGCTTTTCTTTCAAGGCATTTCACCCTCTCACTACAAGTAATCACCCTAATCCCATTCTAATTAATTAATTAATTAATTCCCTACTCAGTACTCACTCATCTCTATCCTTTTTTTTTTTTTTCCTGGCTCTCTAGTGGTTCCCTGTGGAATGAACCAAGTGCCAAGAGCTGTGTCCGGCAACAGAATCCGGTGCCCGGATCCACCTACCCAGGAGGGCTGCCGCCGGCGGTGGCGGTGCTCAAGAGTGTGCTGGGAAAGATGAAGAACCCAGTCACATTGCTTGACATCACGACACTCTCATTGCTGCGTAAAGATGGTCATCCTTCAATTTATGGGCTTAATGGTCCAACAGGATTGGATTGCAGCCATTGGTGTCTTCCAGGGGTTCCAGATGCTTGGAATGAAATCCTTTACAATTTAATCCTTTGATTCAAAGTTAATAATTTTATTCCTGATTCATAATTGATTCTTACATTAATATACCATTCATGATAAATTGATTGATCCCATTTGAGCTGAATAATCTTCATTTCTTCAAAAGGCTTGCCAGGCCATTTCTTATTTGTGCTGCGTACGTGTTCTACATTTGAATATATATATATATATATATACGTATATATTAAAATTAATGTTTTAAGAACAGACCAAGCTAGTTGGTTTTGATATGTTGAACTGAGAACAGATCTTAAATTTGGTTCGGTCATGACAAAAACTGGCAAGCTTGAGAATCGATAGATCTGGCCAAAATTGGTAGAACTTGTCATATTATTTTTTATTTTTTTAATTTCAATCCTAAACTACTATTTGTACATACACACACATCTAATAAGTACTGGAAAATGAAAGAAAATAAAAAATATGCAAGAAACATGTAGTATGAGGCATGTATTATGTACATATTTTAAAGTTATAAATTATGAAATAAGTGTGTGTGTGTGAGAGAGAGGGAGAGAGAGAGAGAGAGAGAGAATACCATATTTTGTCTGGCATTTTAGATGTAAATTGAAAATAAATAAATAAATATAATAACATTAAATAAATAAAATTATAAAAAAGGAAAGAAAAATAGATTTTTCTGATAAAAATAAAAAAAATCTACAATATTTTTTTTTAAAAAAACTTTCCTTCTTTTGTGACTTCCAAATATAATCCATCACAATTATGATGATCTTGAAATTAATTGCTCATGATATGGTTACGAAGATTGGTAGATCAAAAATGGAAGTCAAGTAAGGGCATAATTTTTTTTTTTACTACAATAGGATTATAATTTGATTAGGTCATTAATGGGAAAAAAAATCCTAGTTGTGTCTATAAAAGAAAGAGAAAGGGGACTTCTAGGGGGGAAGAAAATTTGAAGCTGGGAGGGCACAAGTTAAAAGAGAAAAGGAGGAGAGGAAAAAGGAACAAGAGAGAGAACTTGTACCCTATTTCTTAATTCCAACCTGTCATAGAGAGTCTTCACGTGAGTTCTTTACCACATAATCGTGTATGCCTTGCTTTTAAAGTTTTCCTCTCCTTGTGATCAGTTTTGAAGAATGGCTCTTTGTATAATGAGTGATTGCTTTTGCTTATTTCTTTTTAGACTCTAGTGGATGAACTAGGTTGATTAGCTCTTGGATTCCACTTTCTGTGCTTTCCTTTGATATAAAAATGCAAGGTGTCAAGATCTGTGCATGTATGAGGCAACGGATCTTTGCAATGGGCTCGGTTTGGAGTTTACTTTGATCCCTATGATTCCTTGTTAACTCTTTTATATATTTATATGTTCTGCCTGTTAGTTATCCATCCATTTATTTTATAAAATAAAATATTTTTTCATTAAGGTTCTGCGAGTAGCATTAAATTACCATGAATATTTGATGTATTGTAAGCTATCACCCAATGTGCATTATTTTAAAATTAATAAAATTAATGCAATGTTTTTACGCTACGTCATAAGTGATATTAAATCATAGTAGATTTCTAAAAATAGTAAACGAGATACTGTAAATTACACTAAATCATCTTGAGTAAAAAAATAATAAAATTAACAACATATTTTACGCTATATTATGAGTGATACTAAATTAGTGTTGATATTTAAAAGTATCAAACAAGATACTATGAATGACACTAAGTCATCATATGTAACCAAAAAATAATAAAATTATTGGCACATTTTAAATTATACCACAAATGATATTAAGTTACCGTAAATCTTTAAAAAAAATTAAATAAAATATTGTGAATGACGCTGAGTCATTGTAGGTATCAAATCTGTATTAAAAGTTTCTAATTAAATTATTTTCTAAAAAGTTATCTTTCAAAATCCCTTTTATTCTTTTAGGGTTCATCATGAGTAATATTAGATCACCATATGCATTTAAAGCTTCAATCAATGTGAGTAATACTAAATTATTGTAGGTTTTAATACTGATTAAATTTATTTAGTTATTATCCAAAGTACTTTTTGGGAATAAGTTCTTTCAAGATAAATATATAGCAATAATAATAAAGGTTAACCCAAAACTAGATTTCTTTTTGTTCAAAAATCAAGGAATTAAATATTTAAATACTAATACCTTAAATTATGTGAACTTTAATTTCTATCACAGGATACATAAACATTAAGCTTTATTACTAAGTCAAGTCCTTCTACATAAATAAATAATTTATTTTCATAAATTTTTCATCCATTTCTTTTTTTCTTTCATGTGATTATAATAAAAGGTAATTAAGATATGATTAAATGATCAATTTAATTTTATAAAATTAACTTAGTATAATTGTTCACATAAACAGGTGTCGTGAGGTATTTAACATCTTCTTCACACGTAATCAACTCCCACATCCTTCTTCACAAACCATCATTTTTTCTCTTATATGGTCTTATAAGGTTTTCTTGAAATTTTGGTTCATGACTTTCATCTTTCTTAATTTATCGATTTCCATATCTAAGAAATTCATGATCCGAGCGTGGCATATATATAGGATGAAAATAATGAAATATATATGGATATTATCTCTTTTAATATATATTATTATGTTTTGAATTTAACCATTCATATTTATTATTCTATATAATTATTTTTTATTTTAAACATATATTATTTAAAATACATCAATTGATTGACTACGGATTGGACCATAGTATTAATTTTAAAGTCAACCCAATAACATATGTAGGAGGCAAGGTGGTGATCCCGGCATTTCATAGGTGTTATGGGAATTTTTTTATTCTTATAAAAATGTAAAAATTAATGTTAATCTCTCATACTTTAAATTGTTTTTACTTTTATCTTTCATGTATTTGCTTTTGGATTCGTTATTGATTTAGACTACTGTTTAACTATTAAATTGTGTCAACAAGTTCATTCACCAATTGAATCTGTTTTTCTCAATATTGAGTAAAAAAAAACTCAACTAGTTCATTCACCAGTTGAATCCGTTTTTCTCAACAGTGACTAAAAAAACTACGTAAAAACTTTGTGAAAACAACTTAATTAAAATCTGAACATAAGGATGAGTTCGCTGCTCATGCTAGGCTTAGCTTTAAACTGCTATCGTTCGGTTTGAATAAGTCAAGTCCCCTTAGTCGATTTGCTCAAATGGTCTTCCTTATCTTCCCAAATGTTCAAAGTAGTTTTGGTTTAAAAAAGGAGCACCAGCCGAGCGCCCTGAATGAACAAGAAATGGACAGTAAAGGAAATCAATGATTCTTATTCAATTGAGTTAAAGTTAGTAACATGTCGATTACACACCGGAGGTTGGTAAGAATTGAAGGCTTGATCGGACTGACTCAGTGTAACATCTCAATTTAAATTTTAATAGTTAATTTTAGTTAATAGAAATTTTAAAAAATATTTAGAGGTAAATAAATTAGTAGAAAATGATTATTAAATCTAATTTAGGATATAATCTAAATTAAAATCAAAAAAATTAAAAAAATTATTAATTAATTAAAAAAATAAATAAATATTATTAAATTATTATTATTATTATAAAAAGAAAGAAAGAGAAAAGGTATGAGAAAGAGGAAGGAAAGAAAGAAGAAAACGCAATCGGTGGCTTTCGGCACATGATTACGTATAAATAATAAAAAAAAAGGAGAAGAAGAGAGAGGAAAGAAGAAATAATAATAAAAATTGTGGGACCCACTGAATTTTTATAAAAACTCACCTGTTTCCTTCGTTTCTTCACTTCTTTCTTTCGTGCGCGAGCTGAGGCAGAATGAGCGTGAGTCGCCGGTGCGGGAGATCTGAGTTTTTAAGGTAAGAGTTTTTAATAGGATATTTAGGGTGTGATTTTAAGTTTTTCAAGACTAAGTAAGTGTTCTAAAAAAAATTTTTAGTCATCCTGCCTCTTTGATTTTTAATTTTGTGGTGGTAGAAAATTTAGGATCTGGAAGAGGGATAAATTTATGTTGAATAAATATGGTTTATGAGGTTGTTAGTAGTATAATAAATGTTCTAGAGTATAAATTTATTGATGATCTTTGAATTTATGGCTTATGGATCAAATTCTAAACTAGATCTAAAAATATATGTTGATTTATTGAGATTTAGATGATTATTTGGGATGAGAAATGAATTATTATGGCTATAGGATTATGATTTTAAGTTAGAGATTCAATTTTTAATTTTTGGGTATTTTAGGTGCGAATTTGTGAAATAAAAAGAAAATTTTAATAATAGAAATTAGTTTAGAAGTTGATTTTTAGATTATTAATGTTTATTGATAAGTAAAAGAGGAGTTAAAAATTTTACTTAATAGTATTAACTCTAGATTTGTATTAAGATTTAAAATTAGGAATTATGTTATATTTTTAATTCTATTATTAGAATTATTTTATTAGTTTCAAAAATTGAAACTAATATTTATAAATAATATGTTATTTGTAGATTGTATTATTGGTGAAGATTGTGGTGGGAGAGAAATTGTAAGGAATAATTTATTGAAAAAGCCATGAGGTAACCATGCTTTTAATTTGTGATTAGTGTTATTTCATGTTAATTGGGTGATTATTGAGAAAATTATGAATTTTGTAATATTATATAATTGTGCAATATTATTATGAATTTTGTTTGATTATTGTGGGAGGTGTTGGGAGATTTGTTATTGTTGTATTTATGTGCCACGTGGTACGTCCCTATTGGAGCTCAATAGGTGGCTTATAAGGGCTCGGGCTAATCTACCTTTGGCCGGGTAATTTAGCACCGAGTGAGGGCTACGGCTCGAGGTTAATGGAGGGATATAAGGATGGTTGTTTGTGTGTATTGTAATATTTCTTATATTTTGTTGGAATTATATTATTTTTGGTTCCCACTTAGTAAGCACACACTTAACTGTTTGTACACACTATCATAAATTGGCTTTGGTTACTGAGACTTTTGAGTCTCATTATATGGTTAACAATTTTCAGGAGAAGTGCCACGAGTGACACGTGGAGGAGTCCTAGAAGCTTAGTGGCATAGATCCACTGTCTCTTTTGGGTATTTGATTTATGATTTATAATGTGTTATATTGCCAATATTAGGGCTTTTTGTTTATTGACAATTATATGAATATATAAATGTAATCATGCCTTTCAAACTATTTCTATTTTTGGTATATTTTGGATGACTGTAATTTTAATATTTGATTTACTTTGGATTGGTTAAATGGCATGATTATGAGGCCAAATAACTGGCTTGTGTTGAAAATTGACTAAATTGTTTATTTTACTTGTTGGGAGTATAAGGATGGACAAATGTGATTTAGTTTACTTGTTGGGAGTATAAGGATAGACAAATGTGATTTAGCCCAATGGCATGTGGGAGGTAAAAATTTATCTGAAATGTTATATTGTGTGAGTTGAAGCCAATTATAAAATATTTTATATTGAAATTATTGATATAAAAAAATGTGTTGGGTGGCTGTAACCTAACTATGGTTGAGTTAAATTATTTTAAAAAAAAATTTTGTGTGTTACACTGAGAGTAGGGAAGATAGGGGATAAAGTCTTGTCTTCCTTATACGATTCCTTAAATTTTGAAAGCACTTTATTAAGTTTCAACGAATCCTGTGCAATTCTATTTTTTAGCTCAATTGGTAATGTGTTTTATAAGGGGAATGGGTCGGCCATACAAGCACTCTAGTTGATTCTCAAGTAAGGCATTAATAAATCTCACATTAATTGAAATGTTTGATCTTTCCTAGTCAGTCAAAAGATGAGGAGTAAGTTTCTCGAGGAGAGGCAGGTGGTAGAGGCGTTAAACTACATTACATGGATGGCAGGAGGAAACAAATGTCTGAAGTGGACCGAGTTAGTTAAGATTCTCACATTTGATCCTGCTTTCAAAGGCGAACCCAAGGAGGAAGTTCTATAACTATGCCATCCTTCAGGATGACATACTTATAGTTGCCTCACAGATTGCCAAAGCCTATCAACTCTTTTTGGAAGAGATAGGTGTCACCATTTCCCTACCTAATAATTTAGTTTCTCATAAGGGATGTTGTGAGTTTGGGAAGAGATTTTGTGTTTGGGATAGGAGAATTGATGTCTCTCTTATCTCAATGCGGGCCCTCCTTATAGCTCACCACCCTTATAGACTGACGTCAATATATAAAAAAAAATAGAAATTCAATCGATTGTCGACACTAAGTAGGTGGCGTGGGTTTTAATACCCTTGCCAGGTGGCTCTCTTCTACGAATGAGGAGAATTTTAACGTTGTATGACCACTATCGACTGCCCGTTACTTAGTGATTGGGACGAGGCATGCCTATATCTAATTCCTTGATCAGCTTAATGATAACCCGATTAAGAGATTGGATGAAGGACTTGAAAATACCCAATATTAAGTATTTCACTTACTCCGAGAATTTTGAGTTCTTTGAATGGATGTGCCTTCGATCATGGATGTTTTAGTGGTTGCTGTATGTAAAATTTTATTACAACACCCTACCTTAGCAATCTTTACTCCTCTTGCTTCACCTTTATCTGATAGGGGCATCGCCTTATTAATCTAGGGGCTTGTGTGAGGGGCATCTTTGTCTGAAAATGGTGAGATCATTAGTGAAAGAAGGACTAACGACAATCCTATCCTAAAGGAGGAGCAAGAGTAAGAGCTCAAATTTGAACAGAATTGCGAGATAGACAATACGAAAAAGCCAAGAGGGGAGAGCACTTAGACAATTCACCGAGTACAAGGAAGTTTACTAGTAGGAATTCTTCAAGGTGTATTGCCAGTAGGCAGAGCATTAATTCTTTCAACTTTTCTTGCTTTAGTAGGAGTTGCATGTGCCTTTGCTTTGCCTGGCTTTCTTCTTCTCTTTTTATTTATTATAATAGTTTATTTATTTTATTGTCCACCCCTTACTATAACCTCTTTCATGTTAAAAGTCATAAAAGGAAAGTTTTCCTTTTATTTTTATGCAAATTGGCTTTATTTTAATGGGTTTTTTTTTTCTTTTTGTTTGGTGCTACAAACTTATGTTTCTAGACATTGAAAAGGAGAATTTAGTGAATCCCTTGTAGGTTGTGCCACAAGTGACATGTTTCTTATTTCACTTTAAAATAAAAGAAAAAAACAAAAGGATAAGACACTTACTCCTTCTATGCTTTTTCTTTAGTCTTTATCTTCAAGGTGTAGATGAAGGAGTCCTTTCTTTCATTCTTTCTTGCCTCCTTTTGGTGATCTTTCTTTTTTCCCCCTCTTAATTATGCCCATAAAATAGTTTTTTTTTATTGTCTCAATGAGGCGCCTAAAAGAAATTGTAAATAAAAAAATGATAACAAAATTTCTTTAAAATATAAAAATAATAATTTGATATTTTGAAATGCCATAATTTTTTTTATGGTCCCTAAAGATTTTTCTATTATTAATAAATTTATATAAATTAGTAAATTACCCTTATTAAAAATAAATAATTCATAAATTTTGTTTAAATATTCACAACTTTTCTTCTCATATTGCTATTGTAATAACAAATAAAAAATTTAACATGTACAGTTATAATTTGCTGTTGCATTATTGTGAATATGAGAAGAAAAATTATGAATATTTAAATAAAACTTATAAATTATTTATTTTTAATAAAAATAATTTATTAATTTATATAAATTTATTAATGATAAAAAATTTTATAGAGACTTACACAAATTATGATATTTAGAGAGATTAAATTATTATTTATATATTTTAATTTTTTTTTTGGTAAACAAGTACTTTTTATTTTTGTAAATTAGAAGTGGAAAGGTTGGCCTAGAAAACTAGAATCTAGATACGCAACGCAACGCACCAGCAACACTGACAACAGTCCACCACCTCACGCACTGATTGGCTCTACTCCAAATTTTTTTTTATAAATCATTTTTAAATTATCCATTAAAACTAATGTTAGTTAAATAGAATTATAAAATTATGGAAAGAGCATCTTAAAAATTAAAATATTACACTTCTTTTAAAATTTTACTGAAGAGTACTTTTAAAATTATACGTTAAATATCACAAAAAACTTATATAAAAAATAGAAAATTTTTTCAGAATATAACTTATAAAAAGCATTAAATATCATGAAAACTAAAAAAAGAGTAACATATATGAAAAATAGAAAAACTTTTCAGAACGTAACTTGTAAAAAACACATGAAAGTATACTTTAAAAGTACCCTCTATTAAATATTATTTTCCTACGCATGTGTTAGAACTTGGAATCTCATCATGTGATCCAGGTCTGATATATTTTTCTATTTCAAGTAATTGCTTCTTTTATTCATAATCCGCATCTATAGAAGCATCGTTTCCCGCAAGTCTCGTATTCATACTTGACCCCCATAGCATTCGTCTTTTATGATGATGATGATGATGATACATTTTTTATACCCAAAAGCAAAGCCAGAAATTTGGAAAATAATTTTTATTATGCATATTTATTATTTAATAATAAATAATAATAATTTTATTTGTTTTCAAAAAAATAAAGACCCGAACATTATTTTTATTATAAATAATATCTTATTTTTGTTACTCTTGTTCTTGTTTATTCTGCGTATTAAAAAGACAGAGGACCTCATATGTGACTGTAAGGTAAGGGGCACAAAGCTGAAATTTTGAAAGATTTTGATTTGATTGGAAATTATGAGCCATTTTATTTTATTTCTTTAAAATTTGTGTAAATAAAATCGATGATTCTTTTTTTTATTTAGTCGTGTGTGTGGCAAAAATGTTAGTAACCATTGGTAAACTGATGAAATACATATTTCCAAATAGGAAAAGCAAAAGAAAGACGTTGAAAGTTGAAAACAAAAAAAACAAGAAGCTTTATATTAAATGAATGGGAGGCAGAAAGAAGTGAGCAAAATGTGCCAAAATTTCAGCACAAAGAAGCAAGCTAGTTGAGACCCAAGTGGCAAACACGGAGAGAGTCAGAGAAAGATTTGAAGACAAATTCAGAACCAAAAAAATGAAACCGAGGTTGAGTCGTCTGCTACTAATATTGGCATTTCAATGGAGTGTGGGTCTTGTTGCAGTGCAGGGCAGTGCATTTGGGCATGAAGACGGAGAAGAAAGGTGTAATCTCTATGAAGGAAGTTGGGCCAGTGATTCCTCATATCCTCTCTATGATGCCTCCAAGGATTGCCCCTTCATCGTCGGTCAGGGCTTTGATTGCCTCAGAAATGGCCGACCTGACGGGGATTTTCTTTCGTACAGATGGAAGCCCTCTGCTTGTGATCTCCCCAGGTTTCATCTTCTTCCTTGAGACTCTTCATCTTCATGTTCTGGGGGTTTCAGGTTTCGGTTATTCCGTATTGAAATGGCAATGTGCTTTATTATAATGATTTTTTTTATCTCTGTTACTTTCTTCTGAGTTTGAATGTGAAAGCGTGTATATGGGTGGTCCAGGTTTGATGGGAAGAAATTCTTGGAGAGAAACAGGGGAAAGAAGATATTGTTTGTTGGGGACTCCATTAGCAACAACATGTGGCAGTCACTTGCGTGCATGCTTCACTCTGCAGTACCAAATACAAATTACAACTTCATGAAGAAGCCTAAGAATCTCTTGATATTCCTATTTCCGGTTCATTCTCCAATCTCTCTCTGTCTCGCTGCCTACAGATTAACTTTATCGTCTAATTTTTTTTTTCCTTTTTTTTTGCTTCTCTTTCCGTGGGATTATAGGAATATGGAACTGAGATTACTTGGTTGAAAAATGGGTTTCTGGTGGATTTGGTGAAAGATAAAGAAAAAGGGAGGATTCTGAAGCTGGATTCTATAAGTTCTGGGGACCAGTGGAAAGGATTTGATACCTTGATTTTCAACACCTACCATTGGTGGACTCATACAGGATCGTCTCAAACGTGAGCCTCTTTACTTCAATGTGGCAGAATTTATTAGAGAAGGTAAAGTTGGTGGTGGTGACTAATGGCTTCATTTTATGAATGTTGAACAGATGGGATTACTTTCAAGTGGGGAATCAGATTATAAGAGACATGGATCACATGGAAGCTTACAAGATAGCATTAACCACATGGGCCAAATGGGTTGATTCTAACATTGAGCCTTCAAAGACCAAAGTCCTGTTCCAGGGCATTGCTGCCTCCCACGTTAAGTAAGTAATTTGGGTTTTGAAGTTTGTTTTACATGATTTCAAGTATGTTACACCGTTAATCTTGAATCTAATCTCTGGAGAGAGAGAGAGAGAGATTATACTCATTTATGTAGAATCTAATGCAACATCAATTTACTCCACTGGAATTCTAATGTTCATAAATGATTCTGACGCAAACTTGCAAAATAAGAAATCTTGAAGTCCTACCACTCTTATCACAAATCTGATATGGTGAGTATTATCTCCTAAAAGAGGTTTGATGATCTTTGTTTCCTTGAACATTTTAAAGTGGGAAGGGCTGCCTGGGAAAAACTCGGCCAGAGCAAGGGGCAGAGCCGCAGTATCCCGGCGTTGACATAGTGAAGAGCATTCTGCGGAACATGAGCACACCAGTTCATTTGCTTGACATAACCATGCTCACACAGCTTAGGGTTGATGGCCATCCTTCCATCTTCACAGGCCGAGGTGCTTCTTATGTTGACTGTAGTCACTGGTGTCTAGCTGGTGCTCCTGATTCTTGGAATGAACTCTTGTATGCTGTTTTGATTGGCAACTAATTAATAATATATACTTCTTTATCTCTAATCTTGGTTTTTTTTCTCTCACTGTTTTAGAATCAGGAAATCATGATTCTATAATTGACACGTACGAATGCCGGATAACTCATCTAACTAGAAACAATAATTACACCGTCCTCTTTAACATTGGAATGCCTTACAGATCCCTATTCCATGATGACCTTCTTGCTCAGTTCTATCAAATCACTAGCAGCATTACTCTCGCTTATTGTAGCTTATTCACGTCTTTTCTTTCATTCAGATTGAAAACATTGCCACAAATTGAAATTCATGTTAAAGAACTAATACATATCTATGAACTGAAATCTACAACAAAATATTGTCTCCAGAATTTGACCATGGAGCTTGAAAGAAAGCAATCAAGACAATAATTAGATACCACTACAGGCAATGTAAACGTCAAAATAAATTTGAATCTGGATTCCATAAGACAGTAACCAGTACTTGTCATATCTCATCCTCTGTACATCTCAGCTGTGTCTACCTCGGCTTTTGTATTCTTTTATCCCTTATCGGCAACTCAACGGGCTTTTGGGCCTGATGTGGGTGATCTGGGCCCTTAAAAACCTTTAGGTGGGTGAACAGATTTCTGCCAAGCTGCACGTACCAGTCCTTAATTATTGTGGATATAACAGCAAACAAGCATATAAACACACGCACTATTCACTTCATGTAATTGTATTGAAACTACAAGCATCATTATGGATAATGCAGAGTTATGACTTCAAGAAGGGCCAATCATATACATATTGGCGAGATGTCAATCTGAACAATCGGCTTACTAAATGACAGAATATAGCTTCATATATAAAGTTCAAAATTTAAAGAACTATCCTATATAAGTAAAAGGAGAAGAAATCTTTCAACGAAATGATGATTGATATGATTACAGTCAGGATAACATCCCCACACACAATTTTCAAGAAGGCTACATTTCATAAACAATTTTATGTTATTCCCCTCTTATTTTACTGTAAGAGAATTTTTAAGTGGTTTTAAATTCGAAGTCTGCAGCTAGATGATATCAATATCACCATCTAAAACAATTGATTCACTTTAATGCAATACAACTGCCTCATCAGCCATACCAACCAGTACAGCTTACCCTTCCTTTAGGAAGCATGCCACGAACAGCATGTTCAATAATTCTTTCTGGAATTCTCTGCTGTAGTTGGGCAAATGTCTCCACTTTCATACCACCAGGTCGTCCAGAATGTCTCCTATAAAGCTTTTGGGTCCTCTTTTTCCCAGATACAGCAACTTTTTCTGCAATCACCTTTTGAACCCCGAAGTAGAGGAGAAACTTTTAGACTAGAGAAATTATATAAAGTCTTGTACATATAACAACACTATTCTAGGCCATTCACATCAATCAGATAGAAGACGAGGGGGGAAAAGCCATTAGTTCAACATAAGGCTCAGGCAATTGGTTAAGTCTTAAGTCTGAGGTTACGAAATTGGTTGAGATCATTCCCTTCTCAATTAGGACACAAATTTAAGAGTAAATGTATATATAATAGTGCATTAACCATAAAGAAAGGAGTTCCAAATTAAAGACCTGACAACTATCAAACCAGATTGTCCATGTGCAGAGCATATCATACCACAACGACCAAACAATGGTATCCTCTTCCAGTAAAAATAACAAACACAGAGATGACGCGTTGTTGATGATTTAATGTAGTTTACATATCAGGTGATGGCACCATATGGGTGTAAAGAGACTTAAAAATTCTAACCACAATTGCAAAGGCACCCATGTCCACGCTGGGAGTATAGGCTGCCAGATTTTTCCCTCTGATATAAATAGCAATTGTCGATGCTAATCTCCCGAGAATTTTGTCTGAAGCATCAACAATGCACCATGGTTTATCTGTATTCACATGATCTGCAGCTTTTGGATACGAGGTCATGTTCCAAATGTCCTGCATTTTTTTAATGGGTGATACAATGATAACTGTTCGATAAAGCATCTATACATTTTAAAATGTAAAATGCATGGTAAATTAGGCGTCAAAATAAAACTTCAACAGGCCCATGTGAGAATACAGCTGTACTTTTAGACAAATGAATTTAATTTCAACAATACAGAGGACGTAGAAACAATGTGCCACAAAATGTTTGCTCAGACATGTTCTAAAGAATCTAACAAATTATTAAGCCCAATAGTCGTAGACAAAATTGGATTAAGCAAAGCGGAGGAGAGCACTAATGAGCACCAACCAGAGTTTAAAACTTCGCATTTCTAGCCTTTCTTTCAATCGACTTGAAGAATTGAGCTTTCCTTTCCTTTCCTTTTTTGGCAGGTTTTGAATTTCGATTTCTAGTATCGAGTTGCCGAAGAATTTGAATAAAATTGATCAACTAAAACGCAAGTTCAAGGATATAAGATGGCAGGGTTTTTACTGGGCCATTGGCTTTGGACTCCTCGAACATAAATCGTTCATCTTTTGGAGCAATGGAGAGATCCAGGCAACGAACCTGAAGACTTTCCCTGGAGTTAACGGGAACACTGGGCCAGATAGAAGACTTCGATAATGCCAATCGGAATCCAAGAAACGAGGATTTAGCATTTGAGCTCTTGTGAGGAGAAAGAGATGGGGCTGAAGTCGAGGGGAACGTCACTGAGGTTGAACCACAGACCAGAGCCATAGTTGCTCATGCCCTCTCGCCTTCGCAGCGATCAGTGCTACTGGTCCTGTTTTCTGTAAACAAAAGAACCAAAAAAAACCTATTTAATAATGTATTTTCAAAATATATTTTTTTAAAAAATAAAATATTATTCTAAAAAATAGAAAAATAAAAATAATTTTTACATATTTTAAAATTATTATTCTAAAAAATAAAAGAAAATGAAAAAAATTATTTTTATTGTTTTTTTATTTTCAAAACATGTTTTATAAAATATTAATTCTCAAAATAATAAAATAAAAATAATTTTAAACTATCTCTATGGATGATATTTTTCTTTTGTTTTTTCTTCCTTACTTCCTTCCTTCTAGAAAGTTAATTGTCAACTTTGTTAATTTAATTTCTCAAACTACAAGAGGATTAAAATTTAAATATAAACATTACCCTATACAATCCTTGAGTTTTTAACTATTTAAAAGATTATTCCTCACATTTTAAACATAAAATTATAAGAATAGAATTTTTTTAAATATTTTTTTGACATAAAATTATTTTTAATATTAGAAACTAGTATTGTAAACAATTAAAATTATATGAATCGTGTTACACACCGAGTCACAAATACAAGGCTTGCATCAAGTCAAATTACAAATGCTGAATTTAATCTCATTGGATCTATCAACTCTAAATAATTAATTTTTCTTTTTTTAATCCACATTTGGATAACATTTTTAATATACTCACTCGTCCTTCTAACATTTTTTTCCCTCATCCATTCTATCTCGTTGGAGTACTATAGTTTACTTTTTCTTTTCCCATTTTTTGTGATAGTCTTTTTTCGAGACAAAAGAGCCAAAAACTTGGTGGACTAATACATATTTGTAAGATCTTTTTGAGCTCCAAACTTTTTCATCAGATATTTGGCATGGCTGTATTTCTTGACATGGAGTGTAATACGAAAAAAAAAAAACTCCTCAACTTAAGTTTAATTGTAAAATATTGGTTATCAAATTGTGATTTAATAGTAAAAAACAATTAATAATTAAAGTTCTCCTGATAAAAAAAAGCAATTAAAGTTCTTTTGTTTAATTTTTAAAAAACGGTAGCTTTTTCATAAAAAACTATTGGATCACAATTTGTTGGTTAAGATTTTTAATCAAGACTTTTTTTGTCATTTGGTATCCGTGATTGATGATCCCCTGGCATTGGTGCCGAGAAAATATACCTCTGCTACTATGATCATAAGCAAAATAACGTAATTTTGATTGACAATTTAATATCAACAATCCTGTTAACTTTTTTTCCTGTGCCAAAGTCCTTCTATTAATTATTTAATTGAGAGATTTCAAAATGTTTTAAAAAAATTAATCATTTAATCTTTACAATTTTAAAATATAATAAATTTAAAATATTTTTAATCTTTATAATTTTATTTTTTTAAATATAATAATTAATATTTAACAGATTAAAATTTTAAAAATTAAATTATAAAAATTTAAAAATTAATTTATAATAAAATCAAAACTTAAAACAAGTCATAATTAAAAAATTAAATTAAATTAAATTAAAATTATAAGAATTAAATTATTAATTTTCTCGAATGGTTTTGCCAAACCACTTCTCAAATCTCAAGCTCAGAACTTCGTGAGGTTTCAAATATCAGATCACATGTCCATTTTTCAATGGTCAACAGTGTTCTTCCCACACGATCCCGTCAATGGCGATTTGGAATGAAGAGTGAAAACGTCAAATTCACGCGTCCTAATCCTGCCGAGAAAAAGACAATACTACAACAAATCAATCCCGCGAGATTTATGGCCTTCTCAACTTAGTGATTAAGGTATCAAATCCCCTGTATCACCGATCTCCTGCAACTCCGTCGTTCCCTCTCACTACAAACCGTCCTCTTTTCAGAAACTCTGTTCATAAATCCTTGTCTTCGCTATAATCCCTTGAGACTCTAGATTAGACCCCAAATATGGAGGCTTCTTCCCATGTTGACAGTGTTCAAGATGCTTTAATGAGTCTGATCCAGTCGTCTCCTCCCACTTGGGGATCCTCTCTTCTTAGCAACGTCCTGATCTTTATCGTGGGTTCTCCGATATTGGTCACTGGATTGTCTCTATCTGGTGTCGCCGCTGCTTTTCTGCTAGGAACGCTCACTTGGCGTGCTTTTGGTCCTTCTGGGTTCCTTCTTGTCGCTACCTATTTCATTATTGTAAGCAGAAACGTCATGTCTCATTGATTATTTATTGAATTCTACCAATGTAATTCTAATCATTGGGGCGGGTGTTTTTTTTTTTCCCTTGTTGTCTTCTCGGTTTAGACTTTGTTCGTTGGGGTTAAATGTTGAGGCTTTATTAGGGTACAGCAGCAACAAAAGTCAAGTTGGCGCAGAAAGAGTCCCAAGGCGTTGCTGAGAAAAGAAAAGGAAGAAGAGGTCCTAGCAGTGTTATTGGATCTAGCGTTGCTGGTTGTGTTTGTGCCTTTCTTTCTATTTCTGGAGTTGGGGGAGAGGCATGTGCTCAACTTTGGCGACTTGGATTTGTTGCCAGTTTTTGTACTAAATTGAACGACACGGTTTCAAGTGAAATAGGGAAAGCATATGGCAAAACAACGTAAGTGATGAAATTCGGCTTAAGCTATTTTCAAAAGGATGAACCTTTAATGTCTTCAGATTTTTTTTTTTTTTAAAACTCACTGTCTTCTTTAATGTTTTACATTGTCAGGTTTTAAATTGTAAATTACTCTTCAGCCTTTTAAAACGTTTGATTGTTAGCCCTGTTTCAATACACGGCTCCTCCGCCTCTTTTCTTTTTAATAAAGCTCTGTTGAAATAACTCTAATGTAATTGCTACCTACCTAGGAATTTTAAGATGATTCTCTTCCTAAGATTTCTGAAAAGGAGATTAAGAATAACTATTATGTTCTTGTACTTCATGGATGTGTGATGTTGATTAGCTTATTGTTACCTTAAATTTTAGTGCCTTGTCTTGGATATATGCTAGTTGTGCATTTAACATGACAACCAAAATCACCAGCAGTCTGAGATCTCTGGTTTTTTAATATCTATGCTCTTCAAAACAGGAGTTCTTTTATCTATTGTTTTATTTGCAATCCCTTTAACATTTCTCATGCTAATGTCCAGGTACCTAGTTACAAATTTCAAGGTAGTTCCAAGAGGAACTGAAGGAGCTGTGAGTGTTGAAGGAACCTTTGCAGGAATTTTAGCGTCCATGGTTCTAGCTTTTGTCAGTTATCTAATGGGCGAGGTATTACGCTAATATCTGACTCTTGCATGTGATCATGGAGTTATGGTTAGGTGAATGTCATTGCTTATTTTGTAGACAAACGTTTTCTTAATAACTCTGTATGGAGAGAGATCAAAATAAACTTTTCCTTGGGGGATCAGGCTGTTGGCCTCTAGCCATGTGATTACAGTCATCCTGATTCAGATTTCAGATGTTGGGTCACCCCTTCACAAATTTTGATCTAGAAGCATGATTTCTATCACCCACTTCTTATGCACATAGATTTGCTGGCCTTTTTTGGTTGAGTATATTTAACATTTCTTCTCTTGGGTTGGAGCAATACAAAATAAAACAAATAATTTTCCATAGGAGTTTGTATCAGTGTTGGCATCAGATATGTATTTGACATCAATAAACCTGGAAATGCATTCCAAAGGGATCAAAACCTTCTTTTCCCTTTTAAGTAATAGAAAGCTTGCAATGGCCCAATGCCCCAATGGCTAGATATGACATGATATTGATTTCTTGAATTAGAAGTTAAAACATTCAGAAATTTCCCATTCATAATCCTTTCAGATGGAAAACTTACCACATCAATGATTTGGGTTCACAAAATTGTTGCTTTGTTCTTCTTCCTCTTCTTCACCTGAATTTGAGTTAATCTTGTAATTATGACCATCTTCCATGTCTTGCTCCGCATTTCAAAGGTTCAAAGTATGAAAGAGGCAATAAACTAAGCTAACATGCATTGAGCATCTTACTCTGTAGTGTGTTTGCATCAATTTTGCCTCTGCTTTTGGTAAATGGCATCTGTCAGTAAGAAAATTGGGTTAGAAATCTGGAATGGAAAAAAACATTTAAGGTAGATGCATGTCATGTGTCAGCTTTGGTTTGGATTTGTTCATTTATATAGATGTATAACATTATTTATGAGAAATAATTGGCATTAACCAACTTTGGGTTAGGTATATGAAAGTAGAAGAAATATATTATTTCAGACAAGACGAAGCATGTTATTATTGCACAGACTTGTTACTTTACCTCCCTATTTTTTAGCGTTATGTGCCCAGTGCTTCTACTATGGTTGTTTTAAACTGTGCTCATATGGTTTGCTTCAACTACAAGATAGACCTGTGGCCAAAAAAAAAAACAAAAAGAAAAAGAAAACTATAAGATAGAATTGAGACTTCTCATCACCTCCTCAAGGAGCTTTGGATAGCAAAATGTACAATAGTTTTATTCTTTTGGGTGTTTGGCCAGATGCATTGACATGTTGACAAAATGTTGATGAGAATCTTACTTGGGAATAAAGTAGTGAAAAAATGTGTGATAAGGAGGAAATAAATTTTTAATTTATGCAAGATCAGTCATTGTGGAGTTAGGGCTTTACGGGCTTTGATACATTTCTCATGAGGGGTGTGTGCATGCTCCCTCTTTTTAGGGCATTTGAAAACATTTTTGGAGGTAGAGATTACCAGAAAGGAAAGGGATTCGATTATGTGGGACAGTGCATGTCACGATTTCTCACGCGTTGGAAGGACATTTGTGGAACATTTTAGCTTTCAATCCTGATATATCAGCTTAGTGAATGACTACTGTAGAAAATGGAGGGAAATAAACCAACAACTAAGTTAAAATACTTCCAAGTTGTTTATGGAGTATCCTCTTTTGTTAGTTATTGTGAATCTTGTTGGTGTTTTATTATTACATCATTTGAATTTTGTGTCCAATTTTAGTCTGTTCCTTATGAACGATTTTTTTCTGAATCAGACCATACATACACAAATTCTTCTCATGATGCATGCAAATTAATTCTCAAGGATTGGCATCATGTAAGGTGCACTAATCAACATCGTCAGTCATGAATTACTATACTATATATCAGATGCAATCGAATGGACTAGGCTTCTGTTTGACTTGTGGCTTCTTTGCTGTGTTTAACTGAATTTTCTCTGATAAGATTCCGGATAGAATTCAGACTTATTCAAGAAGGAAGTGGTAGAAGATAAATTAGGATTGATTTCATTTTTATTTGATTTAGTATTTTATTTAGTTTTTAGATATTTCTTCAGATTTTATTTAGTTATTTAGATTTTATTTAGATTCAGTATTTTATCTATTTAGATTTTATTCAGTATTTTAGATTTTAGGAGATTTTATTTAGTTATCTAGATTTTATTCATTATTTTAGATTGTATTTAACATTATAAATATGATTAGCAACTTAGAAGCTAGCATATCATCTCATTAATAAAACAGTCTTTCAAACTCTTTGAAAATTCTTCTGAGCGTGACTATTGAGAAAAATATAGAAAGAGGTTATCGTTCTATAACATCTCAATAGATTTATTCGTATTATTTCCCTTAGTTATTTCAAGCTTCTAACATCCTCCTTTTAAAGGTTAACGGGAGTGTCTCTTTTGGTTTTTGGATATGCAGAGGAACTGTGCAGCAATGTGGCTGTCCCTCTTTGTCTATTTATTTTTGCTTCGTGCTATGTAACTTCATTTTCTTCTGAGGATTTCGGATGCTCCTCATCTGTATCTTCTCTCGAGAAAAATTCTTTGCACCAACAACGAGCCTTGACTTACTTGAGTGTTCTTCGTGCCGTTCCTTCACCTCCCTTTATATGGTTAAAGACCACTTGCTCCCCCTCTTCTCTATGCCTCCATCGGCCTTCTTTGCCATGTGACCATGCCTAAAGCACCTTAACTTCCTCGTCTCAAAAAAAAAAAAAAAAAAACCTTAATCTAAGAAAATTTAAATCATTTTCCCTCTTCCTTCCCTTGGATGATCTTTCACAATCCTTCATTTTCCATCCACTCTAATCTTAACTGAAATTTTCTATTTCTATTTCTTGTTTCTGTGAAACAGTCAGTTACATGACAACTGAAGAACTTAAAGCATACTGATTTGTTTCTTGTTTCTGTGAAACAGATTAATGCACATGAAGCGATTATATGTGTGCTAGCTTCCCAAATTGCTAATCTAGGGGAGAGCATCATAGGTGCTTCCCTTCAGGAGAAGGAAGGATTTCGTTGGGTAGGTTCATGGAAACATTGAAGTTTTCATATCACAACTATGGTATCATAAATCTGCCTGATTCTATTGAAGATGGGAATTATTATGTGGAATTCATAGAAGGGGAAAAAAAAAAAAAGCTATAAATGAATCGGCAAGTTGAATTTTAAATACTTTAGGACACGTACCAAGTTCAGATGGTATGCATATTTACATATGAATACTTCTCAAGGTCAAAACACAATTTTTTTCTTTCCCTTTTTGTTTTCTGGCAAGCACTAAACATTTATATGGTTCAAGATTTCATCTTTCTCAGTTCAAGGGGTTCAAGATTTGGTTCATCCATTCGACCTTTATGGCTGATTGGTATATAATCTAATCCTGTTCTGCAGCTTAACAACGATGCAGTCAACATAATAAACATATCAATGGGCAGCATCATTGCAGTCTTGATGCAGCAAGCACTCCAGAACTGGCATACATGAATTTTGCTGCAAGATTTTCTAGGTGCTCAATCATCAGATTGCATATGTATATCTTGCTATTTGCTGATCTAAAGCCAACAGATGTTTACACTGCCGGGAGTTCAAGTGGTGGGAAATCATTTTAAAAGATATATTCTTGGCCTAAAACGGCTTAGGATTATAATTTGATATATCTTTTCATTTTTTATTGTAACCAGACTCCTTCTGTGCAAGCGTACAAAAAATATCGACGTCAACTAATAGTAAAATTATAGCACTATTTATTCCACTTTTATAGTTTTATATGTGTGATGATCGTAAAATCATCGCACTATTAATTCCACTTTTATAGATTTTGCTATTATCTTGTATTTTTTTCCCTACTGTCTTACGCTTGTAATTGTATCGTTTGGATTATGTATAAGGTACTCATTAAACAGTTTAACATTTGATGTTGATTACTTCGCAAAAGCTCCGCTAGTTCTCCCTTCATTTTTCTACACCTCCCTCCTCCTCATCTTTCCTCTCTCTCTCTCTCTCTGTTTTTTTTTTTTTTTTCCCGGGGGGGGGGGGGCGCGGGAGAAGAAAAGGAGGGCCCAAGGCCTACATAGAAGGCAGGGCTAAATCTCCTCTCCTTTTTCTAAGTTGCATTAGTAGAGATTGAACCCTTAACTTCTATTCACACACTATCCTACTTTTGTCACCTAACTAATCTCATGCGACTTCTCATCTCCCTTATATTTCTTCTTCTCTGCGCTTTTGCCTGTACTTGATATTTTTCCTGCACCATCTTCTTGCATCAAGCAATAATAAACGGTGTTCTTTTGAGGGTTTAATATGGATGGGGACTTTTTGTTGAGTGTTTTTGCTGATGGATCATACAAGGCATGTTTATTTCTAGCCTCCGTGTCTTCATTGAGTTGGTTGATTCAATAAATAACAGTGGAATAGTGGATCATAGCAGCATAACTGATTATTGGGAGGCATGACAGTGGAAGCATCAGTGATGCTGGTTAGAGGCAGCCATTGTTGAGTTAGGGTTTGTTTTGGATGGGAGGGACACGGAGGGAAAGTTTTACTGAATTTTTCTTCCTCTTATCTGGTCAGAAAAATGGAGGAGAGGTATTTTCTTTCCTTTATTTGGTTAAAATAAAATGGAAGGGTAGGGAGAAAAAAATTCTAAATAACGTTCAAATGGGTGGATTTAAATTTGATTTTTAGATTTAAAATCTTACTTTAAAATTTATGTATTTAAAATTTTTTATTTGGGTAATTTAAAAAAAAATAAATGAAGAAGAGAGAAGAGTTGACAGTCAAGACAAAAACAAAAAACTGAATAATGAATTCACTTCTGTTTTTCAATTGACAAGAGACAACAACGAGACTTGACTGCCCAATCATTGCTGAACTCTAAGAGTTTTACAGTACAACCGGATAAGAGGTATGTGTTCTTCTTGATGGATATGAAAGGTAGCTGAATTGAAACTTCAAGTTCAGTGGAAATAAAGACTATGATGATTGGAAGGGTCTTTTCTTAATCACTTGTTGGTTATTATAGAAAGACAGGAATCTTCACTTGTTTGTAGGGAAACAAACGACCAATGAGGGCATCTTGGAGCAAGCCATGGTTGTTCAGATGAGCATGAATGGGATTCTATCTGAAACGGCTGCTTAACTGGTATGGGCAAAAATCCCATGGTAGCTAGCAAATGGGAAGCATCATCGGAAGGATGGACAACGTCCATGGTTCATACCTGCCTAGGATTAACAAAGGAGGATGTGGAGGAGTGGTTCAAGGTCACTGGGGCAATTTTATTACTGGATTCATGTTGGGAGCTGTTGGTTTGACTAGCTTGAGCATGGAATTATAGACAGGGACTTAATGTGGCTTGGGATATGAGCGTCTGTCAAGTTATGATAGCTTCAGATGCAGTGAAAGTTGTCGAACTCATTAATGGGGTGACATTAGGTTACGTCAGAACAAGGGAGTCACAGAAGAAATTCGTTCCCTCATGCAATGAGAGTGAGCGACGTTTGTTACGCATACTACAAGGATGGCAAATAAGGTTGCTAATTATTTGGCATATAAAGCAGTGCATGCATGGCCAGGTCCGCATCAGTTTTTTTATCCTCGTGAGATTACCCCTCTCTTCAAGTACGACTCTGGGGCTTGAACAACGACTAGACTGCTTCACTATTGTGTGTGTATACATATAATATAATATATATATATATATATATATAAAGACAACAGCGAGAGATGTTAAAAGATACAAGAGACATTGAGGTATTAATAATAAAAAACATAAAAATAATAAGAGATTTGAAGTTATTATAATTTTAAATGATTAGAGTATAAAAGAAATTTGAAATTATAGATGAATTATAATATATCCAAATCTAAATTCAAATCCTTATTAATCCAAACACAAAAAAATTTTCCAACTATTCTCCTAACCATCTCCTTCAGATTGGGGGAGGGATTATTAAGGTATATACATTCACAGTTATAAATCATCTAAATTGAAAACAACCACAAGTATCTAAATTGAAATGGCAAATAGACTTTATAGGACAGTGATCAAGTACCAGGATATCAAAGGGGAAAAAAAAACCATGTAATGGCTAATCAGGACCAACTGCAGTAAGCATCTTGACAATTATGTTATTAAATATATTTGATTAATGACTTTCAAAAATTGTGATTTGTAGTTATTATTCTTCAATTTTGTTTTGATCCTACAAATTAATCCCTCGTTACTTCGCTATGTCTTTCAAAGCTATTGGCAAGGATGCCTAATGTACTTTGGCACGTACTCCATGACAACTAATAAACGATTTACATGATTATCTTAATTTAGCATAAGTTTTCATACTTACAATTTAACCTCACTGCTGTCAGGCTCTGTTTCTGACAGGCCAGAGTAAGTTAAGCCCCTAATCCCGCTCCCTAACATCTCTCCAAAATACATTGGGAAGAATCACTGAAGTACTTTGGTTAGCCAAAATAACAATTAGACCATTTAAATGATTACCTTAACAAAACAAACAAAATAATAGAGACGAAAATTCTTTTTTCCCCCCTTCTCTTATAGAAAAAGATGTGGTTTTGGAATAAGAATATGGCCAAGTTGACAATATGTCCTCTAGATTCTAAAATTTGCACCGCTTTTTTGTCCATGCATAAAAGAAATGGCGTATCACTATCTCTTTTTGGAAATTGACTTTTCTGCACTCTCTTGAGTGAGATTTTTTGTCCCACAAAGGAGGCCCAGAATTACAAGAAGCGCCACAAAACCATATCCCAAAGCGCTTCCCAAATGATGTTCCCAACAATGGCTGCTTCAGTCAATTGTTAGTGTCTCCCCCACAAACGCACGTCTTAACTCAGAAAACGACGCCAGAACCCCATGAACAGTTCATGCCTCGGTGTTCCAATCTTATCCACTGGTTCAAGGAATAAGAATAATAAACGAACAATATGTGGGGAGTTCGTGGTGAATAACGTTACTGTTGAGGATATTAATGTTGGAGAAGGGGAAAAAAATTCTGAATGAAAGGCAAAAAGACTTGAGACTGTTACTAAGGACATGTAGGGCATGAGATGACCGTGAAGGAGACATGTATCTGCAGTTGAAGTAACAAGTGGTCGTGTTCAAGGCTGAGCTGCCTGCCAGGCTTTTCTTCTAAAGCAATATATATCCTCTGCTCTTCGCAGGTCATGTAGACAAAACAGATACTTCGGACCATGCATGCATGTCAACTACATTAAATTTGTATCTCGTCTAGGTCCATTTTCGACCACAGTTTCCTTGTGTTGGCAAGATGGAAGTTGGCCGCATCCACCAACTTTGTGTCTAAAATCTAACGTTTGATTAATGTCATTACTTTACAGTGTGTTAAAGTAGTAGACTTGTGCAAAAATATTTAGTTTTCGTGACTGAAGATACATGGCTAAACATCCTAACCATCTATATGAATTATAAAAACTAACTAATGAAAAGTATTATTAATTCATGAGGATTATTTATGAGTCATGGATGGTAGGACTTATTTCTTAAACTTCATGTAATGCACAACATTATTCGCACTGGTTAATATTAAATTCATGTTATACCCTTGTAGTTCTAACCTTTAGAGTTGTAGCATTTTTGAACTGAAACTTTAGGCGAGGCACTTTTTACTGTTATATATATATATATATATATGTATATATATTTTATTATTATTATATGTTAAAAGAATCTGTCAATACATGTGTTTATTAATAAAGCACATTTATCACTTGCAAGGGAGGAAATATATAGAAGCACACTGTCCTAGATAGGTCAAGAAGTTACTGTCCACATAAGATACATGACATCCAAGAAATTTTATTGTACGCTCACTCCGGATCAAAACATGGGACATTGAAAATTAATTTACGGTTTTCAAAAAATATTAATTAAAACTTTAATTTTTTAAAAAATTACATTTTTTAATTTTATCTTCATTAAATATCCTATAAAAGTGCTTTGATAATACTCCTTCTATCTCAAATTATGAGACATTTCTAGATAAAATTTCACATATAAATAAAACTCATTAAATACACTTTATAACCTTACTCTTTCAAGACAAAAATATAAATTTTTAAAAATGCCCTTCATTTAATACTTTATTGATGAAAGAACATTGAAGAGAGAGAATATATGAAAAGGATAATATTAAAAAAGTACCATTAATGAAACCTTATTTTTATCAAAGTGTTTTATATTTTAGGATGTTGATTCTTCCCTAAAAGTGTCTTATAATTTAGAATGAAGGGAGTAACAATTAAAATTTTAATGCATCATTTTTTTCAAAAAGAGTACTAAATGAAATAGGGGTATAATTAAAAAATAATTATAAAATTTACTTAATACTTTATATTTTGAATCAATTAAAACTTTTAAAAAATACCTTAAATTGTAGCCTAGAGTATATAGATAAAACAGTACATGTTCTATCTTAATTAATATTACAGTAAATATTTAATCCTATCACATTGAGCCATGAAATTGTATACAATATGGTCCCAAGTTGTTTAAAGTTATGTATACAGAGTCCAGACATGTTATGTGCAGTTTCACAAAATCGTCTAGAAAATTGGGATATGAGATGAAAATGAGTATTGTTTCAGGTGTCTGATAGTCAATTATCCTGCCCCCCCCCCTTTTTTTTACTCCTATGAGAATATAATATATATATATATATATATTAATTAAAACCAAATAAACAAAACAGTATTATGAAGTTGGAACTTCAGATATAGCCTTAATATCTGAAGATGCTTAAATATATAGATGATGATGATATTTGTTCAGAGAGACAGTTTATATATACCATATTCCTTCTCTTAGATTTATAGATTCTATAATCACTTATTAGCTTAATTTGTTCAACATTCTGAGATTATCTGATGTAGCTAGCAACCATTTTAATTTATATTTAGTTTTATGAAATATTTTCCTTGGCCAAAAGAATATAATCCCTCCATTTCTATTTATAAGAGAAACTATCATTTTTAACTTGTTTTATATTGCAAACTTCATAAATTATCCTTTATAATTTTATCATTCATAGTAATGAGAAATAATTAATAAAAGTTTGATTAACACAATTAATAAAGGGTATTGTAGTTTAATTTTTTTATTTTCAAACATAATTAATATAATTAACTAATTTTTTAAACTATTATATAATTTTTTTTCCTGCAAATATGGAGGGAGGATATGTATACACAGACAGCAGATAAACGAACCTGTTAGGAATGTCGGCGGATTTAGGATTAATTATTGCAGTAGAATAAATTCGAGCATGCTTAGACCTTATTCTTTATCTTATATTCATGAATCCTGTAATTAAATCACCAATTGGCTTGCTCATCATTCTGACTTAATGTGTCTGTCAGTATGAGATTCTTATTCATCATCGCTTTCTATATGAATTATTTTTAAGAATTCAACTTCATGTATGTTAAATTTTTTATTAAGTGTGTTTAAGAATAATCTACTCATTAAAATAGTTTAAGCCTTTTTATTCGACACATTTCATAATCTATCTTTTAATTTTTAGATGTAGGACTTCTTTTGTCTCTCTAATATTCCTACTACTACTTTTTTTTATTTTCCTTTTCTTCTAAATTATTTATAAATTCTTATTAAATTATATTAAACATAAAATTATACTAAAGAAATATGAATAAAATAAAAAATTATGATACCATGAAAATTGTATATATTAGAATTTTTTATTTTATTTTAATTAATAAAACTTACTCCCTTTATCCTTATATTTAAAATATTTTTAATCGAATAACATAAATTAATAAAAGTTAATAATATAATTAAAAGTGTAGCAATATTTTAATTTTGCCTCTAATTATTATAAATAAAAAATGAATCTTTTTTTAAAGTAAATTAATGAGATTACTTATATTTTTCTCTTTTCAATTTAATAAGGGTATAGTAGTCCATTCATTAAAAAATATACCAACAACCTCTTATATTTAAAAATAAAAAATATTCTAAAAGACTTCATATGTAGGGACGGAGGGAGTAACTTTTTTGAGTTTTGACTAATAAAGATTGGGTTTGTTGGTAATGATTTAGCCCATAATCCTCTAAAACTTGGCTCACCTTTTTTTTTTTTGCCCAAAAAAACTTAACCCTTTTGTATAGTATGAATTTTTTGTGATAATATTTTCAATTTAAACAATCAAATAAAATTATGTTCTAAACTATTGCTCCCTTCCTTCTAAAACTTTTGTTATTTACGGTTAAAACACATACATAATATTTTGGTCAAAGAAACTTTTTAGGAAATTAGTGAAATTTTTTATGGGACTACATGAATTTCCTTTTCTTTTTTGAAAGGGCAAGGGCAATTGAAATTTTTAAATGAAAGTAAATGAATTATTTAGGATTACTACATGTATTCTTTTTTGGCTTGTGGGGCTCTATCTTACAAATAGCTCCGTCTCTCAATTTGACCACTGTTTGATCACGATTTTAACCATTAATCTATATTGATGGCAAAATGATTTTTTTTTCTCACGTTCTGTTACACTTTTCCTGTAACAAGAGATCAGTTTTTAATCGGAAAACCTTCAGAAATTGCTTGAGTTCCATTCATTAGACCAACTCGATCATTAATATAACTGACTTGTTAAGCGAGAACCGTTTCAGCTGTCTACTTCTATGGAAGACCCTCGTTTCATTGATTATATAGATTTGAACCGATAGATAAAATAAGTAAACGAATATTAAGGTTTATTATCATTATTGGTGCAATCACTAAACTTCATACAGAAAAGAGAGAGAACATACTAGGCATTAAAACAATCATGAAATCAAATTTAATATATCGATGCCTTCTGAATTAATACACTGTCGTAACCTGCCTTATGCATCTGCACCAATCTTAATTGAGACAACCATGAACATGTAGATAATGATCTTGAATTGCTCCATCAAGAAAAATGACACAACCATGAATTGAATACAACCATGAACCTAATCAACTTGAATAGGATGATACTTCAAAGGCTGACATCACCAAATTACACCTTACACAGACAAAAATCATTAAGCTTGACATGCTATCATATAGTGATTTGGCGTAGTGTGGAGATTTATGGTTGCCTGTGTCGTTTTGATAAAAAACCACGATTCCGAATACGATTGACCTGTTGTGTGTCAGAATAGCATATGTCTGGAACATGAACAAACATAGCATGGTCAGGTGTGTATCTTTGGTCTTGAGGCCAATGTAATCCTGAAGCTGTAGGAGGGGAAGGCATCCGAGGGACAGTCCAGGATGAATCTGAAAATCGCCCCAAGCGCTCTTCGTCGTCGTCGTTATCATCGTCTATTTCCTCTTCGCTGGAATCAGAATGCCCAAGCTTCCCACTGTCGGCCTGCAAAATCTCATCAATAAAAGATCATGTAAAAGGGAACATCATGGAACTCTATCATCTGGAGAGTCTGGAGGGCTGAAACAATAACAAGACACTATCCCCTATTCTCTCAAAGCTGAATCTAAATGAACAATTAGAGCAACTTTTACTTTGTCTTGCTATTTCAAAGCATACTGAGACTAATGCCCACGGAAACTAACTTAAGTGAAATTGTAAAAGTAGAAATAATATGTGCACCTAGTGTAGCATAAATGAACAAGATTAAATAAGGAAAATAAGTAATTGAGGAGTCTTGGTAAACTGTATTGCAAATTCTGCGGCCTAAAATCTGAAAAACTACTTGAGTCTTGCCACTGACTGAACAAAGGTGAGAGAAACACTATCAAGAGACCAATATATAAGGGGGCCTAGTGTCACGGGGCCATTACTCTTTCCCCAAAAGAATAACCCATTAAAACGTGTAACGCACCCGCTTATACAGCCAGAACCTTCCCCAAGTTTCTTCAATGTGGGACATGACAGCTCCCCCGGCCAACCCGTGATGCCCCTATCACGGGTGACCCACTAAAGGGGCCCACTGACTAGACAAACTCGGATCTGGCTCTGATAACACTTCGTCACAGGGTCATTATTCTCTCCCCAAAAAGTTAACCCATTAAGGCATGCAACGCACTTGCTTATATAGCCAAGACCCTCTCCAAATTCTTCTAATGTGGGACATGACACTAGGCTACAAAATAAAAGTTGAAATAATTTGAGAGGCTCATTTAACAACTATGAACTTACCGTGAATTGTTCATTATCCATGCAATTGTAATTCTGACTGAATTCATTTAGACCAAAAAAATCATCAGTGGGCCAGTTTGATATGTTTCCAGGAGTTGAACCACCGCCATAAGACACCTTAGAAAGTGGCATGTCACCAGCTCCACCACCATGAGCAGGTAAAACTGCATTGTGTTCAGATGACTCAGGTACTGAGGAAACCCTTCTAGAGGCAGAAGAAGATTTTGTATCAGACATCTTCTCCTCGGACTGTGACTTAGCAGAAGACAAGGAAGCACCTGGCTCAGTAGCCTCAAGTCCTACTCTTATACCGGCCAGCAGAAACCTCTGATGAGTGGAGACATAGGAATTTGCCGTGTGTATTGCCACATCACATTTTCTGCAGAATAGAGCCCGGTCCTCTAGACAGAAGAAATAGCCTAAAGATTCCTGTGAGGAGTAGCAGAATCTACCATCACAACCAGAACCTTAACAAATTAATAATGCCAATCACATAAAGCCTGCCAAGATTGAACGTGAGAGCTAAAAGTTCAAGAAGAAGAAGAAGAAGAAGAAGAAGTAATTAGATAAATGAACACTGACTAGAGGAGAATTCTCACCGGCATAAAAATTAAAAAAAGCTAATCTCAAGACTACATCTTCCCTGAAAACTTAACTGTTGTCTTATGAAATTTTTCATTAACATACAGCGTGATGTCTTCTGATCCTACCACATGTTTTTTTCTCGATGAATTAAGTACCAACAACATGCAACATGATAACAGTTGTGAAAGAATCAATTCAATAAAACAAATTCCTTTACCTAATTGATTTTCCTTCAGATAACACTATCACAAAAAGGAAAGTGATTTAATTTAAAGAACATATTTGGTTGGAACTTGGAAGAATTAAAAGCAATAGGAAATTAAATTGCCAACAAGAGGACTAAATAACTTATGCAGCGTCTATTATACTCTTATTAGTTACTACTATTCAATATATTAATCACTTTTCGTTATTTTTTTTCACAAGTAGGGACATAAGGATCTCATTTGGCGCATCAAATTTGAACAAGCATAGATAAAGCTTCCAAAAACAGCTAAAGCTACTGGCGACTGGTAAGCATTAGTTTTGCATAAAAATGAATAAAAATTCAATATAATAAGTAGCAACAACATTATAAAGATCCCACAATGTACTATACTGTCCTTTGATCCTGCCCCATGTTTTCCTCAAAGAAGTACAGCATCAGGCCAAAAAGAAAAAAGGGGGGGTGGGTAAAGGAAGGTACAGCTGATTCAAAAGTAAAGATAATTTTAGACACTATCAATGGAATACAGAATTCCCACTCATAACGTATTCTCTTTCAAAGAACTGTATCTGATGGAAAGGAAAACTGTTTCAAAGAACATAGAAGATACCTGACAAATATCACATTTGGGCATGTCAGAGCCGGAGGAAGAAAGACGGACTCTCTGGTGCTTGCCGGCGAGCTTGTTAGCGGCATGGACCTTATCGTCACATTCCCAACACAGCGCTGCGTCGTCAGCACAACACAAAACCTTCGCCTCCGAAGCCTCACACACGCTGCACTGAATCTTCATCCCCAAGCCCTTTTCTCGTATTATTACTAATTTTCTTCTTCCCACAAGCAACAAAAACAAAAATGTTTTACGCTTTCAAAAACTTCCTCTCCTTCCCTCCAAACCCAGTTTAAAAGGTTCCAAACTTTACAATCTCCAACATCTTAAAAAAAAAAACTATAGAAACTTGCCAAGTTAGAATGAGAACCAGAAGATACCAATATGAAATGGGAGAGAAAGAGAGAGGGTTTAAGAAGGGGGCGGCGAAGGAAAAAAAAAGGGAAGGATATTTTTCGCGGGGAAGAAGGAGAATGTCCACGTGGCAAGAAACGGGTAGTGTCGTGGAAGAGGAGACCGCCTTTGCTGGCTTGGTCATCGGGGCATGGTGGTAGTAGTGGTGCTCTGCTTCTGTAAGAAAAAACTCGTACCAATAAAACAAAAAATCTAACTTGTTCTCAAATATTATTCGTAAGCAAGGCTACTCGGTGGTATAGGAATTTTCATGAAATCTCCAGTGTCGGGAACTTTTGAATTGAGAAGAGGACCAATTATTTTTCGTGTAGGTTGAAATGGGTGGGGACAAGTGACAATGTGTGCTCGCTGCTCTGCCTCTCTCTCTGCGAAAAATTAATATCAATAAAACAAAAATCTAACCTGCTCTCAAATCTATCAGCAAGGGTGCCCCGGTGGGATGAGAATTCCATGAAATTCATGGTGTCGGGGAACTTTTGAATTCAAAAGATGGATAATTATCTTGCACAGCTTGAATTTGATTGGTGGGGACAACCTCAACTTGCAGTGAATACCTTGATTGGATCGACCTCTCTCGCGTTTTTCATTTTAACTGCCGTCAGAATTTTCGGTTTAAATTTTGTCACTGTCTTGTAGGCTCGCCAGCATATTCTTTTATTGATAATCAAGCATGCATGGCAAATTCTTTTCTCTGCTAGTATTTACAATGAATGGTACATATTGTTAATTGTACCATTCAACAACATGAAGGACAGACACATAAACTCCATTTGACTCGAGAGAAGGGGAAAAAAGGAGAGAATGTGAGAGGGCAGGAAGGGGAAGGGAGGGATGGATCTCTCAATTTGAAGAGGGAGGTTTTGGAGGCTCCCCTCCCTTTGTTTGATAAGTTAGAGAGGAGAAGTTTTTAAAACTTTTTCTCCCTTCCTCCCTAACCAAACAATCTTTATTAACTAAAAAGATTGAGCCAAAAAGACTGTTTTAGGGATTGAAGCATGAATTTGATAATGATTGAAAACTTACAAAGAATCACCCAAGCATCTAGAGTTGAAAGGCCAAAGGGTTGGATTTTGGAGGATGCATGTTATCAATATTCATTCCATCAAAGCATTGTTAAGTTCAATTAAGATAATTTTTTTTAAAAGATCTTTACATTTAAAAAAAATTAATCGTTTGATCTTTATAGTTTTAATTTAATTGTAATTCAATTTTTGAACTTTTACTTATTATAACTCAGTTCTTAAAATTTAGACTCGATTGTAAATCAGTCCCTAAACTTTACCTCTTATAATTTAATTTCTGAAGTTTTAGCCTCTTAAATATTAATCTCTATATTTTAAAAAATAAAATTATAAGGATTAAAAATATTTTAAACTTTTAATATTTATAAAGATTAAAAGGGTTTAATAATTTAAAATATTAGTAATAAATTTTAAAATATTTGTAATCTTTATAATTTTATTTTTTTAAAAATATAGAGACTAATATTTAAAAGATTAAAATTTTAAGGGACTAAATTGTAAGAGGTAAAATTTAGATACTGATTTACAATCGTGTCAAAATTTCAAAGATTAATTGATTGAGTTATAACGAATTAAAGTTCAGGGATTGAATTATAATTGAGTCAAAACTACAAAGATCAAATGATTAATTTTTTTTCTTATATTTATATGAACATAAACTCAAAATCTTGTACTTAATCAATCATATATTTTCACAAGGACTAATGCATGTCAGTCAAATGTACGCTATTTTTTTTTTTATCTATGTAATATGTTTGTACATAACGCGTACATTAAAGCAAATATGCGGAAAGAGTAAATTGTGTGTTAGTTAACGTGAATATTTATTTACACAAGATGTCCAGCGCGACTCATTCAATTTATGAAGATGCCAATGATGCTCGTATTAGTGATTGAAAAGGAACCGTTTCAGGTGAGCTGTGAAGACTGAAGTAACAGCACTGTGAAAAAACGATCGAATCGTATCTATTAATAGATGTGAGAGTGAGTTTTGTAACTGGTTTGATATTGTTCTGTGGAGCCTGATCACCATTATTGCACTGATTTTTTTTTCACACTTTTTCACCAATGTACGCACTTTATTTGATTTTTTTTTTTTGACCTGCACTTTATTTGATTCAAGTCTTGTTTTGGATTCTCAAAGTGGGTGGTGACGATATGTATATAAATAGTTTGTTGCAAGGAGATGTTGACCTTGCAGTGCATATTTCAAGGTCACACACAGGCTTCATACAATAAATGCTTTTCTTCTTCTTTCTTTTTACATAAAGAGACTACCACAAGGACCTATTTGGCCAAAAAAAAAAAACAAGGACCTATTGACATGTCTCCTGTCGTTTTGTCTGCCAAAGGGGATTGGCTTAATTTCCACCATCAAAATCCATGTTTAACATTATTTTCTACAACAAAAATCGTCTACAGATTAAACTAAGACTTCTTAATTAAAACTTCGCTCGGATGAAAAGAAAAAATGCGAAGAAGATAATATTTTGAAGAAAAAAAAACTTTTAGAAATAGTAAACCTTCCCTTTATTTTATTTTTCTCCATTCGTACCGAAAGTAAATATCTTATATTTAAATTTAATTATGTTTGAAATTAGAATATTATTCTTTCTCCTGTTTATATAGAAAGATGGACATGTACACAGATTTATAGATGTTTTGTTTTGCGAAAAAAGAAGAAGACGTCAAAGTTAGAGCTTGGATCTCACTATATGCTCATAGGTTGAAATATTTTTCAAGCATTAATTGAGAAAATTCTTTGTTCTGCTAAAAAAAAAAAAATTCTTTGCCAAAAAAAGTAGAAAATTCAAATTTCTACCTTCAAAACGCAAAGATTGGGACTTGGAGATATTTTAATGCTTTATAATATCTCTACTTTTTTTAACTATGCAATTTAATATCTTTTTAATAAAGTGATCAGTGTGATAGAAATGTTATATAATTAAATAGGTGAATACTATGTTCTCATTTCTTTTCAACTTTAACCTTTTTCCCCATTCTCACGCTTGAGGTATGACCTTTCTCAGAAACCAAAGAACTGTAACTGAAACATACAGATGCTTAAAATCATGAGATTGAAAGAATGGAGAATTCTGTTGTTATATACTGCAAAATCCAGGTCAAATAATTATCAAAAAAAATTACAGAATGACTTTTAAAAAGAGAAAAATCAATGTTACAATCATCATCACTTGATTCTAAAAGGTATATCAATCAAGAATTAATGAAATCAAAAGTTTGTTTTCTTTCATTGTCATAAATAATTTGCATCTACGCACACACATTTCATATGTTCAAATCTTACTTTTTTCTATTTCTAATTTAAAATATGATTTTGTTTATAAATTGTTTTTATTTTGTATTCTATATCCTGTAAAATAGAAAATTATGAAAATCTAGTTAAAAAGGAAGAAGATCTTATATAGCTGAGCAGTATAAATAGATATTTTGTACCACATCCAATTTCTATTTTTATGCCTTCATCTACCATATTTAATGAAAGTGAGGAGTCAGGGACCACAATTTAGTTATGAAACCATATGTGATTCAGACTCCACAACAATGTCAAAAATACATACCTGCAAGCTAATTTAATTAGTCCTCAGAGACCTAGCCCCAACCCATTTTGTTATGGAAAAACTGGGATTAAAAACTTATTGGCAAACATATTTGAGGACAAGGACCTGGATTGCAGATCATGGGAAAAAAAGATGCAGAAGGAAGGGGAAAGGTTGCAGAACATGGAATATATAAATGGAAAATTACACTTAAGTCTTATAAAAGAGAATTTATTATCAAGAGATTCCATAAAATTTATAAAATATTTTTAAATTTTAAATCTTACGTATTAACAACTTGACAAATTTCATGAAATTCATATAAATACTTTTTGTCAAGTTGTTAATGAACAAATTTCAAGTGAGCCCCTCAGTAATAAATTCTTTCCTGTGAGGTATGGGTGTAATTTTCCCAATATAAATTGCGGATAAGTCCAGATCCTTTTGCCCAGATATGTTTGTCAAATAGGTCCTTAATCTAAATTTTCCCTTATATCATGGAAACATTGGGATCTAACCAATCAACTCGTATCATACATTTTGAAGCTCAACGCATAGTAATTATTTTCTTCCTATCAAGTTTATGTGGAGGATTCGTATGGTGCGTTTATATGAATAGAAGTTTAGCCAAAATATAAGAAGTTCAGAACCAAGTGCCCAAGGTTTTGTGTATAGCCTTACCAGAAATATCGTTACTTAATGCATGTAGTCCCTATAATTAATCTCCTACACAAAGCATTATTAACACACTATAAGCAACATTCTAATTTACCCACTTCACCGTTCTCCTTCATCGCGATCGGAAAAGCAGTTAATTAATTGTGGCTTAAAAGTATTACTCATCCTCTGTCAGAGAATCAATGGCTATACGTTAGATTCATCAGCGTCGAAATACCAGATGTTCATAGCAGTGAGATCTAGTCTGTTGTGTTTTGTAATTTTTCCCATTGTGAACCTATACACGCGCACACGCATGTATTTAAAAAAAAAAAGCAATTTTTCAAGATGATGTTCTGCTAAGAAGGCTTATGCTTTATGCCCGAACTTTAACATCAGTGGGATAACCTAACTCTTGAACCACCAAACGAAGCAAAGACAAATATGAACATTTTATTTGCAAAGTGTCCAGGTTATCAAGAAACCCGCAACTTCCTGCTGCGGAAATGATTACAAATAAAACTAGGATGTACATTAAAAAAAATGCGCATGATCATTGATCTTTTTTTTTTTTTTGGGACAAATGTTCTTAAAGTTGATTGTGTACATAACACGCTCAGCCCTGCGGAAGGAATAAGGCATTGCAGACTTAATGTCACGTCAGCTTGTGAACAGATGTCTTCTTTTTCACCAATCCTCTGACAATTTGTGAATCAACCTGATGACTGCTTGCATGCAAAACTTTTCTCCAGTTTGTTCAAATTCATCCCAGAAGAAATATTAAGAGACAGATCAGAGAGCGGAGATTAGCAACTGATTAGGCAAGAAAACTTTCAAGATCGGTGCTCTGTTAGATATATCAACTGTATCCCCATCTTGGATAGTATAGTTGACATGATAACCATCAACATATATTACACCTTCTTTACAAGACCATGTAATGTTCATCACTTGGTCATGTTTGATGACCCCATGCATAAGGTTCAGGAGTGGTCCGGGTAAAATAGGCTCTCTTACCATGTATTGGAGATCCTGAGACAAAATGGGCATCAGAAATCCACCTGCTGAGTGCATAGCAGCTGTGGAACCAGCAGCGGCAGAAACTCTCAGCCCACTTGATCTGCAGTTAACCAGTGGTGAACAGGGCCGATTCTCCTTTCTGATCCTGAAAAAATATAGGCTTAATTTAACCACCTTTTCCACCTTGTATTGTCTCTCCTTCCCCCCCCCCCCTTTTAATTTTCAGATATGAAACTCAATTTAAATAAATAAATGAACCATATACTTAGTGTCCTCTAGGGATGTTACTACCTGAAGGAGAACGCAGAAAGTGCAGCAGGACATGGATGCGCAACTAAGATATCATTTAGAGCATAAGTTGGCAGCTGATGCGTGTTAACAGATATTGATATCCTAGTTAACTTGGAAGGAGCAGTTTGACCCTCAAGTATGCCGTTCAACACCTGAAAGAAAATGCTCAATACAAACTTAGCAATGAAGTTGGTTCACAAAGAACTAATATAGAAAAGAGAATGTTGAAAGCCACTATGAAAATCAAATTTACAGCTGTCCAAGGACCTAAGAGAAGGATGAAAATCTGGGGATAGATCTGTCTTTCACAAATTCAACATTCCTTACTGATACACCCTCAAGGCATAAAAATAATGAAAGAACAAAGATTTTCGTTTAATTTCCTCCACTTAACAAAGAGCTCATCTTACCAGTTCAAAGTTTTCAACAGTCGCAGCACAAAGTCGGCCAGTGCTTCTTGTAGCATCAAACTCATCATTGAATCGCTCCACCTATTGCAAATAAAACATGAGGTAGCAAAGTTCCCCAGTTAGGTTGGTTCTTTTGCGCCAAAGAAAATTAAATTTGGCATATTCCAAGAAACAAACAAATAATATGTTTACAGCAAGTATCAACATAACAACAAAGACTATAAGGAATATAAACCTCATCATTTCTAGTTGGATCAGAATTCACTCCAAGAATTGGAATCCTGTCATCCATGAAATGGCTAGCTTGCAATAGTGTTCCATCCCCACCAACTGTGACAACCAGATCCACATCATTGATAGGATGTGATAAATCATTACGCTCTAAAGCTTTCCATTCAACAGGCTTCTTCTGTAGAATTGCCTGGCAAAATTTAATTGTCTCAAGGTGCACCTTACGCCTGCTATCCAAGTGATGTAAAATCTGCAATTCCACAATAGAAATACAGTGACCAGATTATAATAAGTAGCCAGTAACCTAGGAGACATGGTGGATAAAATTGACATGCATAAGAGCATGAGAAAATTTGCAACCATAAATTGAATCCATTCTCCAGGCAACAAGAGAAATAGAACAAGTGTTAAACAGGGTTCACAGGTTCAATTTGGAAGTACATCATTGACAATCTCACGTACATTGCAGTGGCTGAGAATCATTCTTCATTGAAATACTACTAGGGAAGACGATGGCATTCTGAAAGGTAAATGATAGCAGGAAATGTTGATTGATACTTTGTCAGGCGGCAAGAGACGCTTATCTTGAAGACTAGCTCAGTAAAAGAGCAGGACAATTGTTTTTTTCCAATTACAATATCATACAACGAGTGAAATAAATAAAAAAACAGAAATGAAAACTAGCTCAGTAAAAGAGCAGGACAATTGTTTTTTTCCAAGTACAATATCATACAATGAATGAAATAAAAATATTAAAAAAAAACAGAAATACCTTCAGAACTTATTGCAGTGGAATGTGCTGGTAAAAATCACGCTACGGCATCCCCCTACCTTTTAAAAAAAAAAAAACGACCTTGTTTTTGCGTTCTTTTTTTTCCAGAGGTTTCTGAGTACCTAATTTTATCAATTTCGATAAATCAATGTTCCAAGATACTTGCTTTGTTATTGGCATCATGAAGTGGCCATCTTACTTACAAATCACATCAGACCATTATTAATCACATAAACATGAGAAAGGAACCTAATAACAGGATCTAAACAGTAAAACATAAAATTCAACAGAAAAAAGTACATAAAAACCCTCGAAGCTTACCTTACTATGCGGGATTCATACAAGGGTCAAATTACTAGAGTCATCGAGGGGGAACAAATAATGAGCAACCGTTTATTATTCTCATGATTCATATTGACGGAGAAGCAATCAAAGCCTCCTATTTCCAACAAAAACAAAGGCATAAGAGCTCAGCGTTTCAATACAACACACGAATCAGGCATTTAATCAAGTAGCATGAGTGCCCGCCGCAAATGTTATGTGAACCATAGAACCATGAACTCCTAGAAAACACAGTAATACAACACTCCAAGGGCCAAAACAATCCAGCGTGATAAACTGATCAGGAAGCCAGAGACTGCTGAATGATTTGGAACAAAAGAGAAGGAAGAACATTCATTACCTGGGGGCTCGCCCCGTGGGGAGGAGAATAAACGTCAAACGGTTTTAGCAGAAGCAACAATTTCCTCATCGCCATCTCTCTCTCTCTCTCTCTCTCTCTCTCTCTCTCTCTCTCTAGCTTTTGCCTTTCCCTCACAAACGTTACGGTGTTGAGGAAGATGGGAACAAATCGCAGTAGAAACGAGGTGCCGTGGGCTGTTATTATTCTGGCACGCAGAATTGGACGACTCGGCTCGTTTGTGTATCGTTGGCAAAATCGAGAATGACAAATAATTTTTTTAAAATAAAAAAATGATAATTTAATCTGTAATAATAATAGTGAGGTTTCAAAAAAAGTTTTTGAAATTAAATTTTTGTGTAAAATTATTTTAATATTTCTCTACAACTAACTTTATGAGTCATAAATTTAATATAAATATTTGTAAGTTTAGTTTTATTAATGATTAAAATAATTTAGTGAGTTACAACTTTTTATCAGTAATTTTTTTCAATCAGTAAAATCCAATTAATTTTATATGGTTTACAAGTTTGATATAAGTATTTACGAGATTAAAATGATTTAAAAAATTATAACTTTTTATCAATAAAATATAGCTAATTTAATATCATTCACAAGTTTTGTATAAGTATTCGCAAATTTGATTTCAACAATAACTAAAATGATTTTAAAAATCATAACTTTCTAAATCACATAGAGGTACTAAAGTAATTGGCTAAAGCATACTCTTAGTCTTTTAACTTTATATAAAGTTTTAATTTAATTATTTAATTTTATAAAGTATCTTTTAGTCCTTTAACCCTAATATCATTAGTTTTAAATAATTTTTTTTTGTCAATCATTCTTATATTGAAAAAATTAAACTTGATATGTCAATATTTAAAAAAATATCAATATTTAAAAATTTAACGTAAAAATGTTTTGGCATAAACCTAATAATGTAAGAGTTAAAAGATTAAAAAAAGCACTTTATAAAATTAAGGAACAAATAAAATATTGTGTAAAATTAAAGGATTAAATGTATATTTTAGCCAAAGTAATTTTACACATAAATTTATTATCAAAGAAGTTATTGGGATCTCATTATCATCATCACATTTCACAGGATTAAATTTTTGTTTCTCTATTTTAAAGTGATTTATATGTCATTATCCCAACCACCTGCCATCTAATTGATGAAGAGTGTCAACATGCCATTAATCTTATTCCTCTTTCAGGGAGGGAGAATTAAGATAAAGTATTCTGGAATCATGCTCGCAATGGAGTTTATACAATAAGGCTGGGGTATTCCAAAGGCCATAAAGGAAGCAAAATCTGTACTTGGAAGAAGCTTTGGAAGATTAATGCATTACCACACATTCTCCAATTTACTTGGCCATGTCTTTCAAATGCTGTTACAACAAATGAAGCACCTACTAGAGGACATAGAGCAAGTTCGTCCCTATGTCCCATGTGTGAGACTGAACCGGAGACCTTGGAACACCCATTTTTCCAATGATCATGGGCCAGATATGTATGGTTTGGAAGCAACTTATCCTTGAAAACGAATGTCACCAGCATAATAAATTTCATCAGATGTTAGGAGGATATTTTCTCTTCAAATATTAATCTTACCGATTTTCATATTTCATCCATTGGTGGGCTGTTATGGCAGATATGGAAAGCAAGAAATGACAAAGTCTTCAATCGTAAAGAAACAAATCCTAGAAATGTCATAGAACGAGTGAAGACTGATACTATGGAATGTTAGTGTGCTAATTCCTTGGTTCTCAGTGATAAATTAGGAGAGAATGGTGCTGTGCGAAGACATTTTTGGACTCCCCCACTAGCTGGCATTTACAAAATAAACTGCGATGTAGCTTTCCCACTACATGGTAACATGGCTGGTATTGGTTTGATTTGCAAAAATGATTCAAGGCATTTTATACGAGCTTTCTCTGTAAAGTAAAGTCTATATCAGCTTTTATGGCTGAGGCATTTGCTTTAAAAAGAACACCAATGCTTGCTAGAGACCTAAGCAATGACAAAGTGGTCTTCGATAGTGATTGTCAAATGCTTGTAACTTGTATCAATCAAGGACAATCTAATCTGGACGATTGGCGTTGTAGGAGTGTGATAGCAGGCATTCTAGTTCTCATGGCAGTTGAAGCTAGGTTTTCCATATCCTTCGTGCCATGCAAAGGTAATGGTGCAGCTGATTTTTTAGTTATTATTGCTGTTAAGGAAGTAAGTCCGATTGGATGAGTGGACACACCATCACCTCCGGTGTCTTCTTTTCTGGCAGAAGATGCTTTGATTTCTAATACGGATCTTGGCCTACATCATGCTTCATCCAGCCGAGCTGGGGTTGGCTGAGCTTTTGCGTCTTCGCTACTGTTCTTTTTGCTTTCTTTGTCTAAACTCTTTGCAGTGGTTCATTTTTGTTCTTTTTTTTGTCTAGTTCTCTCGTATTTTTTACTTTTGGTGCTCCAAACTATTTTGTTTGGCATCTCCGCTTTTATTATTAATAGCTGTTTCCTTCAGCGCAAAAAAAAAAAAAAAGATTTTCTTTAATATCTTGTAAGTAACTTTAACTTATAACTAATTTTTACAGGAATTAAAAAAATCAATTACTCCCTCCCCTCTACTATATAAGTGGCTTATTCTAGCCGTTCAAGGGAATCAAAAACACCTCGTAAATTAATGTTAAGAAAAATATTTCTTTCTCATTTATTCTTATTAAATGTACTAGGTTATAAAGTTTTTTATTTTATTTGTAATATTTACTCTATTCATAAAAATGTAAAACAATAAAATGACAAGAAAGTCATTAATGATTCCTACTTCATGCAAATAACTTATAAAAAGAATCACAATTTAGTGAATCGTGCCCTTACCGATATAATGTCCGGATCTAAGATTTCGAAAATGGGAAGTTAGGCTGAGAACAATCAAAAAACAGAAGGAAAATTACCCTGGTGTCAATATCAACCTTGATCATGAGAATTTACATTTCACCTTTTTTAGGTAAATCCCCCAACTACGCCCACAAGATCATCTGCAGTTGCTTGTATTTGAGCTGTATTATATTAGATTAAGAATTTCACTTCGAAACATTTGGAGGATACTCCCTTTAACCACAATATATATTATTATTAATTAATTCATGATTTTATTAAAAATATTAGTTGAAATTTTAATTTCATAAAAATGTCAACATTTTTTCGTTTATATTATCCTTTCAGGAGTTCCAGATATGCATACATGGTCTTTAGATGGGGAACATTAAAAGATAAGGAATAAAAAAAAAACAAGCAACTTATATTGTAATTTAAAGGAAGTACTTTTGAAAGGAATTACAGATCCCACCACAAAATTCAGTTACTAAAGATGTCTTCTTTCTCTCGAACTTGTTTAAGACAATTCGTAATATTAGATGTAACATTATGGATGCTACTGTTGAACTTTCTATTTTCCGTTCTTTGTTAAAACTTTAATTTGATGTTTTTTTCCTTTTTCTTATAAATATTCTTTTATTAAAAAAAGTTTAATGTATGGTCTAACAATATCATTATTATCTGGTCAAAAAACCATATTTGATGGGTATAAACCAAAAAAATATAAATGAAAATACATTTGTTAAAAATAAAAATAAAATAGTTTAGATGAGATTGTAGAAAAAAAATCATGGGTTAAGAAAATTATTCAAGGCAGACAATTAAAATGAAATGATCACATTTTAAAGTTTTAATCATCCATGCTTGCTCCCCACCAAAAAAGAAAAAGAAAAAAGAAACCCTTCGTTTTCCAAACGTTTGTTTATTCGCTTCCATTACATAAGCTTTACGTAGATGCGTCAAAGGAAAATGACAATTAAGAGCCCCATAAAACCATTAATTATAATTAGAGGTTATAAATTATTGAAATTCAAATAATAGATCATGATCCTTACTTAAAATAAAAAACATATAAATTTAAAATCAAGAAAAGATATTTGTAATAAAAAAACTAAGGAAAGGTAATATTAAAATTATTATCATTATTATTATAAGTTAGGACTATTACTGATCTTAGTTGGAAAAAATTAGAAATCACACATGTAAATTAGTTATTTTTCAATATAAAACTAAAATTTACTTATAAAATTTTTAAAAAATACTTGCAAATATAAGATAATTATTTAAAAATTTACTAAAGTCATTTTTAAATATAAAATCAGTCACTTGTAAATTTTTATACTTATCAATATATAGGTAAATCATTTGCAAAATTAAAAAAAAATATTATTGAAATTATCGTTATGGGTTGAGGTTATTATTAATCTCAGTTAAAAAAAATCATGATTACAAGTGTTATGAATGAGGACTACTGAAATTACTCTTATAGGTTGGGATTATTGTTAATTTCAAACCCATAATAAAAATTTTATAAGCATTTTTTTTTATTTTAAACTCATATTTTTAATTCCAGATAAATACTATTATTATTATTTTAAAATTTTTAAGTAATTTTATGAGATGCTTAGTTGTTATACATCAAAAGTCAAACACCGCGAGTCATATACTCAAAATTATCAAAGAATTATGAAGACGTGCCCTTTCACGGTTTTCAATTTTATTGCCAAAAAAAAATTCTATAACTTGATTGATTTTCGATCCTCTAAACTTTTCTTTTTGCTTAGGACCATGAAAAAGTTGACAATATATAGAGATATATATATATATATATATATAAAAGGTCATGAAAAAAATACATGTAGAATAAAACAAAAACCAGGATAAATCAATAGCAGGAAATCTTTAAAAAAATTCAACTATAGTATTCAGTGACAAATGAGAAAGTCAATTGTTTATCTACAAACATGGTCAAGACTCAAAAATAATCATTCAATCTCTCGTTATGGTTTTGCTAAATTCTATAACTTCATTTTTGGTATGGCTAATCAACTTTAAAAAGTTGGCAAAAAAAAATTTAAAAATGACGTGATATATAAGCCATTGTTGAATACATGAGTCTGTCTAGGCTGAAAAAATAATTGTTAAAAAAGAAGGAAGTGTAAAAAAAGAAGTGAATAAGAGAAAACAGAATGAAAGAGGAATAGGAATAAAATAATGAATGAAAACTTATTTCGTTCAAAAATATAATATATTGTTTGAAGAATTAAATATTAAAAAATATAAAATATTTTTGGTATTTTAAATTATAATCATTACATTTTTTCATAAGTACTCCTACTAAATAATTACTTTATCTTTATTTTAAAGTAAAACATCATATTATATAAGGGTAACTGTCAAAAGATAGTATTAACTTAAAAATAAGTAACTATTTTATTGAATGATGAGATTCAATTAAAAATAACTTATATTTTTAAATAGAGGGAGTAACTACTATGGTTATATTTAGTAGTAAAGATTTAATTCTATTTAAATAAGATAATTGAGTTGAAACTCTTCCTTTACCCAACTTTGAAATTTAATTTAAAGAAATAGCATCAAAGAAATCTAACATCACTCAAGTCTAAATCCCACACACACACTCAGTTTCTCTCTTCATCTTAAACTAGTTAATCACCCATGTATTACATGAGATGTTATTTTTACAAATTCTTTTCAATATTAAATGGTATGAATTAGTCATGCGGAATGGATGAAATCTAGCTGAGCAAACAACTATTTTTAAAGAATACAATGACTACTTTTATGGAAATGTAAGGTGTCGGACATCATACTAAGAGCCCTCTAAAAATTTAAGTAAGCTCTTCATAGAGCGTGTGATTGAATTTTGATATGACCTAAAAAATCTTTACTTGAGCTTGCATTATACTGTCCTAATAAGAGAGTTAAACAAAAATAATTAATTGCACATAACATATAAATAAAAGGTCAACCATAGACAAAAGAATCATACCTTCACGGCATATACAATGAAGTTAAAACTGAAAACAATTTTAATTGATCTAACCTTTGTCAAAACCTCATACACCCTAGCAACTTGCAACTTGATCGGTTGGAAGTAGTGGTTTCACTCTAACTTGAATAGCAGCTGAACGTTGATGTAGTGACCCATTGAAAAAAAATATTCAAAAATAAGAACACATCAACTTAATAGAAGGCTAAAGAGAATATGCAAGTGCACTTGCACTATCTATCTATATCTATGTTGTGTCTATATAGCAGTCACAAAATTTTTGCGAGCAAATTGCATGACTATATAATTGGATGATTTAACAATAATAATTTACTGATGCAGCCCTCAAATTGGCGTGTTGATAATGATATATGAATTATTTCATATATCAACATTCAAAAAACAAAATCAATGATGTCGACAATAAATTAATTAACAGTTTCAATAAAGTCAAGGTAATAATGAAAATTATTTCAAAAGTTTTTACTAACGGCAATCTCCAGTGACTTGTGCTTATAGAAATCAAAAAAATTGCTCCCAGTTTCCATAAATTAATTCACGGCATGGTTTCAATTTTTATAAATACAATGACTCTATGCTATGCCATCAGCTTATTCCCTTCGTAAGTTCATAGTTTAAATTATATATATATTTATTTCCAGAAATTAATTCAATGCACAATTTCAATTTCCATAAATAGAATGACTATAATTTTCATAACTTAAATAATCAAATTATGAATTATTTAATTGCATTTACAAATATTTTATTACATTGAAAAATTATTCAACCTAGATATCCACTTGTCAATAGAAGAAGAGAGAAAGGTGGAGTTGATGTGGTTTCATAATGCCGATATGTGTGCTCGAGACTCTTGATTTTATGTAGATATATAGATTGAAAGACAATTATGAGGGAGATTTGGTGTCCAAAAAATTTAAAATATTTTAAAAAAATAATATTTTATTAATAATATTTTTTAATATTACTTTTTTTATATATTCTCTCTCTTTAATTTTGTTATAAATAAAGTATTAAATGAAAGGTATTTTTAAAAATTTATATTTTTATCTTAAAAAAGTAAAATTATAAAATATATTTAATAAACTTTATTAATACATGTGATTTTATGTAAAAATATCCTATAAGTAAAGACGGAGGTAGTATTATATTTGATAGTTGTTCATTTTTTAATATATACAAAAGAAAATAATTAACTCACATGATTTTAAAAAATTTGATTAAGTTTAATAATTATGTATGAAAATAAAATAGCTCAAATAAAATATATTTATACTTAATCAATTAAATCTAAATTAATTTTTTTATCTCGAGAACAAAATTATAATTTTATGAGAAGTAATTTTAAAAAATTGTGATAAGTGATTGTTGAAATTTGTAATTTTATTTATAAAAAAATATCATATAACAGTTTCTTTTTTTTTTGTTGGGCCAACATCATATAATAGTTTCTCGCACATTAAAAATCACAGGGTGAGGATATTATATCAAGGAAAATAATTAATACATAATAGTCGACATAATTATGAGACGCTAACCAAAAAAGCAATGAAAAGTTCAAAACCACGAATTGGTGAGGCAGTAAATTCTTGACCCAGCTTGACTGGGTCCAAATCAGCACTCCTCACCTCAACCCAACTAACCACCCGCCCAAACCGGAACCATAGTTGGATCCGCTTGACCCACCCGCGCAATCCGACGCCCGTCCAATGAGTGTTGTGCACCAATCAGTTTTCGTATGGCTTTATCGGATCTAACCCAGATTCCCTCCTACACGCATCGGGTTGTCTACTTTCTCTTACCTTACAATCCAACCCTAATTCTGCCGGACCATCCGATCGGACTCCCAGAAATTTCCAACGCCACATCCTCGTATTATGTAAGAAACCATTCACTTCTTGTTTTTTGCTCCGTTTCCCCTCAAAATGTAACCTTTAGCTCCTTCATTCTTGCATTTACTCTGTCTTTCATGAACTTTTTTTGGTAAACAAAATCATAGTCATAATGGATAAGTCCTATACTAGATAGTGATGTGCCCCATGTTTGATTATGAAGCTAAAGATTCCTTCATAGGTGGAAATTGCATCCTTTGATGGGTGAATTTGTTCGACGTATCTAATTGCAAAATCTTGACGTGGGTGTATCTTAGTCCGTGGAACTTCGAGATAATTTTGCTTTTTGATTGTTATTTTTGATACTGAAAGAGACATGTTCAATATCAATGTAAAATAAACCTCATCTTTGTCGTTATCTTATCTCCAATTTATGCATTAGCCCATTTTTCAAATTCATATGTTGGTTGCTGAACATTTGGCCATGGCTGTTTTCTGTTACTTGTTCTTGCGATGTGGTCAGACTGAATGTACTGCAGATTCCCCCAGTATTTTTCTGTCTCTCAGTTTTTATTTTTTAGTCCTGGCACGGATATTATTGAGTCGATTTGGTCAAATTTATTGCCCCGATGACTATGTCTTATGATAGAATACTTGGTTCGTGTTTCTTAGCTCTTGCAATCTTTCAGTCTTCCTCAAGCAGCCCTCTATACATTTCCCTATTTGCTCTCTCTCTTCTTTTTAACGGGCAGCTGACTACTGACAATGGCTTTATGCAATTATATATTCATGCTTTGTTGTTTTATATTTCATGAGACTATGCTATTTTTCCTCTTTGTATTCTTGGGTGGATTCATAAGTGAGTTTTATTAATTTTACTCCAAGTTCATGGATTAATTTAATTTCAACATGACGAGCAGATTTTTGGCAGTCACAATCCTATGTGATGGAAATACCAAATGATTCAGGTGCTAAGAAACCAAAGAGACTAACATCTGTTGTGTGGAACCACTTTGAAAGGGTCAGGAAGGCTGACATTTGTTATGCTGTTTGTGTGCACTGTAACAAAAAGCTTAGTGGATCCAGTAACAGTGGTACTACTCATCTGAGAAATCACTTGATGCGATGTCTTAAAAGATCAAATTTCGATGTTTCTCAGCTACTTGCAGCAAAGAGAAGGAAAAAAGATAATACTGTCAGCCTTGCAAATATTAGTTTTGATGAAGATCAGAGGAAAGAAGAGTATCTAAAGTCAACAGCAATCATCAAGTTTGAACAGGAACACAAGAAAGATGATATCAATAATTTCTGGACTAGTAAATTTGATCAGGAGAGAAGTCGACTTGATCTTGCACGCATGATTATATTACATGGGTACCCCTTAGGTATGGCTGAACATATAGGGTTCAAAGTCTTCGTGAAAAACCTCCAACCTCTGTTTGAATTTGTGTCCAATAGTGGTGTAGAGGTTTCCTGCATGGAAATCTACAGGAGAGAGAAAGAGAGAGTTTTTGACATGATAAACAAATTGCACGGAAGAATTAATTTGTCTGTTGAACGGTGGTCTTCAACAGAAAATTCTTCATATTTGTGTTCAGTTGCGCATTATATTGATGAGGAATGGTCATTACAGAAGAAGATCCTGAACTTTATCACACTTGATTCTTCTCATACTGATGACAAGCTTCCAGAAGTGATTATCAAATGTCTTAATGACTGGGATATTGACTGTAAGCTGTTTGCTTTAACACTAGATGACTGTTCCATTGATGATGACATCACTTTGAGAATCAAAGAGCAAATTTCCGAGAAAAGGCCTTTTTTAAGTACTCGACAATTACTTGACATTCGCTCTGCAGAACATGTTTTAAATTCCATTGTTCATGATGCCATGGATGCATTGCGTGGAGTAATAAAAAAGATCCGAGAAAGCATTGGATATGTCAGAAGTTCACAGGCAACACAAGGAAAATTTAATGAGATTGCTCAACATGCTGGAATTAACTCTCAGAAGGCTTTAGTTCTTGATTGTCCTGGTCTTTGGAACACAACATATCACATGCTTCAAATTGCACTAGAATACAAGACTGCATTTTCTCTCTTCCAAGAGCATGATCCCTCTTATTCGTCAGCTCTAACTGATGAAGAGTGGCAATGGGCAAATTCTGTCACTGGTTATTTGAAGCTTCTAGTTGAAGTCACTGGTATCATTTCAAGCAACAGAAATCCGACTGCAAATATATACTTCCCTGAGATTTGTGACATACATATCCAATTAATTGACTGGTGCAGAAGTTCAGATAGTTTTCTTAGTTCCTTCGCTTTGAAGATGAAAGCTAGATTTGATAAATACTGGAGCAAGTGCAGTTTAGCTCTAGCAGTAGCGGCTATCTTAGATCCCCGGTTTAAAATGAAGTTAGTTGAATATTACTACTCCCAGATTTACGGCAGCACTGCTTTGGATCGTATCAAGGAAGTTTCTGATGGTATCAAAGAACTTTTCAATGCATACACTATCTGTTCAACGATGGTTGATCAAGGTTCGGCTTTGCCAGGCAGCAGCTTACCTAGTACAAATAATGAAACTAGGGATAGACTAAAAGGTTTTGACAAATTTCTCCATGAGACTTCTCAAGGTCAGAGCCTTACATCAGACTTGGACAAGTATCTAGAGGAACCAATCTTTCCTCGTAACTCTGATTTCAACATATTGAATTGGTGGAAAGTCCACACACCAAGGTATCCAATCTTGTCAATGATGGCACGTGACATTCTTGCGACTCCCATGTCAACAGTGGCTCCAGAATTGGCATTTAGTGCTGGAGGAAGAATGCTAGATCCCAGTCGTAGTTCACTAAACCCTGATATACGACAAGCTTTAATATGCACTCAAGATTGGCTCCGAAATGAATCAGGAGGTATGCTCCCATTTTTATTCTTTTTCATTTTCCTTATAGCAATCCAAATATGTTGGTTATCTCTGATTTATTATTTTGTTTTAATAATCTCAGATTTTAGTACGTCCGCAAGTGCTTCTGCCCTACCTCTACCACTTCTCATTGAGCCAAGTTAACCTTTCCAGGTCATAGTTCTGCAATTGACGTCTTATATTTCTAAATTATCCACATATCATTGTTGTAAATGTTGTAAAGTTTACTTATAACTGAATCATGAGTTGTGTTGCAAGGTCGATTAATCTGTCGTTGTGTCTCACAAGACATCTTGTGGTTTACAGAAAATGTCAGGTCTTAAAGAAGCTGCATTGGGGTTTTCAAGTAAACCGTTTGTTTCTTCTTCCTGATCATATGTTGCTGAGAGGTAGTCAATAAACCAAACTTGCAAGAACCCTATCATGAGGTAATGTACATTCTTAGGACAGCGGTGCTTGTGTATATGGTACTCATAGGGGCTTTTTCTGTCTTAATTGCTGGCTGAGCCATCTGCTGGTGTTGTTGGACAATTGTTTCAAAAGGTGACTCAGTTTGTACAGAGGGTTGCATGCCCTTAAATATGGAAATTTCTCTTATACAGTTTTTCTTCCTCATCTTCTCATGGTAGGGTTCTTCAATTAGCTTCTCACGAAAATCAGGTCATGTGAATTTTTTTTTTTTAATAACTATGTACCAGTTTCCTTCATATATCATGTTAATGAAAGATAAACTGGCAATCAAAGCACAACTTGCTGGTGAGGCCTAGTGTTAGTGTTGCTAAACTGGTAACACCGTCAATATCAGGCTCAAAAATCTAAATGCAATCATGGGGAGGCTCAAACAATAACCTCCCAACCCTAAGGGCCACAATGGCAAGTCTATGAGCATAAGCATATTTGTGAACAAAGGCAATTTTCAAGTTAGCCTGATTACAATCTCACCTTTTATTCGTGTTATAATTCTCGAGGATAATAACGCAATTGCCTTTTTTTCGTTCATTTTAATCACAACTTATAGTCAAATAATATGCTTCAATTAGTTGCTTTTGTCTGCAGTTTTGAGATATACACTCAATTGTTACCAGTTACCAATTAAGCCATTTTATAACACTGGAATGATCAAATGGATCGGATCTTGTGTATTGGAGTGTTCAGGCTAGATTGCATCGATCTCAAGCATCTGAAATGGCTTCGTGTCTACTGACAACGATTATATGCTTCCATAGGAGTACGGCTTTCTCATGCAGTCCTCCATACCTCAAGACTCTCAAGTTACGACAAAGAAAAACAAAAAAGAGCATGGTGACGTTGGATACATGTGATGTGAGGATATTTCTATTTCAGAGGTAACATATAATGGGCATCGGAATGTACCATACCATGAAAAGGAGAAATCCCTAGTCCCTATAGTTATGGGACGGATTGGACTTTGAAGAGCATTTAGGTTTTAAGACTTTTTTGTTTTATTAACGTAAAGTAAAGTAAAAAATAAAATTTGTCAGTGCACATTACATTCAAAGTTTCAAATTCTTACATCGTAATCCATTCATTTTTATTTATAAGTCACTTATCAAAAAATTTTGAAATTTTTATTTACGAGGCATTTTTGTACAGGCCCTTAGTTTAGATATTGCTGTAATAATTGTGGCAAAAAGAGGGATTGAGAGAGGCGCCCATATCCAATTATCTAGAGCCCTTCCGGCCTTCCCTATGAGAAGAAAACACATGGGCATCCTCCACAGCCACCTTGTTCTTGTTAAAAGAGGTGCCACTCTGCGGCACCTACGAAAAATTAAATTAAAGAAACAATAAATTAGAAGTAATTTTTTAAAAAAAAAAATAATGTGACCACGATCAAAACTGTGCGATTTCAAATACATCGGGATAACTTTTGAGGCAAAAAGTCCTTAACCTAAAGGGAAGATCATTAAAAAAACAAAATCTAATATCAAAACTATTTTAGTCCGCGTGATAAGTTGAGTGGGCCAGCCTAATAATTTGTTTATCTGAGAAAATATGATCAATGAAAACTTTCCAATCACATATAAAAAGATTTATGATCCTTCTAATAGGGCTAAAGAGAGGATGATTATGGTTGTGTTTACTGTGATGAGGTGAATTGCTTCAATAAAGTCATGGTAATTAAACATTGACGTAGAAGTAATTTTCTTTCCAATTGGCTAAGAGACCCTTTAAGAATTTTCAAAAGTTTACTAGCAATGTTCAGATCATTTGTCCAATTTACTTTCAATCTGATCCATCCTGAATTGGGTGGGAATTGGAGGACATATATGTCTCTGCCGGCAGTTAATATGTTCATACGAGCTTCCAATTAATATTTCGTTGTGCGAGGATATAGCTAAATTATTATTTTGTTTTCGAATATAATTTGTTTTTTATAACAGTTTCTCTTTATTTTTATTTATAAGTAAAATTACAAATTTTTAAAAGTATTTATCATATTTTCCTTAAATTATCCCTCATAAAGTTAATGTTTATTTTTACTTAACAAATTGTTTCATTAATTATAGGTATAATTTAGTCTAGTTTTTTATTTTTAAATTTAATATACTTAATCAATTTTCTTAAGGGAAAATATTCTTGTTTCACTCAATTTTGAATTGTGTTATTACAATTTATTTTATTTTAATCAATCCTTTATAATTTCAATTATTATATATATTGACCCCTGAGGTTGAAATTAATAAGAATTAGTAAATTTTACAAAACAAAAATACTTTTGGAGGTTGTAGAAAATTTAATTTAATGCTTTTAGCTAAAATAAAAAAATTGATTTAATCCCCTGTTTATATTTTTATTATAATTTTTTATGAAAATTCTACATGTATAAAAAATATTTAGAAAACAAGCTAATTATATAAATTTTGAGGTACAAAAATTATGGAATTAATTCTAAACTCATATAATCATTAAATAAAAAAATGTGAGGATTTTAATTTTGGTTTTTAAAAGAAAAAATGTGAGGATTTTAATTTTCAGGATTAAAAAACTTAATTGATCAAACTATAAAAACTCAATTAAAATAAAATAAACTGTAGGGATCTAATTTAAAGTTGAATGAAATTGAAAAAAAAACCTGTAGATTTGTTTTTCATTTTCTTGACTGTGTGAGTTTGTTTTGTTTTTTTTTTTTTTTTTGCCCTTTCTTTTTTTAATTCGGGAAGGGAGGGAGTAGAATCAGCATTTGATTTTGATCCCTTGACTTTGGGAAGCACCGCCAACTTGGAATGAGAGGTGCCAAACAGCAGAATAGGGAGAGTGGTCCCGTTTGGTATCTTGAAAAATAACGTCACCAGAAATTGGTGGTAATCAGAAGGCAAATCCATTGTGTGCAACCGGAAAAATTAAAATAAATAATTAATTAAGAATAATGATAGAGACCCCATTTGTCTCGGGGATTCACAACATCGAAATCATATATCTCCAAAGTTAATTAGAGACCCTTGACGTGTCTGAACTTTCTGAATTTGACTCCTCTTCCTTTCACTTGCGGTTACCCGTACTCCACCTGTTCCTTTCACACTCAACAAACACCATTTACTAATCCTTATCCTCGTATAACAATTCTAGATTCTTTCACATGATTTCAAAGCCTTCTCTAATACTAATTAATAGTATATCACACAAAAGAAAAAAAGAATATAATCATGTATTGACATCTGACTTAATTTGTTGAAAGAGCACGTATATATTGATTATCGGATAAGAGTTATGAAAACTATGTGTAGTGTCAATTGATGCTATCTAATCAACATTTGCTTTTATTATTTGTTTATTATTTAAATCCAGTGACGGTGACTCGGATAGATCTTGTTGCTAATTTGTTCTTTCTAGGGTTGGAGTTTGGAGAAGCTAGTAGAAGGAGGAGGAAATAAGTTAAAAACTCAGATACTATAAGATACATATGGTGACGTAAAGCACGGCTTGAAGATTATTATTGACATGTGCATTTTTTGGGATAGATTATGATGAAGGCACATGTAGAAGAAATTAGAAGAATTATAACATAAATCCTCTTCATCCAATACAATTAAAGAGAAATAGATGCAGACATACAGCAACGAGCCTCTTTACTTTACATGTTTGGTCCTTTTTTTATAATTTTTAATGTCATTTTATATTATTTTTTAGTCAATTACATATTTGATACTACTGAACCTAAAATTCAGAAAATAATTTACTCATTTATCATATTTATTTATTTTTTCAAATAAATAATTATAATAGACTCCCTCTCTTACTCGGATATCAACTATGAACATTCTATATCCGTATCATTTGATTAAAAAGATTCTATAAACAGGAATAAATGGATGTGCGATCTCTTTTTTTAAAAAAAAAATCATCGTGAAATTAAATTCGCATGAAGTAGAAGGATGAAAAAGCGGGACATGGATGGAGTTAGAAAAGACAGTAGCAGTAATAAGAAAGAGAAGAGAATGAACGGAAGGCGTGGTTTGATAACAGAGGCACATGAAGAAGGACAGTGTTGGCTAGTTGGTAGGGGTGTAATGGGCGACCTTCAAGCACGGGTTCCCTCATTACAGGCAGCATCAACACGACAATCGTAATTACCTTCATTAAATGTCTCACCAACCAAATAAAGTTCATATCACTGCCTAATTCTCTTCAGACACGCAAGTTTTAATTTCAAACACTAAACAATCCCCCATCCCCCTTTTTCCTGTTATGTTTTGGTCCTCTTTTCATGCTGTATTTATATTTACAATTTTTTAAATATATTTTTATCATTTTGCTCATATTAAATGTAAATAAAGTTATTAAATGTTGAAGTATTTTATTTTTAAAATATGTACATTTAATAGGATAAAATTATAAATTTGTTGAATTTTTAAACAAACTTAACAAAATTTAATGTTGAAGTAAGTAAAATCCAAGCCTGCCCTAATCACCAAATCACACCGATGAAAAAGTCATAAAATGATGCCCGTCTATTTGCTATTTATCTTCAGGCAACTCTAACAACCCAATTACTCTCTCTCTCTAATATTATTGTGTAAGACAATTTTTATGAGATATCATATTAAAAAATATAAATCATTTTAGTTTAGGTCTTTCAGGTGTAATTTATAATTTTTTTTAAAAAAATGCCTTTAAATAGTAGTGTAATTAATAAAAATTTTTAATCAAAATACTTTATTTAATAAAAATAAATATAAAAATAATGTGTAATTTTGAATGTTTTTAACTAGATCGTGTAAATTAGTAAAAAATACCTCACAATTCAAAACAGATAGAGTAGATTAGAACAAGGAAAAAGATGGTTAGAAATGCATTGTAATATTAAATGGGTGGAGAATATTTTTCCTCAAAAACACATGATAAAATGGGATGGAAAAGACAGGTGGAGGGAGTATACTAAATGAGTTTGTCATCTTAAGAATAAATGTGTTAATTCTTCATTATTAAAAAACAATTAGTGGTGAGTTATGTGTCGTGGCTGAAATGGATGACTGGTGCCTGGTGGCACTTCGGGTGAGAAGAAATGCACTGATACGTTTGATTGGATGGGCAAGATGGGTTGGTTGGTGTGTACTCGGTAGGCCCGCTGTGCTGTCAGATTCTCTTATTTTTTTAACGATGTATATTACATTCATTTAAAAATATAAAATATTTTTAATAAAATAATATTTATTTTTTAATTAATTTTATTTTTTATATTTATTTTTTTTAAACACCTTATAATAAATATAAATTTATTATTAATAGAGATACTTTTAAAAAAAGGTAATAATTACATTTTAAAAGATTAAAAATATCTTATATTTTTTAACATACAATTCCTTAAAGAATATTTTATATTTTTAAACGAAGAAAGTATATTATTTCAATCTTTAATATTAGATGAAATTTAAAAAAATTAATCCTAAATATACATTTGAAGTTAGAGTAATTAATATTTTTTAAATTTTACCCCTTATACATTCATTATTATTTGAATTCCTAAACAATAATCTATTATAGTTATTAATTATAAAAAATGATAAAATTAAAAAATTGCGTTTTTTAATACTATTTTTAAGGTTATAACTAACATTTTTCAGTAAGTATGAAATTTGTTAGCTTTGTTTTATATTAAGGATAAGAAGGAGTATGTGAGTTATCTTTTCCATGCTGGGCTAATGATGCCTTATGTTTAAGAGTGTCACTTCCACACCAAACATTTCATCACGCTATCCTTTCAACAGTTTAATTTGCTGTTTCCCATCAAACCCATGTTTTTTCATGTCTCAACTTGCTGTTTATCACTGTATCGATCGTTAATATTGTATTAAGCGTAAACTCAAACCCATATTTCGTAAAGACATACATTTAAATCATGTTATGGATATGAGTATCTTGTTAATCGAAAAGATATACATTTAAACATGTGTAAATGTTTTTGACTGTGAGGCTTGCCAAATTCGTAACGAACGTAACTTGTGAAAGTTGTACATCTTGCCCAAAATTTCTGTTACCCAAAAGAAAATG